CTTCGCCGGCGCAGCCTGCGCAGCCCGCGCCTTGGTCGCTCGCGCCTTGAGAACACCATCGATCGTCGCTTGGAGTTGGGCTGCTAGATGCTCGTCGACGCGTGGCGTCGCAGACCTGATGGGCGCCTGGTCGGACTGGATAGGCGCAGTTGCACCTGGGTGCAGAGTCGCACGCCCGATCTCTCTCTTCACTTGCGACACCAAATCAGGTTCCGATGTTGCTTGAGCAGCTGGATTTTTCTGGCGTGCTGCACGAAGGTTGTGCAACTGGTGGGCCTGAAACCGCTGAATGTTCCGGGAAGATTCTCGCTCCCTCTCCCGCTCAGATTCAAGCTTGTGGACTTTCTCTTGGAATAAATCCAGTTGAGCGTTCAGTCCGCGCTGGACGTCTTCGACCCAGTGTGCTCGGTCGGCTTCGGCCTGCGCTTCCTGCTGCTTCCAGCGCTCGGTGAACTCTGCGGCAACGCATTCGCGCTCCAGGCGCGCCGCCTCGGTGCGGGCGCTCTGAATGGCGGCGACCACTTCGTGCTCCTGGATCGGCGATACCGAGGAAGGGCCGGACAGGATCGGGGGTTCCGGGGCCGGAGCATTCTGTCCCCATCCGATCTGCCGACTGCCTTGAAGGGCAGTGGTGCGTCCGGCAAGCTCCTGAATCGCGTGGAACGCGTTCTGGAGTCCTTCACCCAGTCGAGCTGTGTTCGCAGCGGACGCCTCCTGCTTCAGCTCCATCCTGGCAAGGGCTTCCTGAGTCTGGCGCATCGTATTAAGCGCGACTTGGGAGGCCCCCGACATCACGGACATCGCGGAGCGGCTGGACCGACCGGATCGACTCGGTGCGCGCTTCGACCTCGACGATCTTCGGCGGCGACTCCGGTCATCCTCGCTGGAGCTCGATTCGCTTGGTGACGGACTCCGCTTCTCGCGTCTGGACGTCGGTCGCGGACCGGATGACACTCTCGACCTTCGGTCACTCCGGACGGTGGTGCGATCGGACTCCGACATAACGACATCGTCCTGATCCACCGCCGTCGATGACAGAGGGAGTGCGCTCCGGGTGATCTCCACGGTTCCTCCGCCAGTGCCGGACTGAATCGCCCCCGCTTGCGCGGTCATCACCATGGGTCCGTACCCAATCGCGGACATGTGCCTCGCGGCATCGTGTCCGGACCACAGCGACGACGAAGACGAGCTGCCTCTGGACGACCGAGCTCCCGATGCCGCGCTGAATGTCGACTCGTTGGATCCGGCCGTCGTACCGAACAAGCTCGAACCAAGATCCGAGGGCGAACGGGACTGCGGACCGAATTGAACCAGCGCTCCGGTACCGGACGCGCGTCCAGACTCGCTGGATGCGTGGTACGAAGGGAGCGAGGGGAGCGACGGTGTAGACAGCGGCGGCGCGGACGGGATCGACGATGCGGACTGGATGGACGCCGGACGAGGTGGTCCGTACTGCGGGCGCTTGGAATCCGGTTCGCCGGTGGACGACCCTTGCGGGCTCCGTGTCCGCCTGAGTCCGGCCACTCGTAGACGCAGGACAAACTCGCGACCCAGTAGTCCAGCCTCGTAATCCGCGTCAATAAATCTCCGTCGTTGTCTTCAGCATGGTAGTCCAGGATCGGTGCTCGCACAGCTTGCTGCCGCGTTGATCCAGTGTTCCCAGCATTCGGTCCGGTCAGGTCTTGAACGTCCGGCGCATCCAGTACGATCTTGAAGGGCACACCGGATGCCAGCTCGCGCCACTCGATCAGCTCGAACGCGAGGAAATGCTGGACGTCTTCGACCACAGAGCGCGCCAGGCTCGGTGCGACTCTGGAGGACTTGGACTGGAACCACATCGGGATCATGTTGTGAAACCTGAAACCGGCAGCGAAGAGGAGAGACTGGATGAGCGCAACGCACTCGCGCGGCGAGAGAATGCTCGGTGGAATACGATACCCGTGACATCCTGGGCCAGGCACAGCTCTAGCAGTAACGAATTAAGCTCCGCGATCCATGCAGCGTCTTGACTTGCCATCGCCATTCGGTCCGATAGGTACTTCGATGTCGCCAGCGCGGCGGCCCACCATTCGGTGAAGTCGGGTGCCGGCTCGGGCCAGGCATACTCCACCTTGAGCGGGACGGCAGCGCTTTCACGATGCTGCTCCCAGCGGCGCACTTGCTCGGCCACGTACGCCTTCGCCTGAGCCTCACTCACTTGAGCCTTGGTCTCGTCGGGTCCTCGCGAATCCGAGGGCGTCGGACCGGATTGGGCTTCAATCTTGAGCGCGGGTGCTTGGGCAGTCGCGGCCGGACCGAATGGCGCAGGGGCAGACCGGGTCTCGGCTTCGTCGTTCAGAACGCCGTCTTCTTGGACAGTCGACAGCGGGCCTTCGTGCTTGATCGTCGGGGCTTCATCCAGAATCTCGCCTTCGTCGTCCGGCTGGGGAGAGTCCGAAACTCGATCCTCAGCCTGGGGCTCAAACACATCGGCGCCTCCCACAGACGCCTGGGCGGCTTCATCATCCTGTGCGGACTCACCCCCATCCAGTCCCGTCGCCGGGTCTGGGACACATTCGGTGCCGGTCGGCACAGACTCAGTCGAGTCCACCCCCGGAGCCTCATCTTGGTTTGCTTGGTGCGCATTCAGAACGGAGGACTCCGGGGCCGCTTGATCTTAAACGGCCGCCGACGCCTTTTTCGTCTCTTCCAGGGCTGCCTTGCGCTTCTCAGCACCAGCCTTCCGAGCCTCCCGGACAATGTCGTCCATGGCCTTGTGCTCGTCCGGCGGCAGTCCTTGTCCTCGACACGACTAACGCGACGCCTCACCGCGTCCACCTTCACGGGATTCCTTCCTTCCAGTCATAACCAAACTGTTAGTCCAGGTAGTCAGTAGAAACACCCCTTAAGACCAAATCAATATACAATCAACTCGCGGTGAAAACCTAGGCAACCAAATCCGGCACGCGCACCAGCTGAGACGAGGCGGGTGAACGCCTTGATCGTCCAGGTGTATAGCGCACTATGCCGGACCGAATGAATACGGGTTCGGAGTACCAGAGATTACCCACGCGATAAACAGCCCACGGGACACTGGATGACCCGGGCCTGGAACCGCTTGGACGCACCGAATCGCACTAATGCGGTCCGGTGTTTGGCGTGTGTCCTTGTGTCAACCCCTATAGGTATTGTTTACCTTTGGCGGACCGGATTTCACCGAGATGAGTTGTTGCGATACAGAATAAAGTCTGCAGGGTATGTTCCTGGGATAAACCACACCGAATGAACAGAAGGTCAGACCGAATGAAAGGGACCACAGTCAGATCCGTAATTCAGAATAACCAACACACAGAAATACAATGCCGAGCTAAACGTCACAAAATATACAGCCGCCACTTATTCTTTGAGACCCTTGGGTGGGGGGTCGATACACCAGTCGACTTCGGAGCCGTCACCCAAGGCACTGGTCAGCCCTGGATGCACACTCACTTACGCGCACCACCCTCACAGAATGAGGGAACAATACAAAATATAATTCAGTCCTATCACACAGTAGTCAATCAATTCGGTCTGGGGGTAACTACCTCAACCACCAAAGACACACAGTAGGAAATATGAAATGGATGCCCGGTTAGAGCACGCAAATAGAAAATAAAGCTCTCACAGGTCACTCCAGGGCGCGAAACCCCAGTCACTGCCGACTTTGCCTTGGTACCTTTGAGTCCCCACTACACCGGTGCTCGCTACACCAGTGAGGCCTTGGAAGCGTCCCTAAACGTACTTAGACCGCGCGCAGGCAGTCTCCCGGAGGGCTCTTGAAGACGTCAAAGTCGGGGTGCTAATCTGCCCCGAGCACAGAGTCGTCCGCGTGTTCTTCAGCAAATTGGTTTCAGTTTAGATCTTACGTTTGGCTAGCTATATTCTATCACTTCGCTGACTTTAATGTAGGTTTCACTATAATTCCCTTGTCTTGAGTATGCTTGTGCTTCTTGGCAGATCTTCAGTATGCTTTTCTTGGTTTCGGTATGCGGAGACTTGTTGACGGCGACACTTGTTCGGGTACACTCATCAGATGATGACGGAGGTATCTGGGTACATCGTCTCTTCGTCTTGGAACTGGACCTCTCCCTTGGATCTGCGGCTCATTCGGTGCCGCCCGTGAATCTTGGGGGATCTTGGTCTCGTCCGGTCTGGATCGACGCCGCTGTGCGAACACACGCGGCGCGCACTGGACTTGTTCTTGGTGCGTCTACATCCAGTGTGGGCACGGGGGGGGGGGGGGGGCGAATGAACGATCCGGTCTGTCCCCATCCGGTGTGACACTTCTTCATTCGGTACGCCATCACCGGGTGCACCACGATCCGGTGCGGACAACACGAGACTTCATCCTGCAGGGTCTTGCGTGCGCATGATCGTGTCTGGTGGGGCCGATTCAGTGGGGTAGCCCGACAACTAGACTGAGCCAATGCAGGCAGTGGCCAGGATACGTTCGCTGGCCACACTTTCGCGCCTTGGGCCTATCCTGCAGTTAGGGAAGTTGGCGGACGGACAGGATGCGTGACTCCACACCGAATATGAGCGCTCATCCGGTGGGCGCATCTCCAATCCTGTGAGCCCATGCTTGCTGCAAGTGCCGGGTCCCACCAAATCTCCACACATATCCACAATCCACACGTCACACTCGTCTCTACCGGATCTCCACCTTGTGCGACCAATCACAACTCACCGAAGGGTCCACGTATCCATAGCGTCGGACATGGGTGCGGACAAAAATCTGTTTCCACACCGTGTCACTCGGCTGCTTCGGAAAAGTGTTCATAAAGCTAGGTGACTTCTTTACCGACTTCGTGCTGCTCTACTTGAATCTTGAAGCTGGATTGCCTGCCGTCACAGTGCTCGTATTTACGACTATCACCGTATTAAGTGCTCTATCGAGTGTTGTTTTAGTGAGTTTACCTTCCAGGAAGAATTCGCTGCTCGTTGACACGCTCCTTGACACTCTGTACACGATTCTGCAATCAATGAATGATCGTCCAGTGCTGACTCTACTTGGTGTCTGTGGTGTGTGAACAGCTATGACTTTTTCATCGCCATCGCGTATCCGTGTCTGGCACTGGCCTACTGCTTCTCGACTTTCTCGTTTGATTACAAACTACTGGAGATCAACCTAGATATCTATCCTACTGGGTGGTTTGAGACTATCGCTAGCGTGATCGCAGACCCAGTACAGACGGCAATCACCCACAGGATCCTCAAGTCTTTGCGTATTGTATCAGTGCTGGACTTCTTCGCTCGCATTGGTGTGAACATGTTTCTCTGCGTGCGCTTGCATTATATTGTGGGCCTTCTCCACGACTCGAGTTGGCGGAAGATACATCCTTATAATGTTGATGCCAAGCACCGCTACCTCGCTGGAGCAGTCTTCTTGTGTCTTGCTGCAATGGTCGTGATATTCGTCGAGGAGAGCCTCCGCACCTCAACGCTTGCATGCAAGCCCCACGAAGAATGCCGAGTGAATGTGTGGCGATGGACAAACCTTCCGTCTGATTCCTTAATACAATGCCCATGCTTGACAATGATCGATGAAGATAAAACCCCGAAGCCTTACGCGGAGTGGATTCGGCCAAAGGACTTGACCGAAAAAGTTGCGCAGCGAGCTGGAACAGGAGACCTCCAAACGATTCAGCTTACCAATCGATTCCTGTCTGTTTTGCCGTCCGAGCTACAATGGTGCGAGCAGCTCAAACACGTGTAAGTGTCGTTTTTCAAAACTCACTTGCATGGTGAACTAAACACTAACTTATTGAAAGGCAGGTCATTGATTTACACGCACATCGTGGAGCTACCCGACTGGTTCAAAGACTTTACCAAGCTGGAGTATCTGTACGTGCAGATTCTAGAGTAGACTATTGGCTTTGCTTTTCAACTTTTGTATTTGGATTGACGTTTTTATTCATGCTGTAGGCACATCGAAGGCATTCCCGAACACTCGCTGCTACCACTGCCAGACGACTCGTTCAGTTCCATGCCCTCGCTAACGTTTATTCACCTGGCCTGCCATCCATCGCTGGCGGTTCTTCCTTCATTCGACGGCCTCATGGGACTGAAATCGCTGACGCTGGCGGTGCTGCTTTCATTGACCGAACTACCATCTTTTGAACATCTCGACAGCCTCGAGAGACTGCAACTGTCGAGCATGACCAGCCTCACACGTTTACCAGATCTGCCACCGGTTTCCACCACACTCAAGTCGTTCGTGGTATCCGATCGCGGAACTGGTGCTGCAATGGCTTTCTGGGCACGTGCAACTTGCAGGATCCTCTTTGTGGTGTACACCCAGTATTTGAGACGCCAGCAGCGTCGTGTCTGGCGGATAATACTGCTACACCAGGTACTATTGCTGTAGTGAGCAAGTTCTCTGAACAGATATGTGGAGAAGTACTTCAAGCAGGGACGCTAGAAATATCCCCAATTGAAGCAAGGATGGCAGTGCAATGGCACACTGTATCGTGTATTTCGAGCCAGGATATACCGAGGCCATGTGCTACAGTGCGCGATTGATGGGCATTGTGTCCCGAGTCGGGACGGCTCAGACCGTTCCAACTCTGCGTGGGCGACGATGAGTGCCTGAGGTTGTCCACCTGCTGTGGCCGCGGGCGAGAAGTTGTGGGCCGTGGACCGGGTTGGAGACCCGTGGGCCGCTACCCGGAGGTATCTCGGAGGGATGATGTGTTTCGCCGTGTCGTGGCGGGACTCCGGGGACGGATGGTATGTTAGGCGGCTTTGAGGGCCGTCAAGGTGAACGGATCAAGTCTTTGGGAGGGGTGAGCGGGAACGGAGTCACCCGAAGGCGCTGAAACGCAAGGATCTGCAGAGGTAGAGAGGAAGAGTTAGGAGTAGAAGGAAGGTCAGTCGTGAATTTTGCTTAAAAGGACAACACAGGTCGTAGGGAACACTTATTGCATTTTGCTTAGTGACCTCCTTGCTATTTGTGCCCCATAAACCTATTGGGGACCCGGGTGGTGGACCCGGGGGTTTCGCAGTTCGAAGCTAGCTTGTACGGATACCCTTACAGGGAAACGATGTAGTCGGGCATCCCCTGCGACTGCATCGCAGCCGCAGCATCTGCCTAATCTACCACGGTACAACCAAGTGTACAAAGTTTGATCGCTTATTTTCAAAGGCATTGCCAGTTCATATACATGTATCGTCACTCCAACGAATTGGTACTTTAACGATTGGATTTGACAAACCCACCGTGATGATTCTACCTCCTCCTGCTCGTCGAATGAGGGCTCCACGGATTTAGTTTTAACTTTAGTTCTTTGTAGTTAGTAGAACGGTTATCAACAGCGAGGTAATCAACGTAATTTGCTTCCTTCCTGCTACTGAAATGTGCGCTGATGCCCAGGCAGAATCCTTTATTGTTTAGATTGCAGTGTTGTGCTCGGAAACTTACAGGTGACGATAAAACAAGAAAAAAAACGTGCATTCGAATAATTAGCGCTGCCAGGATAACTGCTCAACCAAACTTGCAGGATAACCCGATGAAGCCAGCAATTTGTTTCAAGTTTGATGAGTTAAAACTGAGGTCTAGCAGATTTCGATCGCGTGTAGGAGTAGGATACACCAGGTGTTCGTCCTTCGCTTTGACGATGTCCGCCCGGTGCTTCCTTTCGCACAGGAAGCGCGACGTACAGCAACAACGTAGGAGCATTCAAACTCTGTTTGATAAAACTTGGTGCAGCCGCACACATATTTTGTCCAGGTCGCCTGAAGATCTATCAACAACAAAAACCGGTCAGCTTCGATTCGTCCAAGTGTGATATTGCCATTTATCAAGTATTAATCTGAAGGTACTGTATGCATGTAGCATTAGGATGATCTGAACTAATATCGGTAACAATGTACTTTGAACTTGTTTTGACATGAACAGGATCAAGTAGTAGATCATTCTACACCACCAGTTCGGTGGATCTCTGCGGGTCGTATTGTAGTCTCACACAAGACAAGCTTAAATCATCCTAGTCTTCATAGATAAATGCCTAAGCTAGTGCAACTAGCCTTTAGCTTTTTTCCGGAGAAGACATACCACCAGGTGCAGCTCTTTTTGAGTCTCCGCTGAATAAATTCGTTCGTCACGGTATAGGACGTCACCGCATTGCCGGTGGATAGAGTTGGGTTCGGATTAAAAAAAATTGGAACGAAAAAAAATCGAGCTATACTTCCTATCTTGGATCGCACAACCTAGGACTTTAAGTAGTTTTTTGCAATGTTTTAGTGGAATGTTTGATCTACCATCCGGATTAATTCCAGTGAGTGTGGGGATTCATACAGTATCAGCCCGCAGACAGTTTATGTCACGGCAAACTCAGTTGACCACACGATTTTCAATATATATCTCTGAGAAACTATGCATGCAGAAGAAAATCTGTGTCTGAAAGAGGAGGATATAAGTTATGACTCATAACAGGTCGAATCGATAATTTTACCGCTAATGGAATGAGGAAGTACTATGTTGAGAGCTTTGAAGCTGCATGTACAGTAGTATAATACGATACAGTGATGTGGCGGCACCAGTTGTGTCCAAGGTTACCATCAGTAGCACCGATGCCTCATATTGATCGAAAGAATACAATGCTTGCTAGTACACAATGCATTGTTCGTCGTAGTAGTCCGCTAATACACAATACGTTGTTCGTCGTAGTAGTAGATGGAGCCCCACTTCCTCTGATGGCATCTGACATCAATCTACAGTAGAAGAGAAAAAAAAGAATAGGCATCCATCAAAATCTGTAAGTGTCATTCAGACCGATTCGATCGATTGCTGTATGATGTTGTGTGAATGTTGTTTGATGTCATCCGCACGGGGGTGAAGTGACGAATGTAGCGTGAATGTCCTTCGATGTCATCCAAAAACCTTCCCCAATCGACAGTTCTTCGAACTGCGAATAAGCACAGGCAGCACTTACTACTCCTATACAGCGGTGGCCGGCCCCAAACCGGTCCGACAAAGCGACTCGCGACACGTGGTGGAGAAGCACGGTAGTGTTGCCGACTGTGGAGTGAACAGTGCTGAGAGCCTGTGCCCGGAAGTGAACAGAGTCAAGAGCCGAGCGTCTGGACCTGGTGACTGGACGTGTGACCCCTTTCCTCGTGTTTAAAGTGTGTCAGGGAAGGACCCAGGAGTCCGCACACGAGTACACGCCGCGCGGGAAAAGCGGCGTCGAGGAGCAGTGAGAGGAGCGATCCAGGCCGGTAGGACAAGGGAACGGTAACGTAGACACAAGAGCCAAGTGTGCACGGTCAAGAGCAAGAGGTCAAGTGAACAAGGAACGGCAAACTGAGAGTGAACAAGGAACGGTAAACTGAGAAGAGAAGATTCCAGGAGAACAAGGAGGAAGAGGCGGTAATGCTGAGGAAGCAGCGCGCCGCCGGGCTGAACAAGAGGAGAGAGCGCGTGCTGAGCGCGCCGAGGCCGAACGTGCTGCACGGGCCGAGGCGGCGCGTGCCGAGGCGGAGCGTGCCGAACGACGTCGGCAGAAGCCCTCGACACCGGCTGCTGGGATGCCGATGATCGGGGTTGCGCCGCCGCCGTCCCAACGACCGAAGGCCCCGCCGCCGCCCAGCCCGGCTGGAGCGGCCGCACCGGACCCGGTTGAAGAGGGATTGAGGAGTCTGGAGCGGTGGAGGAAGGCCGCTGAGTATGCTGAAGAGGGAGTGTCCGTGTCGGATGTGATGCGTGAGCTCCGGGAAGATGAAGATGACGAAGACTATGAGGAGAAAGAAGCGGTTAAGACGGGACCGCGACTGGAGTCCAGCCGGTGACCTCGGCTGGAATGAAGACGGAGACCGTGGCGGAGGCCAAGGCGGAGCCCGCCGTGAAGGGCGAACCGGAGCCACCGGTCTCGAGTCTGATGGGACGGTCGAGTGTGGGGCAGCCCTACGCTCTGCCGACGGACTATGGGTACGGCTACGGGATGTACGCCGACGACGAGGAAGACTACCACGACGCAATGGAGGAGCCGGTCCCGACGCAGCGAGGCCCGAGTGAGTTCATCACCCGCTACACGGGTCCCGAGGCCGCCGAACGGATCGCCCTACCTTTGGATGGAGCTGGAGCGCTCAACATGGTTCGGGGAAGACCCCCGAGTATGGAGGATGGAGTGGGAGCGGAAGCGTGGTGAAGTCGCCGACCAAGTCGCCCCCTCCGATGAAGAAGTTGCAGTGCGCCGGTAGTCCGGCTGGGTTCTCGAAGCCGCTCGGTGGCGGAATGCCCTTGCAACCTACAACGGGCCCTACGGCAAGTTGGACGCCTGGAACGGGCACGGCTCCGCCGGCTCTAACGGCTACACCGTCGACGAGTTGGCGCGGTGCCAGTGGACTTTCGCCGAGTGCCTACAACCTGTCTACAATGGTCTCACACGCCGTGAAGGTGCTGTCGATGTTCTATTCGGACACGGCCACGGTGGAGAAAGCGCGGGACTTCTGGGAGCTCTTCGAGGACCACACGGACGGTTTCCCCGACCGCTCCCAATTGCTGGTGTTCCGTCAGAAGCTGCGAGGCCGCGACGCTGACCGGTGGTGGAACAACTCGAGGATCAAGTCGTTCAGGACGCTCAAGGTGCGGTTCCATAACCAGTTCCTCAGCCGGACGGCTGACGAGCTGTGGGAGCTGCTGGAGAACACTGGAGAACACGAAGAGGCAGCGCGGAGAGTCTGTGGAGGAGTGGGGCGACCGAGTCTCGGACCTGTGCGAGTCCCTCGACTACCCGAACCCGCAGATGCGGTACCAGCTCTTCCGCCGAGGACTGCGGAACAAGCGCATGCTGGCGACCTTGGACGAGAGTCCCGCGTCGGATATTCCCGAAGCGTGCGAGTGGCTGATGTTCAAGGACATGCACCGTCCGATCGAGGAGGAGGACGAGTTTTCGGACAGCGAGTCCAAGAAGAAGAACAAGAAGTCGGAGGAGGCCCCCGCGACGACTGCGGTCGAGGCCCTCGCTGAGCAGATGAAGTCGTTCATGGAGCAGCAACAACAGTGGCAACAGCAACTTATGCAGCGCCAGTGGCAGCCGCCTAGGTCGCCTCGCAATCGAGCGCCGGTAGTGGCCGCCACCCCTGCCACTCAGCCCGCTGGAAACGGTGTAGGCAAGGGAACGCTCAGCCATTCCGAGGCATTCGGATGGGCGATGATAGTCGCACGCAGGACGGTTCGCCTGTGTGTGGTCGCTGTAACTTCATGGGACATGGTCGCGCTACGTGCAAGCGCGCGTCGATGAGCTGCAGGCGCTGTGGCGCGTTTGGTCACATCGCGGTCGAGTGTGACAGGCCCTAGAACGGTGGAGGCCAGACTGCAGCCACTGGGGGTGCCCAAGCACCGTCCGGTTGTGTCTTCTGCCATGACGCGAGCCACTCGGTGATGCAGTGCCTCGTGTTGGCCGCACTTCGTGATGCGACTCCGAGTTTGCTGAACGCGGCCGCCCAGAGCAATCCGACCCCTCGACAGTGACGGGGGCGGGAGGAAGGAGAGGAGGGAGCCACTCCTTTCTCTAGTCTAGTAGATGGCTCATGGGGTTATCGTAAGGGGCTGGCGAGACGAAGGCGTTCTGCGGTCACGGCGAGGAAAACGGTGGACGAGGTTGAAAAGAGTAGTGTTAATGAAGGGAGCGTCGAAGAGGAACGCGTAGAGGTGCCAAGAGCGGAAGTGGTGGTCGAGACGGTTGCTGGAGCCCGGGAAGAGTGGGTTGTACCCGGCGACGTCTCCGTCAGGGGAGAAGGTAAAGAGGAGCGCAGGACGGAGTTGTCTGAGCTCGGCGAGGACGAGGAAAGCGTGGCGGAGGAGACTGGATACTGCCATGAAGAGGGAGCGGCGTGGGCCGTTGCGAGTGACGAGGATGATAAGATGTACCCTGCCGGGAAGACGGCAACCGAGGAGAGCGCCGAGCAGGGCGAGTCGAGTGCAAGGGTGAACGAGGCGTGGGCCCATGAAGGGGCCGCCCTCGATGATAACGATGAAGAGGCCAAGGAGGCCGAGCTGGACGCCCCCGCGGGCAAAGAAGACCCCGCGAGTGGCCCTGACCGCAGCCCCGAGCGTGGAGTAGGCAACGAAGAGGGGACGGCGGCTGAGACCTTCTACTCGCTGGACGACGAGAACCGGCCCGTGAGGTCGAAGGCGTCGGTGTACTCCGAGGAGGAGGAAGTCGACGGTGATGTGTTCTATGCGGTCAGTGCGGACGATGAAGCGTTCTGTGCTGCGCCTCCGAGCGCGAACATACCCTACAAGGTGCCCACGGAGGAGGTGCCGCCGCCGAGGTCGGTGACTGCGGCCCCATTGCGAAGCATCCTGAAGAAGGAAGGCCCCCGTCCGCGTTGGATGACGGAGGAGTCCTCCTTCGAAGGGTGGGGCGACGCTGTAGATGTGGGGGGACACTGTTTGCCGAGTGGAACGACGACGGAGGATCCTCGGACGGCGAGCACTTCGCCGAGGAGAACGTCAACGTAGTCGTAGGGCCCGAGCCGGTGACAGGGCCCGCCGCCGAGTTGGCAGTCGCCGAGGAGGACCGCGGCGCTGTCGCCGAGAGCAAGGACGTGCCCGAGAATACCGAGGTGGTCGAGGCAGCCGAGGACGTTAAGGAGCCGCCCCGTCACGCTCGTCTCTTCACGGACGAGGAGCTGGATGCCATGGAGTGCGAGGCGTCGGAACCCTCCGTTCCGGGCGTCAGTGAGGAGCTCGAGGAGTATGACAAGGAGCTGGAGGACAGGCTCCACCCCCTCGATGAGGTGGAGTTGATGCGCAAGGTGAAGGAGAATGCGGAAAGGGCCAAGGGCCCGTCCATGGAGGAGATGTCGAAGTTTCTGGGCGTCTCGGCTGAAGCGCTGACCAAGATGAAGGACACCTCGCCCGAGGGCACGTCCTCGCCTGAGTACTGGGAGGAATGTTACAGGAACACACTGGAGAACTCGGCGGAGGCCAAGCGAGCCAACCGTGACTTCAAACAGTCACTGATCAGCTGCGTCTCTCTGGAACGCTCGACCGAGGAGACAACGTACGAGTCGTTCGGCCTGTCGGAGTCCGACCTGGACCCGAAGGCCTCGACCGCCTCGATCGATGGCTCCGTGACGGAGGAGAGCGTGACTGCGAACATTGCGGTCCCCGTGGATGACTGTGAGGAGAACAGCGAGGAGATGGTCGCAGCGGTAAGCGTAGACCCGCCCGTGGACGCTCCTGAACCGAGTTCGAGCGCTTGTCCGAGCGAGAGGTCGGAGGCTCGCAAGGCCGTGTACTTCTTGCTGAAGGAGACCAAGGACGAGATGTTGCGTGCGAAGAAGTCGGTCGTCGACCCGCCCGGAGAAGGCGGCACAGTCGAGATGCCCCCGGTTCGAAATAAGCCGCCTGATCTAGACTGGGTGCGCCTCGTGCACGATGGTGAGCAAGTTGCTGGTGGAAATGAAGGCCAAATCGATTGGCGAGAACCTGTGAAGAAGTTGGCGAACGAGTACTACAGTGAGAACGCTACGTATATTTGGAATACGCTACTGGATCGAGTTCGAGAAGCCCACTCGGCGAGTGCGAAGCGTCGGCTGCGGCGTCGCTCGCGGCGGCCCGTATGCTTTGACTTCACGGCGTTGTACCGCGGCTCGTCCGAGGCGCTGGACGGGGAGCTCCGTCCTGAGGAGGACGGCGACGCGACGCACTACGTGCAAGTGGTCCGTCCCGATTGTCCACCGCCGGAGCGTGGACGGAAGACCGGACTGGTGGAGGTGGTAACCGTGAACTTGCCGGACGGCTTCGGCGTCCGTGCTGACGAGGACGATGATGAGTCTGGAGCCGAGCTCCCCCGTATAGTCGCCGGTGGTCGGCGTGTAGTGTGCACCGTGGGGAACTTCGAGGCGCTGTCGTGCGGGTACATCGACTGCCTGCCTTCGCAGATGTTGGCGGACACGGGCGCAACGCTCAGTCTCGTCGACTTCCGTGTTCTGAACGAGCTGGTGAAGCTCTGGAGGCCTACGACGGGCATGTACGCAGTTCGTCTGGACACCGTCTGCGCAGTCGGGGGTGGATCACTCTCTCCCTAATGCTGGGCAAGGTCGGGGTGACCATGCGGATGTTCGTGGCCGACAAGTTGCATGTGGACGCTATCTTGGGCGTCGACGCGCTGGGTGCGTTCGGAGCAGTGATTGACGTGGCTGAGCGGACGCTCATGTTGAAGAGCACGGGCGAGGTCTTATCGTTGGGCGTGATGGTGGTCCACGAATCGTTCATGGCCACGATGGCCGTGTCCGTCCGCTTGCCGCCAAGGGGCCAGGCCCTGGTGGTCACGGATGTGGTGGGCGATGCCCCGAACGCGACCGTCCTCGTGGAGGGCTCTCTCAACTTGCCGCCTTCGCTTTGCGTGGCGAGAACGCTCTGTACTGTGGACGACGGTCGAGTCGTCGTGGAGGTCTGCAACGCATCGACAGAAGAGTTCTGGATCAAGAAGGGCACGGTGGTGGCCTCGACGTCCGTGGTGGTTCGGCTTTGAGCAGCCGTCGGCGGAGAAGTCCGAAGGGGCGCCCAGCCGTCCGCCCGAGGCTAGTGGGGCAGCCACCGTTGCTGCCAGTCGTGAAGAGGAGGCAAAGGGGCCGGATCTCGGCGAGACTGTGAGGGCGTCGAGGCCCGATGTGCCGCCCGACAAGGAGGTGGCGCTCGAGGCCGACTTCTCCCAGTCGAGGCTGTCGGAAGAGCAGAAGTCGCCGTTCCGCAGCGAGCTGGAGCGCTTCCGTGACATGTTCGTGGAGTCGTCCAACTCGCCCGGCAGGACCGACTTGCTGAAGTTCCAGATTGATACTGGGGACAGCACGCCGATCAAGCAGCAGCCCTACCGCGTGTCGTTCGCCGAGGGCGAGGTGATGGAGGCGGAGATCCAGCAGTACCAGAAGCTGGGCTTCGTCCGGCCCTCGAACAGCCCCTGGGCCAGCCCCGTGTTGATGATCAGGAAGCCCGACGGTGGCATCCGTTTATGTATCGATTATCGCAAGTTGAACGCCGTAACGGTCAAAGATTGCTATCCTACGCCGCTGATTGACGACATTCTGGACGTGCTGAGTGGAGCCAAACTGTTCTCGACCATGGACATCGCCTCAGGCTACTGGAACGTGCCCATGCATGAAGACAGTATTGCTAAAACGGCTTTCACTTCCAAATACGGTCTATTCGAATGGTTAGTCATGCCCTTTGGCCTATGCAATGCCGTACCCGCCTTCAAGCGGTTGATGGAGACCGTCCTCGTCGATCTCAAGTGGCGCGTGTGCTTGGTGTACTTGGACGACTGCGTCATCTTCAGCGAGGACTTCCCGTCGCACCTCGTTCGCCTTCGGCAAGTGCTGACCCGCTTTCAACAGGCCGGCTTCGAACTGAAGATGAAGAAATGCCACTGGGGCAGGAGTCAGGTCGCCTTCCTCAGGCACATTGTGAAGCCCATGGGCATCCTCCCGAACCCCGAGAAGGTGAAGGCCGTCATGATCGTGCAGAGGCCGCGCGATGTGCATGATATCCGTTCATTTTGGGGGCTGACGAGCTACTTCCGCCGGTATATCGCGGGGTACGCTCTGATCTCTACGCCGCTTGAACGCCTGAAAATGAAAGACACTCCGTTTGTCTGGAACGAGAACTGTGAGGTGGCGTTTCGCCAGCTGAAGAGGGCGCTAGTCACTCCCCCTATCCTAGTCTATCCGGACATGAAGAAACGATTCAAGCTTTACGACGACTCGTCAAGGTATGCTGTCGGTGCTTGGCTAATGCAGGAGGTGGACGGTCGAGACCGTGCAGTCGCCTATGCTAGCAAGTTGCTGACAGGCTCTCAGAAGAACTGGATTAACAACCAAGACGGAATCTCTGAAATTGAATGCTGGGGAATTGTCTGGTCTACGCGGAAGTTCCGCTGCTACCCAGATAAGCGGGAGTTTGATCTCTACACTGACCATCAGGCGCTTACCTGGATCTTCAGTCCTGGCAACCGCACGACCAATGCTAAGCTCGCTCGCTGGGCGATCGAGCTGTCTAACCTACAATTCCGAGGGCATCACAAGCCCGTGACGAGCATGGGGCACGTGGACGGCTTGTCGCGCCTCCCCACCGCGAGTGTGAACGCGCTGACCATGGCGGACCTGCTGAGCCCGGGGGGCTCGCCTGTGGGCATGGACGACTTGCTGAATCCGGACGACTCGCCCGAGGCCGTGGCCAACGACTCAGTCGGGGAGCCGTCCGATCGAGCCGTGGCTCCCGACTCAGTCGGGGAGCCGTCCGACGTGGTGCCCGAACCGATGACTGGAGATGGTGACGGCGAGACGAGCACGGAGACCGCGGTTCCGTTGCCGGAAGACGCTACCGAGGACGAGTCCGCGCCGACGGGCGTCCCTCCGTCGTCCGTGGACTTGTTCGGACTCGATATGGAGCAGTTGAAGGTGGAGCAGCGGAGGATCCCGACACGTGTACTGGCCAGGGTGGCGACAGGACGTCGAGGAGTATTTGCGCGAATGCGATAAGTGCGGAAGTGGCAAGCGTGCGCGTCCGTGGCGCGCTGGTCGAATGCAGAGAATGCCCATCGTGGATCTGACGGGGCCGTTCTCGTTGCTCGTGGTGGACGCCGTGGGGCCTCTGCCCGAGACCGAGCGTGGCAATCGCTATAATTTAGTTTTCGTTGATTACTTCACTCGCTGGGCTGAGGCGTTCGCCGTGGAGCGCTTGGACTCCATGACGTTCGTGGAGGTGATGGTGAACGGAGTGGTGTCTCGGCACGGAGTGCCGTCGCGGTTGCTGAGCGACAACGGCTCGAAATTCACGTCTGAGGTGGCCAAGTCCTTCTATCAGACGTTAGGCATTAAGAAACTCTTTGGTGCTGCCTACCACCCTCAGACTCAAGGACTCGTCGAGAGATTCAACGGAACGCTCATAGGAATGCTACGAATGCATGTGAGTGAGGCTCAAGATGATTGGGATGTTTATCTTCCTAGAGTGCTATTTGCCTACAGGACGGCTTACCACGAAGCCCTGGGAGATTCGCCGTTTTTCTCGCTGTACGGGCGCGACCCAGTGCTTCCGATGGACGTGGCCTTCCTCAATCTTGGCAAGAAGTGGCGGAGTAATGAAGCGGCTCAGTATAGGCGAGAGCTGTACAGCTCTCTCCGTTCCTCGCGACATTTGGTTGAGCGTCAGTTGTTGAAGGCGCAAGATCGGCACGAGCAGCGCCTGGAAGGGCAAGTCAAAGTGAATTATGAAGTAGGAGACGTGGTGTGGGTCTACCAGGTGTTCAGGGCGAAACGCGGCGAAGTGCGCACGAAGAAGCTTGCCTTCGCTTGGCACGGTCCCTATCGGATCGTAGCCAAGGTCGGCGAGAACGCTTATCGGGTCGACATCCCGACTCACCCTAGCAAGACGGTGACCGTGAACGTGAATAGGCTCAAAAGGTATCGTGGCAAGTGAACCCGGCCTTATATGGATGAAGTGCCCGAGGGTCTGGGCACTAGTGATGAAAACGAAGAAGAAGGACCGTTGGAAGAGGCCGACCTCCCTGTGTCGAGCTACGCGGAGCGGTTGACACTAGGAAATGAGGACACTGCTATTGTGGGCGTGGAAGCCCCCATCGTGGAAATAGTGGTGAAGATGAAGGACGGTCAGGGCGTGAAGTACCTGATGATGACCAGCACGTATGAGGTGTTCTGGCTGCCCAGGGAGGCTTTGATGCCAGAGTATGCGTCGTTGGTGACCGCTTTTGAGCAAGCGGATAGGAGGAAGAAGGGGTTGCCAGAGCTTCATCGAAGTGCGCGTTTCGCGGACGCTAACGCCCAAGTCGACGATGACTATTTGCTGCTGGCGTAGTTGGTGATGTTCTTGAGCTAAAGAACTAGTGATTGTGGATATGGATTTACGAGCAGCTCAAGAATGGTGGATATGCATGTCAAGTTCATGTTTTTATTTGGTTTTACCTGCAAAATTAGCGCAACGACTGCACTAGACTCGACTACAACGAAATGAAGAAGATAAACGGAGATCCGAGGCGTGCGCATGACTCACTTGGCCTTGTCAACGCTTGCGGAACGCGACTTGAGCTTCTTGGTTGGAGGCTCGCTCGCCAACTCGCCGTCGTCGTCTGCTTCGTCGCCCGGCAGCGTTTCTTTGGCCGCGACCGGGGCCTTGGTGGTCTTGGGTTGGGCCTTGTCGTCCTCGTCGCTGCCGTCCTTGGTCGCCGGCTTCTTCTTGTCGTCGCTGGAGTCTTCGGACTTGCTTCGCTTGCTGGTGCGAGAAACCGGAACCCCTGGCTTGGACGGAGTGGCCGCTCCCTGCTTGGCGGCTGGAGCTCGGAACTACACGGGGGGCGTCGGAGGCAACGCCGTGAAGACACCGTCCTCGTCCTCGAAGTCTGAGTCGTCATCGCCTTGCTCGTCGGGGTTGAACGGCTTCAAGTTGTTGTACACGGCAACCTTCAGGCCCAACTCCAAGAGCTCGGCCACCTCCTCGACGGTGCTTTGGAGCGACGTGTCTGAGAGGATAGCCTTCCATGGTCCTCGGTTGCGGTTGCCCACCCATGAGGGCACGGTCGCCGGGCCGCTGAGGACATTCAGCTTGATGCGCGCCAGCGCTCGGTCGGAGAGGCGCAGGTGCGCCGGGCGCGTAGGGTCGATGAGCTCGGTCTCCTCGAGCAGCTCGGGGATCGACGCGTAGCCGTCCTCATCGACGATCTTGGGGTCGAGGGCGTGCTCGATGGTCCGCTCGTAGAGGGTCTTGTCCTTGCTGAGGACAACGCCGAGGTCCTCCAGCGCCTTGCCCTTGCCCGAGTGCTTGGCTGCCCTGCCGCCCAACCACAGGAGCGTGTCGTGGACACTGCTCTCGAAGTCGTCGAGGAAGTCGAAGTACCCGTGCTCCTCCACGTTGTAGCTGATGAGCTCGTTGCGTGCTAGACACGCGTTCATCTTGTCCTTGCGCCGCTGGTCGGGGTTCGTGGAGGGCGCGTACAGCGCCACCTGGAGATACAACTCGCGGTAGCGCATGTTGGCTCGGTAGTGGAGGAGGTGCAGCTCGCGGAACTCCGAAGGCGGGTTCCAGCAGCGTTGCTTGCGCCAGGGGTAAGCGAGACGGAACGGAGCGAGGCCCATGCTGAAGGCGCGCTGCGCGAGCGCAGCCAGGTCGAGCTTCAGACGCGCTGGCTCCGAGGCAGGCTGGCGAAAGTCGTAGGCCTTGGCCTTCTTCTTGGTCGCGGCCTTCTGTTTCTTCTTCGACGGCGGCTTCGCCTTGGAGGACGTCCGCGACGATGATCTAGTCCCCGTCGATGGCCGCGGCGGCGGTGGCGTCGACTCCGGCCTGGACACCAACGCCGGCAGCGGGATCAACAGGACGGAGTGCTCGGCAGGCTCGCCGGCCTGCATCTGGTCGGGGTGCCGCAGGATCACGAGGATCTGGTTCAGGCGGCGCGCGTCGCCACCCGACAGGACGTCCATGGCCATGGCGTCCAGGACGTCTAGCCCCTGGGACACGGCTATGGCAACTTCTGATTACCACGTGACTTCAAGTGAATTGACGAAATGTGACTCACCTTGTGGATGGCTGCGACCGTCTGAGAGAGACGCCCAACTGGCTGGTCACTTTCGTAGAACCCGCGAGCGACGCTGGTGACCAACTGGCTGTAACAGGGCCTTGGCTGCCCTGCGCCTCTGCAGGCCGATGGTGACCGCCAAGGGCTGCCCCTGGTGGCGCGCGCGGACGGTCAGGGCGGCTCGGACGGCGTCGATGTGGCCGTCATTATGAATTAGTGCTGCTGGAACGATGGAGTGGGCGACGGACGTGGTGAACGGCCTGGCGGCAATAGTGGTGGTCGCTGCTGAGGCAGCGTATCAAGTTGCGGTGGAGCGTCTGGGAGCTGGCTGGGAGCTGGCGTGGCTCACTGCTGGAGCAGTGTCGTGGACGGTTACAGCCCCCTGCGAAGCATCGGCTCACGGATCACCGCTGCGTTCGTCGACTTCGCCCTGAAGTGGAGCGTGCTGGCCAAGTTATGCGACATGCGCTACTGCAGGTATTTCCGTGGGCCTGCCGTACAAATGCGGCCGCTCCGAACTCGCGTGTGGAAGTGTTACGAGGCCCTGCTGGCCACCCCATTGGTTGTGCTGGAGTCCAAGGGCGAGCACGAAGACGGGCTGGGGAGGTTGCTCTACAAGTGGCTTGACGCCCTCCACGAGTGGTGGTGCGTCTTCTTGCCTGAGACTTGGGCATCGGGACGGAAGGCGTGCTCCAAGTACTGCACGGGCGCGAGTCTGGAGTCTGGCCGTTCGGTCGCCCGTGCCAAGGTTGTCGCCAAGGTGGTATGGACGCTGACGTCCCTGATCCTGTTCTCGGCGTTCTACGCCGTACTGTTCATCTACGAAGTCGTCGAGTGGATCTGCCAGGGCGTGGCCGGCGTGTTCGCCGTAGTCGTGGTCTTCGATTGCTGGTTCGCCTCCGAGGAGGGCGAGCAGGCAATAGTGACTAACTACTGGTTGCTGGTGGTGAATGTTTGGTTTGCGCTGGTATGCATAACCAGCAAGTTGTGGAGGTTGTACGAGGCGTCGGCAGGCGAGCGTTAGCCGCTGACCATGGCCACGGAGGGATACGCTGCGTGGTGCGCGGCTCTCGAGGAGCAGGAGCAGGCTGAGCGTCTAAGTGAGGAATTCTGGAGGATGGACGGCGGGGTCAATGCGCCGAGAGTGCAGGTGCGGACGCGAAGTGGATTGCAGGCCGAACGGAGGGCCTGGCAAGCAAGGAGAGAAGTGGATCAAGCTGCGTGCGCTCGGCGAGGACGCCGAGATGCAGTCGGGGAGGATGTCCCGAGTCGGAACGGCTCGGACCGTTCCAACTCCGCGTGGGCGACGATGAGCGCCTGAGGTCGTCCACCTGCTGTGGCCGCGGGCGAGAAGTTGTGGGCCGTGGACCGGGTTGGAGACCCGTGGGCCGCTACCCGGAGGTATCTCGGAGAGATGATGTGTTTCGCCGTGTCGTGGCGGGACTCCGGGGACGGATGGCATGTTAGGCGGCTTTGAGGGCCGTCAAGGTGAACGGATCAAGTCTTTGGGAGGGATGAGCGGGAACGGAGTCACCCGAAGGCGCTGAAACGCAAGGATCTGCAGAGGTAGAGAGGAAGAGTTAGGAGTAGAAGGAAGGTCAGTCGTGAATTTTGCTTAAAAGGACCACACAGGTCGTAGGGAACACTTATTGCATTTTGCTTAGTGACCTCCTTTGTAGTGGGCCTACTTTGGCTCACTACTTTAGCTTACACGTGTGCGCGTGTATGTGAGGAAGCGTAGCTTAGTTTAAATCAGAGTTAATTATACTCGGGCCTCCGAGTATAGATTAATCTAAATAAACGATCCAAATAATTTTTTTAAGTAAAATGAGAACTGCTATTTTTGTTTTATGTTTCTGACTTCCTCTAAATGTAATATTCTAAGATGGGAATCTGCCAACGGCTGGTTGGCAGAATTCCAATTCTATGCATGTCGCTCATTGGCTAAGAGATGCTGCTCTCAGCCAATAGGAATCCTAAGTCTCTATGGACCACCCGTCGTGGTGGTCGTAAATGTATGTAGCCTTTGGTGTGTCTTCACCACGGTCGAGAAAGTCTTTCGAACCTCTAACAGACGCCGTGTCTGTTAGAGTTACAAGTGATTGTAGCCACTTGTGCGTGTAACCCTGCTACATCCTTGCTATTTGTGTCCCATAAACCTATAAGCACAGGCAGCACTTACTACTCCTATACAGCGGCGGCCGGCCCCAAACCGGTCCGACAAAGCGACTCGCGACAATTGCCTGCACTTCGAATCGTTACCCGATTGTGATGCGGCGGAGGCAAATCAGCGAGGGAGCGGGCACTCCATGTGACCCAAGATTCGAGGCGTGGTTAGGCTGCACTTGATTGAAAACTGGTCTTCTTAAGTGATAACACCAGGCGGCCCTTTTCAAATGTCGAGATTGGTGAGATGCAGGTGTTGCTCGCTACTCTTTAAAATAAAAGAAGATCGCATTGAATCCGAGTTGTTGTGGAGAAGTTACGCTTCATTTAAACTGCATGAAACACTGAGTCTTGCACATCGACCTCTTATCCGAAAGCTGCATGAAGAGGAGGGAAGGTTGGTGAAGAGCAGGGATCGGTAAATTCCAATACAGCAACGGACAGAATGCAACTGCCCACACCAGGAACTGCCACCGGACCAAAGGCAAGGTACCCGTGTGCATAAACTAAGATACCATGCACTATCCGTGTCACCCTAATTTATTGTTTTGGCCAATCAAATTAGATTTGTGGTTATGGATTATGTTTTCAATACAAACTTTAATATACTATAAATATGCGCAAATCTTCATAATAAATGCGTTTACCAATAGAATACCTTCAGTTAGAGCGGCTGTTTTAGTAAGGTACATTGATGTGCGAGCTTAGAGTCTTCACCATCAATCAATGCTGGCAGTTACATTCTGTCCGTTGCTGTTTCCGTAATAACTCGCAGTTACTTGCGGGAATAACTTACTGATACCCCATCACCAATTTCGTGCAATAAGAAATAGGAAGTGGCGCAGAAACCTATACAACTTATGCTTGGTATGATCACTTCCCCACGAATTCGACGGCAATTGGTGTGCAAGAGGAGTCTAAGAATACTAATAAGTAAATAATAGTAACCCCAGTCGGGCACTTTGCTAGGACAAACCGAAAAAATGCTAGGACAAATTCGAAATTCGCGGAAGTAAAGTATAGTGTACCATAATCTTCGAACTTTTGTGAGGTTTGTATCTGAATTACAGGTGCATGGAATGTTTTGGTAAGCGTTGGATATGCTATACGATGATGGGAGTTTTTGTTCTTCTCGCCTTTGTGCTTAACTCGCTTTAACTCTGCACTTGAGTTGTGGCTCAATTAGTGGGGGGAAATAAGAAAATAACCCAATTATTAATTGGGGAGGGTTGGAGAGTCCAATCAATATCGTATTGTATTTTGCTTAGGCGCGTTCTTAAGTTCCCGGGAGCTGGGACCGGGACGAACGGGACGATCCCCCTCGTCCGTCAAACTTGATAATTGTAAACATTTTTTAAGCCCCTAACTCTCGGGAACTACCGCGAGCAACGGTGAAAGAAAAACATGGTCAGATAGCCCTTTCGAAACGTAACAAAGTGGTGCACACTTGGCGCGCATTAGTGAAGAAATGAAGTAGCTAGGGCGAAAGTCCCACGTCCCGACCACGCGAAAATGATGCGGGACCGGGACAAAACGAGCTCGGAAATAAACCTAGCCGCTTTCTGAAAGCCAATCAAATCGCTCTATTTCGTCCCGGGACTTGGGACCGGGAATTTAAGAACGGCCCTTAGCCCTGGTGAAGAGGTACCAGGAACTGAAAAAATCGAGAGAAAAATTTGATGAGAGCGGCAGAAACCGAGATCAGCGACGAAGTTTATAGCATTGCAAATGCGTCGCGGTGCGCCAAGATGACATCACCGAAGAAGCAACTTACAAGTACACTCCTTGACCAGAGTACACTGACAGCATCACGAGCGATGCGTTTTTCACGCTCTTCGGACTAAGACGATCGCGGCAGAGTCGTAGACCACTACTCCTCTGCATTTCGGGCACCGCACAGTACGCAGCCACAACAACCCATAGTAGATTTATACGAGCGCCGTTCGCTCGGTGCAAGATACTTTGGTAAGTGGCCGGTTTTTCCTGATCAGCGCAGCGGAAGCCGGTGTTGCGTTGCGCTCGCCAGACTCGAAAGCAATCTACGGACTGGTTCGCGGTTCAGCAGCATCCATCCACACGTCTGCAAAGCTGCCAGCGGTAAAGTGAGCTGGTGGCGTTGGCTTGCCCTTGTGGTCGCCGGAGCCGTTTTCGACGCTCTATTCATCGCATGCGGGGCCAGGGCCGCGTAACGTTCTCCAAACTGAAGCTGACCACACCCAGCTTGTCATTGCCTTGACCAGCAAGGGCCAAACCTGCACCCGAGGCCGTTATCGCCGTTACGGACGCGTTATTTACGCCCTGTAGTGCAGCTTGGCCAGCGGATCCTCTGCTGCCAGCGCAAATGAGTCCAGACGGCTCGCAGCATCGCAGTGCTCCGCGTCCCATGGCCAGCCGGGCGCGCGCTCGTATGGCCAGCGAGCAGCGCCGCTGCTCGCTGGCGATCCCGTGCCTCTCCGCCGTGCAAGGGGCGCCACTCGGCCACCTGAGTCAATGCAAGATATCGTCCGGTCGCCGAGGCACGCGGCTTCCATACAAAACGCTTGTGTGCGCGCGCGGCGGAAATTTCAAGGCAGCGCGATCCCACTCTTGGTGTGGCGCACACCAACAGCCGGAGAGACACTTCAACTCAGGGGCATAGTAGAGCCAAGTGAATTCGAGGCGACCATCACTCCGACGCGGTACCGTAAATAGAGCTCGAAAAGGCAGAAAGAAAAACGGAAGCCACGGCACGAACTCGGCCTCAGTCAGTGCGGGATTTGCTATAATAGGCCCACGAGTGCGCACTCGCGGCGTCCGGCTCCTCAGGGAAACCTTCCCGACATTCACTCCTGCATTCCGCATTCGCGCGCGCCGCCTTCGGGTAACGAACGACCTCCGCACTCCCGCGAGGTGACAGCAAGCGAGCGAGCAAGTGCAAGCAGGAAACGGCCCCGTCGACAGGAAACTCCTCGACTCGACACGACACGAGGCCTGCGATCTGGCTCGGCATTCTACGACTCGAGCGAAAGCCGCGTCGACACCCGAAGCACTCGGTTGTACCTACCTACACACACTCACTCTCACACACTAGAGGAGGATGGCTGTGACCCCCGTGACCTCGGCGTCAGCCAAGAAGGACGAGCGCGTGGCCGCCAAGGAGCCGGCGAGCGGCTCCACCGCCGGCAGCCGCCTCGAAGTCCGCTCCTGGGAGAAGCTGCACCCGCATGGAGACGTCTACAGCCCGCGCACAGGCCACACAGTCACCAGCAAAGGTAGGCGAGGCAAAGAGAAGGATGAGATGGAGCTGGCGGAGCGCATCTAACTTGGTGTCGTTTATGTGCTGGTTTAGACGGAAGAGTGTATGTTTTCGGCGGCACGGACCGTAGACGACGACAACAGGATCTGTACCAGTTGGACTTGGAGTCGAGCACGTGGTCGCAGGTGCAGACGCGGGGCTCGCTGCCTCCAAGGCGCTCGGGAGCGCTTGGTGTTGTCCACGAGAGCGACATGTTCATCTTCGGGGGCTACGACGGCCGCGACGGCAACTACTTCAACGACCTGTACTACTTCAACTTCGATGAACAGCGTTGGAACCAGATGCCCAGTGTCGTGGAGGACCGACCGGAGGCCCGCACGGACCACATCATGGTGCTGCACTCGTCCAGTATTTATATCTTCGGCGGCTACAACGGCTCGAGTCGGTTCAACGACCTCTGTGGATATGACATCCACGCGCAGCGCTGGAGCCGATTGCAGGCTACAGGCGCCGTCCCGTCCAGACGCTTCGGCCACAGCGGCGTCGTGCACGCAGACACCAACAGGCTCATCGTGTTTGGAGGTTGGGACGGACGTGACACGTTGAACGACTTGTACGAGTATAGCTTCGTCACGAACGAGTGGAGGAAGATGGAGACGACGGGCAACAGCCCGCCGCACCGATACCGCCACACAGCGGTGATCTTCGGCGATAACATGTTCGTCTTCGGAGGCGTGGACAAGACGCACAGCCGCTTCAACGACCTGCAACGGCTCGACTTGGTCACCAATACGTGGAGCGAGGTGTGCACGACGGGAAGCATCCCTAGCAGTCGCACGTTCCACCGAGCTGTTGTCGTGGACAGCAAGATGTATTTGCTCGGCGGATATGACGGGACCGACAGATTGCAGGATCTCTACTCGATCGATATTGGAGCTCTTACGCCGCCGTCGCTGCTAGACATTTGTGCGGACTACGTTCGGACGAACCTGGATACGGTACTAGAGATGACAACGTTCAAGGGCGTTCCCCAGGACATCATCGACCACGTAGTCTTCAAGCGCGACCTCGAAGGACGACTCCGAGGAAAGTGCAAGCTCTGCCGACCAGGCCGGTGCTGCGTCTACCGTATGCAAAAGATGGAGCCGTGCCCACAGGACAAGCAGGATCCGGCTCGAGCAAACGTCTTCGGCTGTGTTTGTGGCCACTCCACATTCCACCACGAGGTGGTCGAGGAGTCAAGTACGTTGCTTGCAGGTTTCATCCCTCGCTGCTGGCGGGGCAAATTACTAACTAATATTTTTGTTTGTTGCCCCTACAGAACTCTACGGAAAGAAGCCCATTGGATCGACATCTACAAAAGGTAAATCTGCCCTCTGCTTCCTGTTCAAAGTACCGACAAGTTGAAGTTGCTCACATGGCGGTCTTTGTTTTATGCAGTCTTGATGCTGTGCGGGTCCATTTACAAGCGTCTCTTCGACTCGACGTCTTCCATGTCTTCAACTTCCTCGCTTCTTTCATCTCCGCGCAGTCGATACTCGGACGACAGCGCGAACAACGAGAAAGAGTGCTTAGCATAGATACAGTAGCAACACAAGACAGCAAAAGCCGGCTGGCTCACTGTGCGCACCGGGACGCATAGAGGGCTAGCTTGATCAACCAGATCGCGCCCTGGAGCCTCTAACTATTATTCAAGTGCTGCATTAGTAAGTTAATCCTCGCTTTCACTTCATTTACCTCCTACGCTCGAGACGAAAGCTGGCTTTGAATGTAGTGGCGCACATCGTCGATACCAGCAGTTGTGATCGACAGTCGGAAGTGAATGGGGTCCGACCACGTGAGCACCTTAAGGTCCTTGGCGTAGTCGCGCACGCTCTCGTAATCTTCCTTGGTGTTGAACCCATCGAAGAGGATTCCCTCCATGAACTGCACGCGATTGCGCTCGCGCTCCCACAAGTAGATCTGGTCTGCGATGTTCTCGGGGATGACTGGCGAGTTGCGGCGCATCTTCGGGTGGGCGTGCTTCATCAGGAAGTCGTAGATTTGCTGCGCCGAGATACCGTGGATGAGTGCCGACCGAAGACTCTCGCGAGTAATGAAGCCGATTGCCAGATTGGGCAACCGTGCAACAATGTCGACGAACACACTGAGCATGGCCACGTGAAGCGTCGACGTCGTGTAGGCGTATATCTTGAAGTTCGTTTCCACCACCACAAGCAACTGGGCACTGTGATCAGCCGTCGGGGCCTGGCGTGGGTCTGCTACTTGTGACTTCAAGCCAGCGCGAACGCCAGCGAACGAGCTCGTGAGACTCACGTGGCTGCGCTTCTGGCCCGTAGATCCACCAAAAATGAGGTTAACTGCGAGGCTCGTCGTGTAAAACCTGTCGGAGTTCGGGCGCTTGCGGAAGAGCAGTCCAAAGTCGATAAAATCGCCAAGTAGTAGCCGCTGAGTCTCCGTCAGATCTGCCACGGCATAGTATTCTCCTGTCTGGCAGTAGCTGATCTGGAACAGAAACTGCAAAATATCCTCCTGCTTCAACGTCCCCGTGTTGTCCAGCGTACGGATGTACTCCAGCATGAAGATCCACATCTGCACGTGAATGTCCTTCAGCATAAACTCGTATCCCGTATCCGTGATATGCAGCGCCCTTGAATCAGCTCCACTAGCCTGCAGCAGCCTTGTACGTAGCAGAATATCCACCACCGACTGCGGCGGTTCCTGCACAGCCGTCGAGCCCACCATGTAGTGAAGCACCGAGTCCCACCGAGCTCGCGCATATCGCTCCAAATCCGCCGCAGCGAACGTGTTCTCCGGGTCCTTGGGGAGCTGCAGACGCCCTCGCTCCCACGGAGACCCGCCCAAATTACTCAGAGCGTACTACAAACAAGAGAACCCGTAAATATGATATGACAAGGAAATATCATAACAGTCAATAACCATTTCTCCACCATGAGCTGCTTCTGGAACGTCGGGTGCGGTCGATACGCCCCGTCCTGATGCACGAACACCTTGAGGCCTTCAAGCTAAGAAGGGAAATACACAGCAGTCGCATACCATAAATTATCTCATATACTGGAGTTGTCATATCATATGCGGGGGGATATGACGTCATATCGCACGCACCTTGTGCAGCGCCGCGTGGAACTGCGGCGGCATGCGGTTGGCGTCCCCCGGCTCGGGCACGACCCACTGCTCCAGCAGTGAGCGCGGCACGGCGGCGTTGCTGGGCAGCAGCCGCATCACGAACTGCTGCGCGAGGGGCGGCAGCGCCTGGAAGATGGCCTGGCACGCCCATGGGTCCTGGTACAGCCGCTCCAGCGTCGCCGGCGGCAGCGTCTCGAGGAAGTCGAAGGCGTCCATACTGGCCCCAAGGTGTTTGGCTCGGGTGCAGGAGCCGAGATCAATCAGTGTGGTGCACACCAGTCCAGTGTGGCTGCCATAAATTGATGTGGCACACCGAGCCATAATGCACTTGAAGAATTGGTGAAGTGCAATGCTACCAGTGGGCCATTCATCTCGTTCTGTGTTGTTGAGTGGATACCGGCCAGATATTTATCAGACCCATGCTTACAAGAGTAAGAGTGAGAATGTTGCGAACGGTGGAGGGAAACCAAAGCTCGTTGTTTAATTTTTCTGTTAGCTATGGCGCTCAAAGGCGATCAATCCCTCGTCAATAACTTAACCGCCGCCTGCTAAGCTTACAGCGCGCCGCTCTGCTTGAGCAGCGGCTCGAGGTCGCCCGCCTTGTGCAGCTTGCGCACGTCCGAGTTGCCGCCGATGGACTTGCCGCCCACGAACACATTGGGCACCGTGCTCTGGCCCGTGAGGTCCTCGAGCGCGTCCTGATGCTCGCCGCCGCCCTCGACCTCGTCCAGTTCCACGACGTCGAACTTGGCGCCCAGCTCCGTCAGCAGCGCCTTGGTCTTGGTGCAAAACCGGCAGTAGGTCTTGCTGTAGACCACGACGGGGGACGCGGCGATCTGTGCTTGCACGGTCTCCTTGGCGCTCACCATATTGATGTTGGCGTAGTAGTAGTGGAAGGCTGGCTTGAGTCTTCTTGTTGGCGGAAGTCAATTTGAAAGTGAAGCGAAGGAGGGTCCTTGTGAGCAGCGAGTTCTGAAGAGCGAGACGCAACGATGGACGTGGTCGGACAGATCCATGATTTGCAGCGGGTCGGACATCATCATCATCCACGTGAAGTCATCATGATGTTTACCACTTTGGATGCGCAAAGTGTCGTCGCGGACATCTTGTCTCATCGTGGGTGGAGAACGGCGCAGAATAACCTCATGGACTGGTGTGAACAGCTTCAGACGCGACAGTGTCGATATAGCGACTGGCAAGTGGTTGTCTGCTCCCTCATTCTTCAATTTGCATCGATCGCAACACAGCATCAGCCAAGACCCCACACCTTCCCACCAACACAATGGCCCCCAAGATCCGCCACGCCGCCCCCGCCTTCACAGCCGACGCCGTCGTCGACGGCGAGTTCAAGACCGTGTCGCTGTCGGACTACAAGGGCAAGTACGTCGTGCTCTTCTTCTACCCGATGGACTTCACGTTCGTGTGCCCCACGGAGATCATCGCGTTCAGCGAGAAGGCGGCCGAGTTCCGCAAACTGGGCTGCGAGGTGCTGGGCTGCAGCGTGGACTCCAAGTTCTCGCACCTGGCGTGGATCAACACGCCGCGCAAGAAGGGCGGCCTGGGCGAGCTGGACATCCCGCTGATCGCCGACTTCAACAAGGAGATCTCCAAGGCCTACGACGTGCTGATCGACGTGGGCGAGGAGACGGGCGCGACGTTCCGCGGCCTGTTCATCATCGACGGCGAGGGCAAGCTGCGCCAGAGCACGATCAACGACTGCCCCGTGGGCCGCAACGTGGACGAGGTGCTGCGTCTGGTGGAGGCCTTCCAGTTCACGGACGAGCACGGCGAGGTGTGCCCCGCCGGCTGGAAGAAGGGCAAGAAGACCATCAAGCCCACGGTCGACGCTTCCAAAGAATACTTTGGCGCGGTGAATTAAGCTCAGTAGTCAATTGGCGTTAATTCCGCGTCGCATGCTTACGTGGCCGTCAACTCCATCACATTTCATAAAGCACTGCTATTTGCATTTACATCCGCTGTTGGATCTTTTCGTATGTCTTTGGTGTGTAAGTTTTGGTGGGGAAAAGAGCAACGCTCAGGTGCCACGCTGAGTCGTATGGTAATCGAACACACGAAGTTACTGCAGCTCCTTACAAGTTTGACTAAAGGCGGGCCGAATGCCTCGAGAGTCTCGAGTCGAGACCATGGCCAGATGTGCTCGGAAGAGGCACTAGTAACTTTGATTTCCAGAGCGCTGGAGAATATAACCCCACCTGGTTGTGTATCAACTGAATTCCCCAGGTGAAAGCGGCGCGTGCGACTTTACTTGGCTACGTTTCTTACCACTTGCTCCTCCTCCAGAAGTGTACTCTGCGACAGAGGCTTGAAGATTTTCATCTTAAACGAGCCCCAGGCTTTCCAGCTTAATGTCCCATCGACTTTGTGGGGCGCAGAAGACCAAGCTGTGTGATTATTTCTTGTCAACGAAGTTCGCCGTCGGTATGGCCACCACCACAAGGACGGGATCAGCTGCTGCGTGTGGCTCGCGCGCAGACTTCAACCGCCCATATGGTGTCCGTCAGCGCCCTATTCGACGAGCTTGCAATCTTAGCAGGGCTGGTCCTAATTCGAGTGGATAGTGCTCGTCCGTCGCGCCAGCACTAGCGGTAAAGCTGCGCTCAGTTCTGCATCGACGTGCTCCCCACCGAGAACTCACCAAGTACACGGACGGAAGTCTAAACGTATCGGAGGAAGGTTCCCCGGGCGTGTCTTCACTCGAGCATTCGGTTCGCCCTACAGTTCCTCCTTACCTTCCGCCGATTTCTAGAAAGAGACCCAGCCAAGACCCAAGCGATTGTTAGCTCAGTTCCCATTCGCATCTGAAACCAGCAACACAAAGCGAGTCACTCTCTCACTCATGCCTGGAAACCAGTCGCGACCCCGAAGATCGTCTGTCGATGCTGCCAACTCGTCAACATCAGCGGGTCTCCAGCTCCTGTCGCCAACTCTGCAGCAGTCCATCCGAAACACGACCTCCAAGCTGTCGTCCGCCCACCCGGCCGAATACTTCGGCTGGAGCAGCACCCCTCCTGCCGAGAATGACTCGGTCGACAACGAGGTAAACGATTTTAACTTCGACGGACTTACGGTGGCCGCAGTGCACAGGAATGAGGTGATTCAATCTACGATCGAGAAGAGCATGGCGGAGTCCGACTTCGAAGGTTTGACGACGGCAGCAACGCGTAAGAGAGCCGAAAGCGAGGTGTTCGACGCGACTGGAGCTCCTGTCGACCTCGATAGGTTCACGCTGGCCGCAGTGCGCGAGAGAACAGAGAGTAACGCGCCCGAGGCGACTAGAGCGTCTACGCGTCAGAGCTCCCGTACTACCACCAGCTCAAGTCGTGACCAACAACCGAATGACGCAGCCGACTACTGCGCCTTCTACTACGACGAGAACTCAAAGCCAAACCCACTCAGCAGCAGCTCAAACAGCACGAAGACGACGAGCAGCACCGACGACTACGAGATGTCGCGACAGCGCCTCAACTCGGTCCAGGTGCAGCGCCGTCGGACTAGTGTCGTGGATCCTAACAGGGGCACGTTCCAGCTAAGCGCCACTGCTGCCGCGGCGGGCTTCCCGATGGCCAAGAAGAAGGAGCTGACGGCGGTGTTCATCAGCGGCTGGCTGCAGAAGCGCAAGGGCCTTGTCCTCAAGCGCTGGAAGACTTACTACTGTCTCTTCAAGAGCGACGACACCCTTTGCCTCTACACGAGCGAAGACACGGTCAACGGGAAGCTGGAGCAGCGGTATCAGGTGCTGCGCGTCATCCTGACTGACAAGAACGACTCGTTCCACATCATCGGCGTTGACGCGGACGGCGAGCCACGTCGCGAGGAGTTCCGCGCCTCGGTGTCGACGGAGTGGGCGCGGTGGTTCCAGGTGCTCGGCAAGTTCTTCGACAGCAATTCTATGGCGCAGGCGCTCGTACGCAAGCCCGAGCTCACGTGCACCAAGACCGTGAACGAGACGGAGACCAGCGACTGGCTCGACAGCAACAGCGAGGCCGAACTCTACGACGAACGCCGCAGCTACTTCAGCCAAAGGAAGCAGTCCGTAGCAGCGGTGCACGACTCGTTCGACGGGAGCGGCGGCGACAACCCGTTCATGAACCCCTCCACGCTGGGCACGGGCGCTCGATCAAACGATACGAAGCTGTCGGACTGCCCCATGATCGAGAGCAGCCATGCCACAGTGCCCATTCTCGAAAACCGACCGTCCGAGTCACAGCTCGATGCAGAGCTCATATCCGGCTTCTCCTGGACCAAGTAGACTTAGCAAACTAGTACGAAACCCATGACGCATCGCTTTATTAATGCACATGACCATTCCAAGTATCGATTGCATGGTTCAACCTCGCGCTTTTCACCGACTCCGCATCGTCGTCATCGTCTTAAGAAACAGCATGAGCACGGTTTGGTGCGAGCGCGAAGTGTGTATATGTATAAAGTCAAAGCTAAAACGCGCTCCTGGTGAGTACAGTACTGTGGGGTTGAATATCACTACTGCAGAATCTGAAGCTGCTAGATAATATGCGTCTGGAATCTGAAGTCCACGAAGACATTTTACAAAAGTGGTAATCATCGTGATGACTTCGCGTCGACGATGACGATGTCCGACCCGCTGCAAATCATGGATCTGTCCGACCACGTCCATCGTTGCGTCTCGCTCTTCAGAACTCGCTGCTCACAAGGACCCTCCTTCGCTTCACTTTCAAATTGACTTCCGCCAACAAGAAGACTCAAGCCAGCCTTCCACTACTACTACGCCAACATCAATATGGTGAGCGCCAAGGAGACCGTGCAAGCACAGATCGCCGCGTCCCCCGTCGTGGTCTACAGCAAGACCTACTGCCGGTTCTGCACCAAGACCAAGGCGCTGCTGACGGAGCTGGGCGCCAAGTTCGACGTCGTGGAACTGGACGAGGTCGAGGGCGGCGGCGAGCATCAGGACGCGCTCGAGGACCTCACGGGCCAGAGCACGGTGCCCAATGTGTTCGTGGGCGGCAAGTCCATCGGCGGCAACTCGGACGTGCGCAAGCTGCACAAGGCGGGCGACCTCGAGCCGCTGCTCAAGCAGAGCGGCGCGCTGTAAGCTTAGCGGGCGGCGGTTAAGTTATTGACGAGGGATTGATCGCCTTTGAGCGCCATAGCTAACAGAAAAAGAATAAAAACGAGCATTATCCTGATAGTTCTGATCAACCAGACAAGTGAATCTCCATTCCAATATCCTTCCTAGCATTCCAATATCCTTCCTAGCAGGATCAAGAACTGCAGTGGATCTGTGTCCGTGTTGCTGCAGGCAACACAGTGATGTCTATCAGCTGCGAAGCTGCATGGTCATCCTGGCGGATACTCTGCAGTAAACTAGCGTCACACAGAAGGTATCCTCTCCTTCGCCTGATCGAAAGTTCCCCTCCACAACAACCACGCCACAGCACGCCACACTACATGTACAGACACATCGAGAGTACGCTGTAACTTAACTTGTTTTGCGACTTATCTACTACTGGCGTCGCTATGCGCTGCTCTATGGAAAGCAACCATAGAGCGGAGCCGTCGGGACCGCTTAGTTGGCGGCCTCGAAGTACTCCTTGGACTCCTCGACCGTGGGCTTGATGGTCTTCTTGCCCTTCTTCCAGCCGGCGGGGCACACCTCGCCGTGCTCGTCCGTGAACTGGAAGGCCTCCACCAGACGCAGCACCTCGTCCACGTTGCGGCCCACGGGGCAGTCGTTGATCGTGCTCTGGCGCAGCTTGCCCTCGCCGTCGATGATGAACAGGCCGCGGAACGTCGCGCCCGTCTCCTCGCCCACGTCGATCAGCACGTCGTAGGCCTTGGAGATCTCCTTGTTGAAGTCGGCGATCAGCGGGATGTCCAGCTCGCCCAGGCCGCCCTTCTTGCGCGGCGTGTTGATCCACGCCAGGTGCGAGAACTTGGAGTCCACGCTGCAGCCCAGCACCTCGCAGCCCAGTTTGCGGAACTCGGCCGCCTTCTCGCTGAACGCGATGATCTCCGTGGGGCACACGAACGTGAAGTCCATCGGGTAGAAGAAGAGCACGACGTACTTGCCCTTGTAGTCCGACAGCGACACGGTCTTGAACTCGCCGTCGACGACGGCGTCGGCTGTGAAGGCGGGGGCGGCGTGGCGGATCTTGGGGGCCATTGTGTTGGTGGGAAGGTGTGGGGTCTTGAGGCTTGCGAGGCAAATTAGTGAGTGGCCAGGCAGGTTGTTGGCCGAGCTGCTTGGCTTGCGCTCTTGTCTGGCGGCAACCGCTTGACGCCAGCCACTCGCCGAGGGGGATCCGTTACGCCTGCCACGTACGTGGCAGTGCGGCGCATCATGCGAGCGGTGAGGTGTATTGATACTCAGATAACGGTTTGTCCGGATACTAGTTGTAAAAAGCAAGTGAAATGATGTTTTGGGATCTTGTTGTATTTAATTAAGAGTGAAAAGTACTGATTCGTGTCTGCCCATGTGCGACCTGAAACAGAGACGGGCGGGTAGGACAGCTTCAAGGCTGAAGTGGCTTCAGTGCTTCAGCCCTGAACTTCAGGCTGAAGGCCTTGCATCTCGCCAGTAGGACCCCTTCTGCTTCAGCAGCTTGGTTTCAACTAATAAGTACAGTAGGTCGAGGGCTGGGAAGAGCTTCGAGACAAGAAGGGGTTTGCTGGCATTGCAGTCAAGCTGTTGAAACGGGTCGGACATCCGAGATCATTTGGGGATTTGGTTGGGGTGAACAGGTTGATTATCCATTTCGATGCACGAAGCTTGCCGTTAAACCCACACACTGGCCAGCTCTTCGTCAAGACCTTCGATGAGGCTGCACTGCTTGTACGCTATGAATTTACACAACGATGTCGCATGGTAAACTCTGGTCCCTGACGCTGGAGATCACAACGATGATGCCCATACCAAGTGGCATTGCCACGTGCCAGGCACGCGCGGGAGGACAAGGGTGCCGTCGGATGCACGTCTTCCAACACCGGACCAACCACGTCTACCCTTGATACGCTACAAGTACCACACTGACCTTGCCCACTCTCGAACTTGCCTCGCAAGCCTCAAGACCCCACACCTTCCCACCAACACAATAGTAGATTTTATTTGTGATCGTATACGGACCTGATCAGAGATTGGAACAGGTGTCTTATCTTGGTTTTTGTATGGTCAAAACGTATGGCACGGCAGTGAGCGGTTGCGAGGAGCGTAGCCTTAGCAAACCCGCGCGGGGCGCCCGCGAAGCAGGGCCGCGCGGTATTTGCGGTGGCGGGCCCAGCGACGAGCATTCCAGCGAACGGACCCGTTGCCGCACACTCGGAGTTAGTTTTCTTTATGCGGGGGTCTGGGGGTGCAACCCCCAGCACACCTTTTAGGAGATCTGTTCAAATCTCTGATCAGTTCCGTATACGATCCAATCCGGAGGTAACGAGTGGCCGTCTTTGGCACCAACAATTCCAGTAAAGTCACCAAAATACGGGAAAACGTCAAAAGGTGTATGAATTTGAAACGTTTTGTCAAAAGCGGTTAACTCGTGTCATTAGGTGTATGCTAGGTTGTCGGTATGACAGTATGTGTATGTGGTTCCAAGCGCACTAAGGTGCATCATAAAGCCGCATCAGCAACGAATGCGGTGACTGGTGTGTGGGCTTAGATCCAAATCCATAAAACCCGGGGTTAGGAAGGCTTCTACCTGATGCAACTAGCAGCGAACACGGTCAACTAATAATAGCATATAGAGCAACTGAACTCGACAACTTCGCTATTGTGGCTACAAGGAACTACCAACGCAAACCGCAAGCGTGTATAGCATGGCTGTACTAGGTAGGTTTTGCATCTGAATTTCGGAGGTGAAGGAGCTCTAGTGAGAGCCCCCAACCGGGGGAGAGTGTAGGTATCGTAGAACTGTGGCAGCGCTGAGGCCTGGCTACAATGGATAGCGACGTTCATTGTAGTCCCTCAGTCGTACAATTCGCTATCAAAGTCATGGGCACCACGAACCGGACGAGCGTGTCGTTAATAAACTACTGTGCTTGGAAGCTCGATCCTGGGTCTGTATGACCCCGAAATACCGCGGCAACCAAAACGTGTGTCAGTACGTGTATGATGAGACATGACGCGACGTGACGCCCACGACCACACCACCTATTGACAAACGTTTTCCCAACGCATACACCTTTTGACGTTTTCCCCCAAAATACTCGTGCAAATCACCAACCAAATCTGAACTTACACCATATCTCCGTGTACCAAGGAATCCGTCAGTCACACCAGAGGGCCCATAGCCTACGATGGTCTGTGGGAACCACCCACCGCCTCGATGGGTTAATCGAGGAGAATTGCATGAGGACCACGTACGGTGACTTTGCGTTTAACCGCACATAGCACACGCTGCCGGACCTCTTTTCGCTGGATGTGTCGGCGTTCTACATGGCTGTACTGGAAAGCGTCGGACTCGCAGACTCGCTGCTCCGCGCAAAAGGTGGTGTGACTGTGACTGCAGACACTTCTCGAGCTGTTGTGCCTCTGATTCTCCACACACTCGCGGGCGTTCGCCATCGCCAGGTATCCCAGCAAATTACGCATGGGGTTGGCTACGTCAGTGATCCAGCATTTGAAGGATGGCGTGTACACTATAACTGATCGAAAGGCAGCAGTGAAAGCGAACGACGTGAATCGGTCCAGATTCGTCGACGTTGACCGTCTCCGTGCCATTTTGACCTCGTTCTAACTTTGCTCGGAATCGTGCTTCTGCGCTCCATCGTGGGGGCATTGGCGCTCGAGATTGAGAGTGAGGAGAGTACGCTGCCTGTTAACGTCATCATCGCGGTGAATAACGACGGCAGCTTGCAGCGCCGGCCACTTGAGTGCAGCCTAAAGTCGGCCTTTCCCCTCGACGAGCAGCGTTGCTGGCGGCAATTGGAGGTAATACTCGCCAACGTAAACGAATGCTGATAAAACTCCATTGAAGTTATCTTGTGCTCTACTGTGTCCTGCATGTGTAGCTTTTTATTCCTGGTGGTATGTATGTAAGAACGTGCTGAGATACTCGTCGCGATCTTCGCTGCTGTGGTGAGTCCGCCATATTTGCCGCCACTCCAAGTCTACGTCGTCGACGTCGGACATGTTGCTTGCCTGCTGCCGTTGAGACGGTAGACAGAATTGTAAGTTCGTTAAGTGCCGTCGCTCCGTGCTCGACACCTAGTGAGACCCTGGCCACTCAAAGCGAATCCCCTATGCGTTGTCGTACATGGTGTACGACACCATTGGTATTAGCCCAATTTCCAAGCTACAGCTTGTTATAATTTATAACTTATAAAGGGACTGGGAAAGGGGTACAATCTGAGTACACTGGTGATTCGACGGGAGCGTAATATTTGGTGTGGTGTTTTTTTTTCAGGACCATTGGTGATTTTCCGTTACGGCTTGGTGCCACGGTCAGATTTACTGGTGCCGTACGCAAACCCTCGGAGGTAACCAACACAATGGCCCCCAAGATCCGCCACGCCGCCCCCGCCTTCACAGCCGACGCCGTCGTCGACGGCGAGTTCAAGACCGTGTCGCTGTCGGACTACAAGGGCAAGTACGTCGTGCTCTTCTTCTACCCGATGGACTTCACGTTCGTGTGCCCCACGGAGATCATCGCGTTCAGCGAGAAGGCGGCCGAGTTCCGCAAACTGGGCTGCGAGGTGCTGGGCTGCAGCGTGGACTCCAAGTTCTCGCACCTGGCGTGGATCAACACGCCGCGCAAGAAGGGCGGCCTGGGCGAGCTGGACATCCCGCTGATCGCCGACTTCAACAAGGAGATCTCCAAGGCCTACGACGTGCTGATCGACGTGGGCGAGGAGACGGGCGCGACGTTCCGCGGCCTGTTCATCATCGACGGCGAGGGCAAGCTGCGCCAGAGCACGATCAACGACTGCCCCGTGGGCCGCAACGTGGACGAGGTGCTGCGTCTGGTGGAGGCCTTCCAGTTCACGGACGAGCACGGCGAGGTGTGCCCCGCCGGCTGGAAGAAGGGCAAGAAGACCATCAAGCCCACGGTCGAGGAGTCCAAGGAGTACTTCGAGGCCGCCAACTAAGCGGTCCCGACGGCTCCGCTCTATGGTTGCTTTCCATAGAGCAGCGCATAGCGACGCCAGTAGTAGATAAGTCGCAAAACAAGTTAAGTTACAGCGTACTCTCGATGTGTCTGTACATGTAGTGTGGCGTGCTGTGGCGTGGTTGTTGTGGAGGGGAACTTTCGATCAGGCGAAGGAGAGGATACCTTCTGTGTGACGCTAGTTTACTGCAGAGTATCCGCCAGGATGACCATGCAGCTTCGCAGTTAAACTGGTCATGGCATCGCGCGGTGCGTTTCTTGCTTACGGCTCTGTCAATTACTTTCCTCGCTTGACTCTTTTCCCCCCACAAATGCTTGGCCGCAGAGTATATACACTTGTACACGTTCTCGATGGATTCATGGAGCCACGTCGTTATTGCCTCTTCGCTGCTATTAGCCACGTTAATTGAGTCCATCAGAGACAGTTTTCCTGTCGCTAACATGTCAGATAGCGTTTGCGTATACTCCATCATCTCCTCCGGGGTTTTCTTCTTAGTATCAACGTGCCGTATGGACCTCACACCTTTCAGGTGTCTGCGCGTTTCCTGCAGTTGGCTGAGAGCTAGGCTGACAAAAGGCGTACCGACGTGGTCTCCTCGATTGACGGAATACAACCATATCCCGCTCTGTTCGACTTGGTGTGCATGCTGCGAGTTGATGTAGATGTTGTCTAGTGCTGTGTAAGTACCTCCATTTGAGTACGTGAACCGCGGTGTTCGGGGGTGTCGCTGTTTGAACGTTGACACTAGGCCGTTTACCTCGGTCCATTGCTTGAAGTACTCACTTTGCCGTCGCGCACCCGCCGCCTGAGCCCCTGGGCCTTGCCGGTCTAAGCCACCATCTGGATATGCGTTGAAGTCTCCCCCTACTATGATGATTTGTTGGCGTTGCTGCGCGAGTTCAATGCGCGTATCGATCCAGTCCCTCTCTTGTTTAGTTGTCATTATGTTTGCTTGAGGGGTATCTGGCAAATACGTTGCAGCCAGCACGAGCTCGGCGCGTCTACCGAGGCGGACTGTAACGCTAATGGATCGTCCGGATGGAGATAATTTCGTGTCTTGTTTAATCAGTCTTCCCTGCCAGCGTTCACTGTCCATCAGGATTCCTGCACGTTTGTTGCCGATAAGGGTAAGGCCTGGCATCTTAGATCCATCGGTAGCCGTGACCCAGATCGTTTTCGTGGTTGCGCATGTCAGTCCCGTGTCCGCAATTATCATATTGTGCTTTTCAGTTGTTTTGGCAAATCGGACGTGTAAAACAGCTACCTACTAAGATGGGGCTAGGTTATCGGAGCAGATTAGCAGGCCCCTCGTTGGGAATTAGGACCAAGAATTGCTAGTCCGATGGAAGCACTTGCGTAGGTCCTACAAACAGCCGAAAGCCCGAATGTCGCCCATTCTCACGGCATTCGGGGTTTGAGGTCTTACCAAGGACTCCTGTCAAGTCTTGTGGCAGGACTTTCATACGAGCTGACTCTAATACGGTGTATGCCAGACGCAGAATAAACCTAGGTAAGCACGATGCGGTCGATACATTAAACAACCAAGTCTTCTCCCTTCGCCTTCGTGGGTTCCAGCACTGATTGCTTCCCCAAACAAAGCTTGCTTGGCTTGGACGTCCATTGAACGGAAAGCCTCCGGAAGACCGCTCATCGGACTCGTCCGAGATTTGCATCTCAGATTTAGAGACCACCAACCTCAGATTAACTGACCTCCAAAGTCCTACGTAGGACTCGGCAAAATGACCGAAAGGCACAATAAAATCAAGTCTATTCGCTATAAACCATGTTGTAATTTCTCCATCCATTTTCCGTAACACGCCTTTGTTGATATTAGCAGATGCAATACGAAGATGCTTCGACAAGTCCGTGGTTGCGGCATCTCCGCGGTCTCCGATATATTGCTCTTGAAAGAAGTCACAGCTTAATATTTCCTCCAACGATACCTCCTCTCCGGTTTGAGATGTACGAGAGCTTCGTTCTCTTCCTGGGTTCCACGTCCTGCGTTTTCGTCTCCTGTAGTTCCGTGGAGTAGCATGCGCAACTGGTTCTTGCGTTAGCAGTCGCCAGTCATCTGCCTCTGAGTTTGACGAATCATCGGATGATGATAATTCAATTCCAAGTTAGTCGACCTAGCAATCGAGATATCACTTCTCTTCTGGATCCTCGAGGCGGGGTCACCCCCAGCTCTCGTCGTAACATTCACGACAATAACTGGGCTAAACGCTGGGTCGTGTCTGGTAATGATGCTGCTTCCTGATTACAATCTCTGACACCATGTACGACATTTCTTTTTATTATATTCCTTCTTTTTTTCTTAGTTCATTATCCATTTGGCTTGCTCACTAAGTATGCCTTAACCACTCCAACCAGGTTCGACTTCCTCGTTGCTGTCGGGTATCCCATTCTCACGGTTGTCTACTCTTTGTCAAGCTTCAAGCTCGACCGCTTCAAATTAAAAATCAACCTCGAAGTTTTCCCGGTCGGATGGTTCAAACGAGATGCGAGCGTCATCGCAGACCCCTGCAGACGGATATCATCTACAAGTCTCTGAAGTCGCTGCAGATTTTCACGGCGCTGGACTACTTCATTCGAGTGGGGCTCAGCATGGTGTTCGCTTATCGCCTCTCACGTGGTGGAGCTCATTCGGGACCCGACCAAGCGACCAACTCGCTTCTACCCGAAGCGCCATTGGCCGTCCGCGATCGTGTTGATTTTGTTTGTTATTGTGCTGGTCGTCTTCGTAGAGGAGAGCATTCGCACGTCGGATGTGGCATGTGAGCTTAACCCCGAGTGTGCTGTGAAAGCTCACCGATGGATTACTGTGGAGAAGGACTCACTCGTCGAGTGTCCTTGCCTCACGTTAATTGATCAAGATCTGGCGCCAAAGTCCTTAGAAGCGTGGATGCAGCCGAAAGATGTGACGAAGAAAGTGGCGCAGCTTGCGGCAGCTGGCGATCTTCGTACGATTCAGCTCGTAAATCGGTATCTTCCGGTGATACCCGATGAACTGCGGCGATGTCGAAATATGAGGCACCTGTAAGTTTGTTATATTTTTTTTTCGTTGTTGCTCGTTGATTCCCTAACACGTTTTTTTTTCGTTTCTGTAAAGCGCTCTGGTATATACGCACACGGAAACACTGCCTACGTGGATCAAGAAGTTTGTCAAGTTGGAATACCTGTAAGTTGTCTCGCTGGGTTTATCTCGATAAAACAAATAGGTGTATGGAGTTGCCTAACTCGCGTACCACGCGTGTGCAGTTATGTTGAAGGAACGTTCACCAGTTCGTTGCTGATGCTTCCAGAAGATATTTTCAATGATATGCCGTGCCTCACGTTCATCCACCTTGGAATGCATCTCCATATGCAGCACCTCCCCTCCTTCGACGGTCTCATCAACCTTAAGGCTCTGACATTGGCAGTATTCGTATCACTGCCTGCATTCGACAGGTTGACGAGTCTTGAGCGGTTGCTGCTGGTTGCTTTGTCAAGCACCAAGGGGCTACCGGATCTGCCATCCGTCAAGAAACTTAAGACGTTCACCGTAAATGACCGTGGCGGCTGGTGCTGCAACGGATTTCTAGGCGAGTGTGATGTGGACGACCCGTTCTGCGGAGCTATGCCACTCGTGGGGTTACCGCCAGTGTCTTGCCTAGAGCCAACCGATCCAAGGGCGACGACCGAGACACTAGCAGTGGTCAATAAGTTTTCGTCAACGACCTGCCGTTCACCCGAGCCCACCATTACAATTCCTGGCCCTCCGACACCGGAAGGTATCGCTCAGTGCGGTGGCATTTTGTATCGTAGATGCAACGTCTCGGGCTTTGAAGAAGCCATGTGATAATACAACACGAGGTTCATGGCCATCTGGTCCGTTGGCCATCGAGATGCGACGTCGACAGATTCAACAGGGCGTTGGCGATCGTTGCAATCCGAAGTACGAGGTGTGGCTAGGGTGTAAGGAGTAAGAATTGATCGACTGTATTCAGCATGTTGGCCGGATGTAAAGCTTTCAACTCTACATAAATTACAATTCTGAAGTCTCAGAGACTACATAGGACTTACTTACAACCGAGCCACGCCTCGAACTCGGGGTTGCATGGATCACCAACGCCATTCTCAATCTGCAGTCGCCGCATTTTAATCGCTAAAGGGCCTGCATCACACGAGATCACCATGAACCGAGCGCTGTAGCACATGGCTTCATCATGTCCGGGTAAGCTGCACTGCCGATACACGACGCCTCCACACTGGGCACTTCGTTCAGGTGTGGGAGGGTCCGGTCCCGGGTAAGTCATATCTGGAGGACGACACACCGTCTCGGAAAACTTTCCCACGGCTGCCAGCGTCTCAGCGGATGCTTTGGCTACTGTAGCCGGCAGGCACGAAGCTTGGCCGAGGTGCCAGAACGGGTGGAAGCCGCAGAAGGGGTCCTGCAGATCGCAGTCGCCCAGAAATCCATTGCAGCACCACGTGCCGCGGTCGTTAACCGAGAACGCTTTGAGTTTCTGGAGCGACTTGAGGTCGGGGATCGTCGGGATCAACGGTAACCCCGTCAGCACTAAGCGTTCGAGGTTGCGCAGGCTATCGAAGGACGGGAGTTCCACGAGCGAGCCGAACATGGCCAAAGTGAGCGCCTTGAGACTCATCAACCCGTCGAGGGAGGGGAGCTGCTGCATACGAAGGTGCAGGCCCAGGTGAATGAACGTGAGCGAGGCCATGTCGTCGAAGATGCCGACCGGGAGCTCCACCAGCGAGTTGACGAAAGTCCCCTCAACATAACTACATTAGTACTATACTATCCAATCCCAAAAGGACGAACGAGCCAGTGAAGCTTACAGATATTCGAGCTCTGTGAATTCGTTGATCCAGTCGGGCAGGCGGTCCATGGAGGTGTAAACTAGCGATCTGCACATTGCAACTCCGTGAATAACGCACAAAAAACTCGATAGACTTTAGAGCCACTTACAGGTGCCTCATGTGCCGACAGCCTCGAAGTTCATCCGGGAGCACGGGAAAGTATCGGTTGACCAGTTTAATCGTGCGGAGATCTCCGGTCGCTGCCAGCTGCACCACCTTGTCCGTCACATCTGTAGGCTGCAGCCACTCCATGAAGGTTTTCGGGGCGGTCACTTCGTCGATGAGCGCCAGACACGGACACTGCGTGAGCGACCCGTTCGTCACCTGTGTCCACCGATGGGCCTTGACAGCGCACTCCGGGTGGGGGTCACACGCTAGCGCTGATGTCCACACGCTCTCCTCCACTGCGACGATCAGAGCCACGATGTATTAACACCAAGAAGGCGACAGACAAGCGATGGCGCTTCGGGTACAGCCTCGTGACCTTCTCGGTCGGGTCCTTGACGAGATCCGCGACTCGCGACAGGCGATAGGCGAACACCAGGTTGACTCCGATACGCAGGACGAAGTCGAGCGCTGTGAAGACCTGCAGCGACTTGAGCGCCTTGTAGATGACGTCCATCTGCACCGGATCCGAGATGACGCTGGCGTTGCGTTCGAACCACCCAATGGGGAAAACCTCGAGGTTGATGGCGATTTTCGTGCGGTTCATGCCGAAGCTCGACAGGCAGTAGACGACCATCAGTATGGGATAGCCCACAGCCACGAGGAAGTCGAAGCTGGCAGGATTATTTTACCCGCTGGTTAGAGATACAAAGAGGAAGAAGGAGAGTAGAGGGAGAGTGAGAGTGAGTGGACGTACAACGTGTCAATGAGCACTTCGGTCAGCCCGCTGTGGTGGTCCGGGAGAAACATCATGGTGATGCAGGATAGAGCATTTGAACCGACGATGGCTGTGAACACGCTGAGTAGCGCTGGAGGGGAACCGGCCTCAAGAATCCGATGCAAAAGCACCGACTCCACGCCTAAATCCAAGAACTTGACGCAGACCCGCTGCTTGGCATGACACAACACACATTAGCTGTCGAAGGCAAAGTATTTTCATCAAACGTGATGGATGGCCCCTACCGTTAGTTTCATGGCGCGGCTGTCGTCCTTGACGAACAAGAGGATCGCTTGAGCGCAGAAGGCGGTGAATCTGTTGCCATGTTCGACGTCGGCTTCGCGTACGATATCGTCGTGCAGTTTGGCCTTGACGGAGACAACCAGCGACGCCCGCCTACTGGTGGCCTGCACCACGCGCTTCTTGCGAGTTGCGAGCAGCTTCACGACAGCGGACGCGTAGCCTACGGCCACCACCAAGAGCCCGGCCACAGAGGCCCACCTCATGGCGGTGGGTGGGTCTACCATGAGTCAGAACGAGCCGTTGTCGAAGTTCTCCGTCTTCATGACCCAGTTCACGGTCTCATTGGGCTTGATAGTCAGCAGGATGAGCCACACTGTCCACGCCGTGTAGACGAGCGCCATGGTCCCCGAAAGAACATCATCGTCACTGTCTGCAGTCTCGAATGTCGGTTGGACTGGATTATGGGGTTTTGCTTCTCCGGGCTGGGGCCTTCTCGACTGACCGGAGGCCGCCAAGGGACCAGTTTCCGCCGCAAACTCGGGCTGTGCAGCAGGTCGAGACTCGGGAGCGACGGGCTCTTCGGCTGCTTCGAGGTGGCAAACTCGAGCGGGAAAACTAGTTGCGTCATGACCGGCTCGCTCGTCTGTAGTCCAGAGCAGAATGCTATCTGTACTGAGTTTTAGTTCAGAGTCGAAGCTGCTGCTGGAGTTTCGCTGGAATGCAATTCTGGTATGAACTTCCGACAGCGTTGTCAGCTCGTGTCTCCTTTTAGATGACAAGAAAACGTCCGCAGCTACGCCGTTCTGGTCTGAATCATCCACGATAACTGAAAAAGGGAGCGTCGTATACTGCAGGATGGTGCGAAAAATTGTCCAAAGCGTTTCCGGTCGTAGACAGTATTAATAACTAGTGCTCCTAGTATATCAGCATCATTGTATCTGGACTTCACCTACTTGCAGCCAAGCCACGCCTCATACTCGGGGTTGCAACGATCTCCCACGCCCTGTTGAATCTGCCGGCGACGCATCTCGATGGCCAATGGACCGGGGCGCACGAGATGGCCATGAACCTCGTGTTGTAGCACATGGCCTCCTCGAAGCCCGAGACGTTGCATCTATGATACAAAACACCACCGCACTGAGCGATGCCTTCCGGGGTCGGAGGACCAGGAGGAAGCACCGTCGACTCGGCCTTTCGACAGACAGTGGATGAAAACTTGTTGACTACCGCAAGCGTCTCAGTCGTCGCTCTTGGATCTGTTGGTTCTAGGCAGGACACTGTGGATATGTCCAGAAACGGTAGAGCTCCACAGAAGGGGTCTTCTAGGTTGCACTCGCCTAGAAACCCGTTGCAGCACCAGCCGCCACGGTCATTAACGGTGAGCGTCCTGAGTTTCTTGAGGGATCCCAGATCTGGTAGCTCCTGGATGCTTGGCAAGCTTATGAGCAGCAGCCGCTCGAGGTTCGTCAACTTGTCGAAGGACGGCAGCTCAACAAGCGACACAAATAGTGCCAGCGCCAGTGCTTTGAGGTTGACGAGGCCGTCAAATGACGGGAGGTGCTGCATACGCAGATGTATTCCGAGGTGAATGAACGTGAGGGATGCCATGTCGTTGAATATATCTTCTGGAAGCTCTACCAGCGAGTTAGTGAACGTTCCTTCGACGTATCTAAACAACGTTCCAGCAGAAGTTGGTCAATACATCGTTTGCTAACAGAAACTAGCAAGAATACTTACAAATATTCCAACTGGACAAATTCCTTGATCCATGGAGGCATCGTTTCTGTGTACGTGTAGACCAGAGATCTGCAGGCAACAATGCGAGTCAGTGGGTTGAAGAGATCAACCAGGTACGGGTCGAAAGTAAACTTACAGGCGCCTCATATTTCGACATCGCCGCAGTTCATCGGGTATCACCGGAAGATACCGATTTACGAGCTGAATCGTCCGAAGATCGCCAGCTGCCGCAAGCTGCGCCACTTTCTTCGTCACATCTTTCGGCTGCATCCACGCCTCTTAAGACTTTGGCGCCAGATCTTGATCAATTAACGTGAGGCAAGGACACTCGACGAGTGAGTCCTTCTCCACAGTAATCCATCGGTGAGCTTTCACAGCACACTCGGGGTTAAGCTCACATGCCACATCCGACGTGCGAATGCTCTCCTCTACGAAGACGACCAGCACAATAACAAACAAAATCAACACGATCGCGGACGGCCAATGGCGCTTCGGGTAGAAGCGAGTTGGTCGCTTGGTCGGGTCCCGAATGAGCTCCACCACGTGAAAGAGGCGATAAGCGAACACCATGCTGAGCCCCACTCGAATGAAGTAGTCCAGCGCCGTGAAAATCTGCAGCGACTTCAGAGACTTGTAGATGATATCTGTCTGTCTTGGGTCGGCGATCACACTCGCGTCTCGCTCAAACCACCCGAAGGGGAAAACCTCCAGGTTGATGTCCAATTTGAAGCGGTCGAGCTTGAAGCTCGAAAGGCAGTAGATGACCGTGAGAATGGGATACCCAACAGCCACGAGGAAGTCGAATCTGTCACAAAAACAAAAAAATCGTGAGGGAGAAAGCTGAGCAAAAGCTCAATAATAATATGCGTACGTGGTATCAGCGAGAATCTCGATCAGCCCGATATTATCGTCAGGGAGGAACATCATCGTTGAACACGACAGTGCATTCAACCCAACAATCATCGTGAACGTGGCGACAAGTGCAGGAGGTGAACCCGCCTCGAGAATCCGATACAGCAGCGCTGTCTCGATCGCTAGATCTGCTAGTTTAGTCCAGACACGCTTCGAAGTCATAAAAATTGTTAGTAAAAGTTTTTCACCTTCTTCAAGGCAGTTTTTTTTCTGCTACAGTACTCACTGCAATTTTGAACGCGAGGCTGTTATCTTTCACGAAATATGACGCTGCCCGAGTCAGGAACATCGTCAATAGACGCCCCTGTCGGTCGCTTGCACTGCGGATGATCGTTCGACGTAGATCTGCCTTGATCGAGTCAAGCCGAGACGAATGCGGGGTTTGGGTGACGTGATTTTTTCCCTTGACCATTTTTACGAGAACAGTGGCGTATGCTATCGCCACGAGCGCGAGACCACATAGGGAAAACCACATCATCACAGCTGGAGGTCCACCAGCAGCCAGAACGAGCCGTTGTCGAAGTTTTCGGTCTTCATGACCCAGTTGACGGTGTCGTTCGGCTTGACCGTCAAAAGTCCGAGCCAAATCGTCCAGGCGAAGCAAATGAGCGCCATTATCTCCGGCACCACGTACATCGTCAGCTTGAATAACCCCATCGAAGACATTTTGCGTTTGATCAAATTGCCAAGGGGCCGGTCGTTGGGCGGGGATTCAAACGGGACCACTGCTGTCGTTGAATTCCTAGACGCCGTCTTCGCCTTGGGTCCGGGTTGCATTGCAGCCATCGTAATACTGTAGTGCTCGGTTGCTGTCCTGTACTCGATTGTCGGGAATAAGTACTGAGTACCACTTCGCTAAGTCAATTTATGGGACTACGTGGCAAACGATAATAGAAGTTCTTATCACTTTAAAGACCCTCCTCCTCCGAATAGACCACAACACGGCCCTCAAGCGTTTCAATAAAACCTTACTTCCCTTGAGATAGTACGGGAAGACGAAACAAGGATACGTGGATAGCGAGCTGTTGTCGACTTTTGCCTTGTGGTTGTGGAGTTTCAGGTCGACGCAAGAGTTCTATCTGTACTTGAGGCTCGGCATCAGCATCGGCACGACACTGCAAGAAGCCCACACCCATGCACGGAGTGGTGAACGCGACCCCCAGCTCAACGCTTCGTACTTTGGCATGAGTAGCACAAGGCGGCGATACAAGCGCCAAGACGCCACCTTCGACCCCCACTCCACCATTATCCCCCGCCCCGTCGGCCAGCACCTTGCGTAGCGCTCTCTCCACATCACTAGACTTCTCAAGTCTTCGCGTCAACGCCCCCACCAAGTTACTGCGGACAAAGTGCTCCCCTCGACCAGTGCACGCCACCGCGAACGCGTTCTTCACCCTGTTCTGACCCTCACTCCTCTTCCTCTTGCGACTGGAATTCTCCTCAGCGTTTGCAGCATCACACCCCATCCGAGGGCAGCCCGCGAGCCCCAGTCGACCTGGCACTTTGAACGCCACCCCGCCACTGGACAGCGCCGCTGCAACGTCCCCCCTCGGATCCATACAGATGGCGCCAACCGTGTCGAAGCGCTCCTCGTCCTCTTCCGTCTTGGTCTCTGCAGCGTCTTGAAAGCGTCGACGCCACTTGTCCCAATGCTGCTGAGCCTTGTCCGTCACCTGGTACTTGTCCAGTTCTTCGTCGTTCTCCGTCGCCGTCTCGAGGCCGAAGTCACGCGCCAATTGCCGCGCGTGCTCGCCGACTACCACCAGCGGAGGCTGCCGCCCGAATGCGAATTTCGAGTTGATGTCACCACCGCCTTCAACTTGCTTCGCCTGCTGCATCAGCTTCAACGCCAATGCACTGGGCTTCCTCACGCCCCGAACAGCTCCACAGCAGCTCACCAAGTGAGTCTCGCCGCATACGACGCTGGCCTCGCACTCCACTCGCCCGAGCTCCGTCAGGTTGGCCCCCAGTCCGGCGTTCGTGAGACTGCTGTGCTCGAAAGAGTGCAGCAGCTGAACGGCGACTTCCGCGGCTGTGGGTGGAGAACTGGCGCTGGCAATGAAGCGGTGAGTGTTTTCTAGAGCGGAGCGGAGCAGGGAGAGGTACGCGACTTCGTTGGAGGCGCCATAACGCCCTGCACCCGAGTGCACCGCTAGCAACCAGTCGCTCATCGTCTTGTATTGTTCGCAAAATTACGTCCTCTCGTATAATTCACGTCTGACGTTGCTTTAGACGGATGTCAACTTAAACGAACATCAACACCGCGTATAAGTTGACGAAAACCGTTATTTGGATTGACACATGCGAGGCGAGGCGATCTCTAGACACCGATGTCCTCGTTCCAGAGCTGCGGCTTGTCGTGGATGAAGCCCTCCATGAGCTTGATGCACGTCTCGTCCTGCAGCAGCTTGACGTCGACGCCCCTCGAGCGCACGTACTGCTCGGGGCCCTGGAAAGTCTTGTTCTCGCCAACGACGACCGTCGGGATCTTGTAGAGCAGCACAGCGCCGCTGCACATATCGCACGGGCTCAGCGTCGAGTAGAGCGTGGCGCGCGCGTAGTCGGCGGCCGTGAGGCGCCCGGCGTTCTCGAGGCAGTCCATCTCGGCGTGCAGCACGGCGCTGCCCCGCTGGACGCGGCGGTTGTGGCCGCGCGCGACGATCTTGCCGTCGATGACGAGCACGGAGCCGATGGGGATGCCGCCCTCGCTCAGGCCCTGTTTGGCCTCGTCGATCGCGGCTTGGAGGAACGGGTCCATGGGGGGGGGGGGGGGGGGGGGGGGGGAAGCTTCGGTCTCGCGCGGTCAGGAACTTCCTGACAGGAAGGAAGGGGAGTGACGTCGCAGCAGCAAAGACGAGATCGGCGCGAAGTGTGATGAGTGTTGTGGACCGGGCAAGCTGCTGTGGATGGGCTGGTTGGTAGCTGCTAAAGCAAGACACACGATGGGAGTCCATTAGTTGACTGCGAAGTAATTGCAGTGCATGTGACTAGAGTACAGCTTGTGTCGGTAGATCGGGTCATGCCCCACCGTCATGGTTCACTGTCCTGGGCAGCGCAAGTTGAAGGCGTTTGTTTGCTTGGGCTTGGCGGCGAAAGTCACCAATCGACCCGATTTTTCCTGCGCTTTGATTCGCGCTCCAGGTGAACTATCTCAGATGTGCGGGCTCTTGATTGGCTAATACTGTATCACGCATCTGATGCGCATTGAAGTTCGCCGCACCTTCCAGCTCACTCATCTCGGATTGCTCCGTCAACCCCCAAGCATCAACGCCCACGCCAATTAAAGTCAAGCACCATGTCGGTGACCAGCTCCCGCCCAGCCGAGCTCATCGCGCCGCACATCATCGAGAAGCTGCTGGAGCACCAGAGCTCCGTGGCGCTGGTCACGACCGGAGGAGAGGAGGACCTGCAGTGGACGTATGCGACGCTGCTGCGTCGGGCGTTCGCGCTGCGTGACGAGCTGTTGGACAAGCTGCCCAATGAGGGGCAGCCCCGTGTGGCGATGCTCGGAGCTCGCGGTGCGTCGTACCTGATCATCCAGTGGGCCATCTGGCTGGCGGGGGGCATCGCTGTGCCCCTGCACCCGGCCCACCCGGCGGACGAGATGGACTACATCGTGTCGGACTCGGGCGCGTCGCTGCTGGTCGCGAACGCGTCGTTTACGGAGCTGGGCTCGAAGCTCGAGGAGTACGTGGCGGGGCTCCCGTCGCGGCTTAATGTGGAAGTGGTCGTGCGTCCAGACGATGTGAAGGGCGGCGATGAGAAGGAGATCTCGAGCGAGCAGCAGAAGGAGGTGCAGAAGTGGCTCGAGACGCAGGACTACGCCAAGGCTGGCGCCTACATGATCTACACCAGCGGCACCACGGGCCGTCCCAAGGGTGTTGTGACCACGCACGCTGCGCTGACGGCGCAGATCAGCGACTTGGTGACGGCGTGGGAGATGTCGAGCAGCGATCATCTCATCCACTTCCTGCCTTTGCACCACGTCCACGGCATCCTCAACAACCTGCTCTGTGTGATGTACGTCGGTGGATCCGTGGAGTTCTTGCCGTTTGCAAAGCCGTCGCTGATTTGGTCGAAGCTGGGAGAAGCTGCCAACACGAAGCGCCCCGTGTCGATGCTCATGGCGGTGCCCACGGTGTACATGAAGCTGCTGGAGGATATTGAGAAGCAGCCTCAAGATGATTCCAAGGTCCAGAGCGCGCTGGCTGGTGCTCGCGGGCTGCGTGTGGCAATCAGCGGCTCCATGGCGTGCCCCGTGTCGATTTTGAACCGTTGGGAGAGTCTGACGGGCTTGCGTTTGCTCGAGCGCTACGGCATGACGGAGCTTGGGATGGTGCTGACGAACCCGCTGCACGGCGACCGCCACCTCGGATACGTGGGCAACACATTCCCGAGTGTGTCGGTGCGTGTAGTGGACCCCGACACGGAGACTGAGCTGCCGCTACAGGAAGAAAAAGAAGGCGAGCTCCGCGTAAAGGGCCCCTCTGTCTTCCGCGAGTACTGGAACAAGCCCGAAGCTACGGCGAAGGAGTTCGATGCTGAAGGGTGGTTCAAGACTGGGGACATTGTCCAGTACAGCAACGAGTTGAAAAGCTTCCGCATCCGCGGCCGAGCGAGTGCTGACATTCTCAAGACGGCTGGTTACAAGGTTTCCGCGCTGGATGTCGAGCGCGTGCTGCTGACCCACCCACAGGTGCTCGAGTGTGCAGTCTTCGGGCTACCTGACGAAACGTGGGGACAAATCGTGGCAGCCGTCATTCGGCCCGATGTTGCAGGTAATAAGGTGGGCCCAGAATCATTTTCCCCGCACCTTGTGGAGTTCTCGAAGGAACACCTCGCCAGCTATCGCGTTCCGCGCAAATACTTCTTCGTTGAGAAGATCCCTAAAAACGCGATGGGGAAGGTAAACAAGAAAGCGCTGGTCAAGATCTACTCGGAAGATACGGCTTAGTTTTCGACGACTTGAGGCCTGGGCAGGTCGAACTGTTGTGCGCTAATTCGCGTGCTTGGGGGAAAAGATGATTTCGCGGCGGCAGGCTGTTTGCTTTGACATTGCCGTCACTGTGGGTGGACTTGTGGGTTCCGGCAGCAACTGGGCGTCGGCTACTGGTAAGGTGGTGCTGTCAGCACTGAATCGTAATACAGTGAGTACAATTTCCCCAAAAATCGGATTGCTGATCGAGTAAACAAACCGAATGCTCTCGTCGATTCTGTAGCACTGCACCAGGGTGTACATGTAAATGGCGACGCTCTCCATTTCTTGGTATTTGGTACTGCTGGTGCCAGTCAGGTTCTCCTTCGTCGAAGTCTTTGAAACGGAAACAGCGTCAAGAATCCTCTTTGTGCGCGATGACATTGTCCACGATCGTTGCATCCCTTTTCTGCAGGCGGTGGTGTCCGAGCTGTTCATGCCACGGTTTTCTGCAAGCCAAATAGCGAAATGTGAGTGCAGCATCATTACCCCATGTACATTGCATCGTACCCGCTATCGGTGGCCGCTTGAAGCACCCTAGTGAGTCCCCAGGAACTTGTTGCGAATTCGCAGCCGCCATTATGCGCTCTTTATCATCGATGGGAATAAGCGTGTTGCTGATCGAGTGACTGCCATCACTTCCCGTCGAACTTCTCGGAGAGGGGATTACCAGCGAACTCGTATCCGGGCGCTGACCTGCGTACACGGTGGTATTGGTGTGTATGTTTGTTGAAAAAATGTTGATGTTGATGGAGGTGCACTAACCGTTTGACAGACTACTGGGAATCTCATCGAGAGGAGAAGCCAGCTCCAAGTTCCCAGGGGACGAAGCCGGACGACCAATGTGAAGTTCGGCTTTGGTGCTCCTCTCTTCTTTGAGCGACAAGAACATTCTCTTTTGCCAACCTGGAGGTGGGCGTCCCAGAACAATGCTGCCCTGCGATGATGTGGAGGTCGACGGAGACGGTGATGCTCGCGGGGTAGCTGTGAAAGGTTTCCGCATTTCCAATTGATCCTGGCTCACGAACAGCACGTATTAGAAAAGTAGAACGCTATGCCGAGGAAGATATGACAGTCTGCTGTAGTGTACTGCTCGAGTTGTGTTACTGTGAAGCTGAGTTTGAAGGACTGAAGAAAGTTTTGAGTGTTGGGCCCACAAAACCACAAAAAATATATAGGCAACGCTCAAACCTTCGGCACGGCTCATTCTAAAGGATAGAGGGGAAGCTGCGAATGGACTCGACGGCGGCGATTCGTGAAGTTTCTCGTGAATGCTACATGTAGTGAGAATGTTAGCCCCAAATCTGCAGTGTTTACAGTCCAAAGAGTCTTACGAGTCTATCGTGCTTGTGAACAGCTCACTTTCTCCGTTCGCCAATGCCTAATTCAAAACGTAATAGCGTTACAAACGATAGAGCAATAGCGCGTCAATGCATCATAACATTTGTACCATGCCAGGATCGGAACCAGCGTCTGAATTGGAGTTGACCCTCGCAAGCTGAAATTCCCGCTCGCTCACCTCGTCATGAGGTGCTTGGGGCTCGTGAAAGCTGAAATTCTCGGCGTCAGGTGAATATTCTTGAGCCTCAGGTTGCCGACTGTGGATATCTTGGTCTTCCGAGTGCTGTCGCAGGTGAAAGTTTACGGAGAAGATGAGGCATAAGCACTTGTTCAGAAAAATACAAGGATTCAGGCCCACCTGCTGCGCTTCTTGACCGCCGTTATCACGTCGATATTGGGAACCACGATCGCTACACACCTCTGAAATAGCAGAACCAACTGAATTTTGCTTCGTGTGCCGAGCTCGCTTCTTCTGCGGCAGCTCTTGACCATCACTACAGCAAAATCGTCCCAGTTAGCAACAGTCTCCTGCACACCACTTCCGATTCACTTACTTGAAGAAAAGCATGTCAACTCCGGAGGCAATCGATGACGGCGGTCTCTTCCCAGCACCAGGCTTGATCCGTTGGACAACAGCACTCGGTAGCTGGTCGTACTTTCTCGCCTTCTTTATGGGCGTGAAGATGCATCGCGTCTCACTTCTCCCTTCGTCTTGAACAGCCTCTTCCTGCTGCGCGCGACTTCGTTCCTGCGTCGGACTTGGGCGAGCTCCACTGGTTTCACTAACGCCCCGAGGTCTCTCCTGCGCGGCCTCCTCGGTCCTTGGATCCGTAGCATCTTCCGCTTCAGCAGCACGCATGGCGCCCTTGCGCTCCAGCTCCAGGACGCGAATATCTGTAGCGGACGTCAGTAGCTGCGTATACCCCACGGAAACCAAACACGTGCATTTAACCAGACCTTGGGACTCTTCGTCGTCTCCTACCGGTAGAATGTACCAGGGAGTCGTCGAGTCGCGTGCTCGAGCGGGCTGCGAGCTTCGCACGGGGCTCGTGGGTCGCACGCGCTGGTGCTGCACCTGAGACGGGAAGTGCATCTGGCGACGTCGCCCGCGCTGTGAGTACAGCGCGCGGTGTCGACCGCTCGTCATCCAGTTCATCTTGGCGGCTCCGGGCTTGTGCGTGCGGCTTGCGAGGCAAATTGCGGAATGAAGAGCAACGCTCGAGTGCGGAATCAGAGTGATGGTCATGTTGAAGTCGGTATACATATGTATACTATACCCAGCAGTATACACTTTTGAAAGGTGAGATGGTGTTGAGTAAATATGGGTCGAAGAGAAAGCTGCTACTGGTCGCGTGCTGACTGTGGTGGCTAGTCCAGGAAGTATCTGTAGACGTAGTCCTCGTCGGTCAGGTCGGCGGCTCCCACCACCTCCGCGCACTGTCGGTACAGCGTCGAGACCTCTTCCGACAGGTTGCGTCGTGCTCCGTGGTAGGTGACGAGGCAGTCGCTTGGGATGGCTCGCAGCAGCTTCTTGACGGGCTTCATGCATGCTGGGGAGCGGCAGAAGATGAGGAAGTCGCGCTCGGAGAAGGCCAGCACGTCGAAGAGGGACCGGGCGTCGGTGCGCACACCGGCGCTGGGCATGGCGCACGAGCTGAAGAGCACGCTGTTGTCGAGCGTAGCCTGGATGCGGGTGCTCACGTCCGAAGAGCACTTCCTTGTGGCCAGCACCGGCGAAGTGGTGACGCCCAGGAACAGCAGCAGCAGGAGGAGGAGGAGGAGGGGGAGGTTGGCGGACGAGGAAAGCATGGAACTGCGGAGAAACCAAGCTGAACGGGGGAGGGCTTTGACGGTGTCAACGCTAAAGGAAGAGTGAGCCCTCTTGACTGCTGGTACGTGACGTGCGCTTGATGCAGATCTGAGGGCGAGCAGATTCGAACCGGCTCCAGGGAGCACCTGGAGTCATTAAGCGTGAGTTATCCACCGAGCACCTGCCGCCAGGTAGCCACAAGCCTTTGCCCGAGCCTGGAAAATTGAGCATTCGTCTACGCTCTGCGCCCTACAGCTAAGCAGAGACCCGCCCGCCTCATCGAACCGCGCGCCGAGACCTCGCGACTTGCACGTTTGCTGTCCGAAATCCGGCTCGAGCTTCAACGACCGTCGGATCACGCGATGCACTTTGACGTCCAGTCATCATACCAAGCCTTCGCGGCAAGCATTCTGGGTATTGTTGGATACACCGCACCACAGCTGCGGTCGACCAGGGTGTCAGGCGTGTTCCACAGGATCTTTGTTGCTCATGTCCTCATAAAAGATGACCACAGTCTGGTGTTATTGGCTCTTTGGGCACAAAGCGTGCAATCATTTGGCATGGGGTAGTTCGGCAACAACGATGTGCAGCTCCCATGGCTGCTATTCGAGATTTCAAGTCTGCTGATGCAGTTGGATGGCGAAACTGCCATCACCTAAAATGGGCAAATTGCCGCACGAAACAAACACAAACGCAGTGTGAGAGCTTTCGAGAAAGTCGAAAGCAAGGGGAATTTCCAGCTAGAATTCACTGCACATAGCGTTTCGATTGGCGACGATGCCAGCTCTTCGTCTTCAGAACAGCAAAGGCTACGCCGATTGCACGGAACTCCACCGAAAAGCACAACGTGGTCCAATTCTCACCGACTCCGTGCTCGTACCGCAGAAAACCATCATTTTCGACAGGAAAGGTCACGCAAACTACCCAGGAAGTTCTCCCAGTGTCAGCACACCGAAGCAGCGATCGCGGTTCCAACGATGTTCCAGCAAGAGATTAAAACGGGCTTTGCTGCAATTTGCGGTGGCTGCAATGGCGCTCATCTGCATGGCATGGACGCTTTCACTTCTAGTACTAGCGCTCAAACCCAATGAGACCGTGAACTGGGTCATGAAGACGGAAAACTTCGACAATGGCTCGTTTTGGTTAATGGTGGACCCTTCAACCGTGATGACCTGGGCGTTCTGTGTGTGGCACTTCTGTCGTTGCAGTGGCGTACGCTTCTGTTATCGTGAAGGTTCTAAGACGAAGTAACCACGTCGGTCAAGAATCGCGTTCGTCTCTGCGCCGACACGTTGACGCCACGACAGCAACTGCGCACAGAAGGTTTGTACGTAGTGCTAGTGGCCGCTTCGAGAGCAAGTTAGCAGCACTCATCGACCAGTCAGCTTCTCTACTTCAGCAAGACGACAGACATGCCGCCAAAATCATAGTAAGCCCCGATGATAGTGCTTGATGGCATATTTGACTGCATTGGAGCTGCTAACTCCTCGGCCATACTATTTTTTTGTAGCGAGTCTGGATCAAAATTGCCGATCTTGTCGTCGAGACAGCAATCCTGTATCAAATTCTCGAGGCCGGATCCGCATTAGTGCTCGTTGTCGTGTTCTCAACCATTGTGGGGATGAATGCACTTTCGTGTCTTCCTGACGGACAGAGCGGGTTGACTGAAGTGTTCGTGGACATATTGTACGTTTGCACCGTCTTCCCATGATTCTCACTCATCATTCACTGCTTTATCGCTAGGTTCGACTTTTTGGTTGTTGTAGTGTATCCCGTCCTTGATGGTGATTTACTGTCTCTCCACCTTCAGTTTGGACAGACAGAAAATCGCTGTTAACCATGACGTTTTCCCGGACCGATGGTTTGAGCGGAATGCCAGAGTGATCGCAAACCCGGTCCAAACGGACGTCATTTACAAAGCTCTGACGTCTCTTCAAATGTTTTCGGTTGTCGACTGGAGTTTACGTGTGGGAGTCCATCTTGTATTTTCCTATCGACTGTATCGCGTGGCGGAATTTGTGCAAGAGCCACGACTGGCGCCACCTCGCATCTAGCCCAAGAGGAACTTTGCATCTGCTAGTTTCTTTATTATTTTCGCGGTTGCGGTGGTCGTATTTGTGGAGAAAAGCGTGTGGACGTCAGCTTTGGCGTGCCAGTCACACCCAGAATGTGTTGTAAAGGCTCATCGATGGACTATTGTTGAGGAGGGATCTCTGACTCAGTGCCCTTGCTTGACTCTTGTCGACGAAGACCTGGCTCCAAAGACATTTGACGAGTGGATGAAGCCGAGAGATGCAACTCTCAAGTTGAAACAGCTAGCGGCGACAGGAGACCTCAGGACAATTAAACTAACCAACAGGTATTTACCAATACTTCCTGATGAGCTGCGGGCCTGTCGACACGTTAGGCATTTGTACGTTCATCATGAGTCACGAAGAGGTATTGACAAAATAGCTAACGAAAACCTTGCGTAGGTCTCTTGTGTATACAGACACGGAACAGGTTCCCGACTGAATTAAGGAATTCATCGAGTTGGAATATCTGTGCGTCGCTTTCCCTGTCATTGTTTTTTTCTCTCTTTCTTTCTTGACCTGGAAATGCTGACTCGAAGTAATTTCATGCTGATGTTGCACGCAGCTATGTAGAGGGATCATTGGCCAACTCATTACGCGAGTTACCGAGCAGTATGTTCGATGACATGGCGTCTCTTTCATTCATTCACCTTGGGATGCACGTTCGCATGGCAAGCCTCCCGTCATTTAAAAGCCTCAGCAGTCCCAAGGCTCTCACGTTAGCCGTGCTCGCCTCGCTCATCGAGTTGCCATCCTTCGACAACCTTCACAACCTCGAGCGGTTGATGCTTGTATTCCTGCCAACTATCCAAACGTTGCCAGACCTGAAATCGCTACAGAAACTCAAGGCATTCTTCGTAAATGACCGCGGGAGCTGGTGCTGCAACGGATTTCTTCACGATTGCGATCTTCAGAATTCATTCTGCACAGCGCAGCCGTTCTGGGGCATTCCCTCGGCAACTTGCCTGCCATCTACCCCAGCATACAAAGCGACCGACGCGACACTGGCTGTTTTCCAAAAGTTTTCCGCTACAGTTTGCAAGAAGAAGAGGGAAACAACCTCGCTTGATCCCGGATTCCCGACTCAAGAGACAATTGCCCAGTGCGGTGGAATTCTGTACCGCAAATGCGAGCTGCCTGAACACAAAGAAGCAATGTGTTACAATGCAAGATTTATGGCGATTTTCTGCAGTTCAGGCCCGTTAGCAATAGAGATGCGGCGACGTCAGATCCGGCTGGGAATTGGAGACAAATGTAACCCGGAGTACGAAGCATGGCTGGGATGTACGTAAGTCAAGACGACGAAACTTGATAAATAATCGAGATATTGGGCGATTGGCATCTTCCACGTGCCTAACCTAGTCCAGGAAATATCTGTAGACGTAGTCCTCGTCAGTCTGGTCCGCTGCGCCGACGACCTTAGCACACTCGCGGTACAAACTCGAGACTTCAGCGGACAGGTTGCGCGCCGATCCATGGTAGTTGATAAGGCAGTCCGTCGGAATGGAGTTGAGCAGCGACCTCACTGGTTTGGCGCAGCTCGGGGCTCGGCAGAAGAGGAGGAAATCACGCGGAGAAAATCTGAGCACGTCGAACAGCGAGTTGACGTCGAGCCGCACACTCGCACACGAGCTGACGAGCGGCCCGTTGTCGATTGTGGCCGTGATGGAGTCGTTCACAGCTGACGAGCACTCTGCAGCTGCAAGCACCGCCGGAATGCAGCTGAGTAGCAGTAGACCAGCAGTCGCGACGAAGCTGAAGCCGTTCATGACGACGCGGAGGGGTGCTGGCTACGAGACTGGAAAATGGGGAATGAAGCTGAGCAGCCTCTGGTCGTCACAGCTAGCGACTGTATAATTCACTCGTGACAGGTCCAACCGCCCGCCTCACAACGCTTACACTAAGTTACTTTCGGTCGAAAGGTTGGATAAGGCACAAAGTGATAACTCGGTTGGATTTGCCCGGCTTCAAGTTGAAGCCATCAACAAGGTTTACCGGTCGGTCCCGGCTCACGGCGGGGATCAGACTCTACATTTGGCTGTTCGAGCTTCTCTACTGTACGCCAACATGGCTCCGAAAGTTGCGTGGCACCACCAGACACACATGTGTCTATTGCAGTGCGAATGCTTCTGGCGTTGGAAAAACACACACGCCGGACACATCTGATCTGCTCAGCTTCCTCGAGACTTTGTTGGGGCGACTCGTGCTCGTTTCAGTTTGCACAGCGCGTGCAGATTCTTGCCAATTGACACGTGCGCACCGGCAACATAAGCAAAAAGTAACTATCACGCAGTGCAAAAGTCATGAGCGTGCATCGAATTGGCACTTGACGATTGTGATGGTACCACCCAAAGCTCCCAACTGCGATAGCCACTCGACGATGATTCGCTCAGGAGGACGAGCTGAAGCTACTGCAGAAACTGCCTCGCTGCTAGTGCAAGACACGCATGAGGTCAAGTTTGACGTGAAGGATGTCGACGACAAGAAAGCTGCACCCAGCAAGAAGACGCCGGAGACTGGAGCAGCGGCGCCGAGCAAGATTCTGTTCCTCGACGGAGTACGAGGCCTCGCCGCTCTGCTGGTCGTCACGCAGCACTCGCACGAGTACGTGCAGGACCTCAACCTCGGCGCCTGCGCAGTGGACGCCTTCTTCGTCCTGTCCTCGTTCCTGCTGACGATGCTGTTCATGAGGAAGAGCGAGAAGCTGCTGGCTCAAGGCGCGAGCTACCGCAAGTGGGGGTTCACACTGGCCGACTACTTCTCCAAGCGGTTCTTCCGCGTCTACCCGCTGTTCGCTCTGGTGGCGACTGTGCTCTGGATGCTGCCGGACGAGGCGAAACACCGGTTCTACCTCATCGACTCGCCCGAGAGCTACGACCTCTTCAAGGTGCTGGCGTTCGACTTCCACAGTCGGTACTTCGTGCTGTGGACGCTGCCGCTGGAGATCTCGTACTACTTCTTCATCCCAGTGTTGGTGCTGGGCGTGCTGAGGCTGCGTCGGTTGTGGTGGGTGCCCTTCATCCCAGCGTACGGGTGGGTAGTCTACGAGGGCTGGTACACGTACCGGTGGGACCACATGCCGCTGTCTCCTCACGCGCCGACGTTCGTGGCAGGCTCGATGGCGGCCGTTCTCTTCGTGAAGTTTGAGACTTGGATGAAGGAGACGCGGTTCGAGTTCACTGGGCGCCAGATCCGAGCGGTCCGAGCCGTCGAGTTTTCTGCGCTGTCGATTCTGCTGAGTCTGAGCTTCCGGGGCCTCTTCTTCCACTGGGTCCACGGCAACGTCGCCCCCACGACGCCGGGATTTCCGTTCATCAGCGTACTGTTGACTGTGGTGTTGGTGGTGGAGATGTTGCTGCCGTCGGGTTTGTCGTCTCTTCTTGAGTGGAGTGCGCTCCGATACTGTGGCAAGGTGAGTTTCTCCATCTACTTGCTGCACGGGTTCGTTATCTACAACCACGGGGTCAAGACGCAGCCTAGTTACTATGACCGCATGTTCTTACGGCTCGGCCTCACGCTCATGCTAGCTACAGTGTCGTATCATTTGGTGGAGTATCCCTCTCAATTGCTGGCTCAGCGCACCACTCGATACTTGGCCAAGCAAGAACTGCAGGGGTCGACGGAAGCTGTTCACTCGGTTCAATCCAAGGACCCGGTAGCGGAAGGGGCTGGGGAGGTTCCCTCTCTTCTCGTCTACTGCAGGAAACCTTCCCTAGTTGCGAGAAGCCCTCCCGCTAAAGAATGCGACGCAGCATAATGCCTCGTTGTCGGCACAGGTTAATAACCTGAGGTTATACATCGGGTTTACCGTAGTCTCTCCTTCGTCGACAGCATCACTTGCCACTGGCAATGCCAGCAGTGCTGCAGCAGTGCTGCTGGCCCAGCACCCGTCCAATGTCGTGGCGTTGTTGAGCATATGGAGCTCATGCACTTGAGCGCCACCAAAGAAATTCAGCCATGCATTGCCACAGCACGTGGGGATTGTGAGTGTGCCAACCGGATAATACTTAAGTAAACGATTGCTCCCCTGAAGGTCGACACGCAGCATGTTCCGCTTCAGAGGAAGCGCTGAGGCAGAGCACGCCGCCTCGGAATCAGGTAATTTCGCAACGACTGAGGAGCTCCAGAAGAGGTGCGAGGCGGAGAAAGACGAAACTCTTTTTTCCCGGGCGCCGTAAGTAGTCTAGATCTATTCATTCTTCGTTTTAGCTGGTAGCCAAGAAGCTACCCTTCAAGCAGCCCTTCGCGCCCGAACCCATGGCCACCCGCTCAGTGTTTGCCCTGTTCAAGCCCGGTCTACTGGACACACGTGGCTATGCATATGGTCAAGCGGAACTACTGGACGGAGACGACGCAGCGTCCGTTGTCGACGTTCGCCGCGTTAATTCGGGGAGATGGAGCGCCTTCGGCGATTTTGAGGTCCGGCGCCCAAGGTCGGATATGCTACTGCGTGCTGTATCGGAGGAAGAAGCCACAGGTGGGATCGGAACCTATGTTGGAGCGTGCGCCTGCGTTGCGCGTGTCCCTCCATCGGCAGCGCCTTCCTGGAACTACGGAGCTGTTGCCGGCTACAGCTGGGACACGCTGGTTCATGGCGGGGTACTGCATATTTCGTTCGGAGAAGACGTCGAACCGGTTCCCTTCAAGGAACACGAGATCGAAGCGCTGGAGTACGCGCCATACGCGTTGCCACCCTGCAACAATCGACGAATCATCGACTTAATGCCCGCTGAGATGCGAGCCATTCACGCGGCAGCTCTCAACCACTTTAAAGGCGTAGGCTGCAGAGCCACAAGACGCTCGAAGTCATTCTCGAGAAGTTACAAGCTCCGTTGGTGGACGAGGACAGCACAATTGTGCTCTACGATGCCTCAAAAGGACGGATCTGCCGTGTCTCGACTAAGTATGTTCTTGACTACGCGTACTACAAGGAGGGTGGACGCCGGATTCCGCGAGGGGTAGCTCTCGGCGACTCCATCTTCGAGAGTCCGACACTCGGGACCCCTGAGGTTCCTTCGCTGGGTGCCAGGATCCCGACGCGCGGCGCAACAGGAGCCGTAGAACCAGCAATGACTTCAATGGCGGCCGCTTTAAGTGATTCGGACGAGGATGATGACGACGATGGTCCACAGCCTGACATGCATCGCCCAAGTGCTTCGCCGCCCTTGTCAGCACCTATTGCATCGCGCAAGCGTACACGTGACATTCGCGAGGCTTTGACGGACGATATGAATTCGCTCTCAACGCTCCGTGATACGTACGCTACGAACTGCGCCAGATCGATCGTCTCCTGTCGCTGAGCCAGCCAGCATCGACTACATCTGACGGGGCGACCAGCGGCGCGGCAGACACCAAGGCACAGTTTCGCCCGACTGCAATGTAGCGCCAGATCAACGGCCAGCTAATAAATGGTACGTATGCTAGATTGGGCTATCAACTTCTGGCGGAAACACTGCAGGTTCGCCTCCAGTCGACTGACATACTGCCACACCCGGCCGTCATCTGTGGATTTCTGTGCTGTGATTTCGGTATGCGTGGTCTGAGTACCATGCATTTTGGAGGATTGACGGACAAGGAGCGCCGTCAACGTGTTCAATCGTGCGATATGTCTGATTTTTCACGGAAGAACAAGCTGCCTAAGTTGGGTGCACCGCCGGATTTAGCATCGATTGCCTCTGCACTGTCGGGTCTAGCAGCAGTGACTGAGTTAATCTACCTCCCATTCATGGCAAACAGTGGAAAATAGTGGAGAAGGCACGCGAGTTTGTTTCCAAGTTGACTCGTTCAAGGCTGAGCCGCAGCTTTGGCATCCCCGAAGCACGATCCGAGTTGGTTCATTGGGTGGACGAGCGCTTTGAATCGATGAGACTTCTGCTGGCACAAGACCAGATCGAAGCAGCTCAAGCCGTTCATGAATCATTTCACGAAGGGGATGCCTCCTTTACGCGGTTAATGCAGGTCGTCAATGAGTGCCGGCTTGCGCAGTCCGAGAAACAACTAGCGGTACTTGAGCGTGGTCACCACAGCCAGCCTGGTCGAGCAGCGTCGCGACAAGTCAATGCCAAGCGCCCAGTGAAAGAGGTGAAACGAGAACGAGCCGAGATCACAGAGGCACTGTTGAAGATGCTCCCGGTACTGAATGGCAAGTCTCTTTGTATGAAATATTTGTCCAGAATTGGTTGCCCGAGCCGCCGTGATGGATGCTTCTCCAAGGATAGAGGTCATTTTTGCCCCGACAGTTTGCCGTCGGAGGTTCGAGATGTGATTATTCGCTGCTACGGAGGTTTCAAGCCGGAGTTCGCAAGGTTGGCGAAAGAACCAGACGACGCGTGACGGTCCTACTCCCCCCTCGGTGACGGTATATTTTTCCTGTCGAGACCCGTCACCGAGGGCAGCGCAAGGTCGGAGTCAGACCTAATGAACAAGTCTCCGTCACTGCACGCAGATCTCGACAACAACATGGGTGGAAGTCTCACGGTGGTTTCCCCTGCAACCAGTGGTAGGGCCACGAGCTCTGCTGGTAGTCCCGGTGGTTGGGCCACGAGCTCAGCCGGTTTGCCCGATGCCAGCGGTAGGGCCACCAGCTCTGCTGGTCTCCGAAACGCGGGTGACATCCCCGCCACGCACCGGGGTGAAGGCACTCAGCAAGGCATAGAAGCAAGCGATCAGTCTCAGCAAGCGTTCATTTCACAGCAGTACCGCCGTCACCAAGCTACACTGGTAGTCCGCCACAAGCTACTGACTTATCATCGCGAGGCTGCGCGAGCTGGACTGGACGTTCGACTTGCTGCGTATGTCTCACCCGAGGTCACAAGACCCGGCCGGGCAGAATTCCACCTCGTATTCACTCGACCGCAAGAAACAGCAGGTCTACAGTGACTTCATTCGACGGTCGGGTATGGGACTGCCCGAGTTTGTACGTCTTCTCCGTGGTGAAACAACATCAGATCCGCGCCCTAACAAAGCGTTGGAGATCCCATCCCATTTACCAAGCTGGGCTACGTACGCCTACCGCCGCCAATGGGAGCAGGTCGTCCACCATGGTGTTGTTCCGGGGTGGAAAACCGAGTTTGAATCCCAGACAACAGCTCCATCGAATCACGCATCGATGTCGGAGGCGCTGAACTCGATTGTGAAAAATATTCGTAAAGGTCAGGACAAAAACCAGTATCTTGTGCTCGACATCGACATCCTCAGCATATTGTCCGGGATCACATGCAGCCCCTTTGGCGCGACAGAGAAAGGAGGGCTGCCTCTTTCCGAAGATGCACGCATGATCCACGATCTGTCATACCCCAAGGGAGCGTCCGTCAACGAGCATACCCAGGATCTCGACCTGATACCAGTTCAATACGATGGCCCGCCAACTCTGGCCCGTCGTATCCTCGATGTCAATGCTGAATTTCCGGGACGGACCAAAATGATGTCTGGTGATGTTAACGGCGCATTTCGTAATATCCCTATACATGCTGATCATGTCGGACGATTCGCAGGGGTGATACCGGAGCTCGGGGTACTTGTGATTGACCTCTCTTGCCCGTTTGGCTGGAAACTTTCGCCAATGCACTATTGGCTGGCAGGAGCGGCAATTACCCACCTGTACTCTACTTCCAAACCTCGCTGGTCTAACCAATCGGGACCAGCCAATACGTACTTCGACGCGAAAACATGGTGCGATGATCACAATTCGATTGAGCCGGATGTAGGTTCAAGGTTGGAGGAAGCAGATCTGGCATTACGTGGAGCGATGATTGTCGTGCTGGGTCCCGAGGCGGTGAATGAAGATAAGTTTACATCGTGGTCAACTCGTTGTAAAGCACTCGGACTGGTATGGGATACATCTGCGTTGTATGTGGCGATGCCCCAGGACAAAGTTACGAAGGCCATCACACGAGTCGACGCGCTGTTGGCATCCACACACACCACGCGCACGAAGCTCGAGAAGCTGCTGGGGAGTTTGCGCCACGTGGTAACGTGTATTCGCTCCGCAACTACGTTCTTTCAGCGTTTGGCAGCTTTAGCCCGCTCGGCTCATCGTTTCTCGAGTGTCGCCATCAATGAAGGAGCGCGGGACGACCTACACTGGTTTCGGCTAATCCTGCGAACTGCAACACTAAACTGGATACCCCTAGGACGATTTACGATGACACAACCACCCGACTTCTGTATTGTTATGGATGCAAGTGACTTGGGTTTGTGTGCACTCTGGCCCTCACGACGAGAATTTATCCAAGTTCCCTTTAGCTCGGAAGAGCTGCTGCAGATTGAAGCCTTCAAGCATGACGGCTCCGGCGACTATGGAATAAACCTACGCGAGTTGATGAGTGCGGTATTTGCTTGTGTGGTCTGGGGAGAACGCTGGGCTTGTGTTGAGCCCGACCGTCAGCACCACATTCGACTCCGCATAGACAATCAGTCGGCTGTATCGTGGACGAATCGAAGGGCGAGCAGGAATGCCACGGCGCAGACACTGCTTCGCCTGTTAAGTTTGATGGAAATTCGTTTCAACTTTTTCGTGACGGCCTCGCATATCCCCGGCGTGGAGAACATAATGGCAGACGCTGGGTCTCGGGTGTGGCAGTCTCCGACGAAAGCTGACCTTTTTACTAATATGTCGTCTGCATGGACCCAGGTGAGAGTGCCACCCGGCTACAGGAGTTCTCGACTCTTTGGGAGCGATGCTGCGCGCTGGGGCGTTGGCCGAGTCAAGCCGAGCTCACTACAAGAGCGCATGGGGTCAATGGACAACCTGGTGCCGTTGGTTGAACTACCCCATCTGGCTATCGGAGCATGATCTGGACAAAAATGCAGCGCAGCTCGGTTCATTCGCGGTGTATCTGTGGCGCTTTGGGATGAATATGGCCGGCCAAGGAAATTCATACTCAACTATCTGCGCGTTCGGTGCTGTTCGGTGGTATCACCGCTACAATCTCGGGTATGACCCGGGTGTGAACGCGAGCCACGCGTTGCTACTCCGCGGCATCCGGAGGTTCACGAACCCCGTTTCCAAGCAGCATCCGCTGTCACCCAAGCTTCTACGGCGTGCGAGTACAATGCTTGACTTCCAGCAAGCTCGCAACATGCTCGCGTGGGGTGGAATGCTGCTTGCATACTTCTTTTTACTTCGGAGATCAGAATACCTGTTTATTGGCCGGCGTCACCACGACTATATATTACGACTTGGAGATATTTGCTCCTTGGACAATCAGAATCAACGCGCGACCCCGCGCAAAGCGACTCGGGTGGGTATTCGTCTGTGTGGTGCAAAGAATAATCAGTTCGGCAGGGAAGAGCTTCGCTACCACCAGAAGTCGGGCGATAGCGTCCTTTGTCCCGTTCGAGCAGCCCGATGGATACTCAAGGCAGCAGCAGTGTTTGGAACTCATCTGGATCAACCCGCCTTGTCAACAGGCCAATTAGGTGGTATTAGCGCTCGAGAAATTGCGGCAATTATCAAAGACGCTGCAAGAATTGAAGGTCTCAATCCCGAGCGGTATTCCACTCACTCGATCCGAATTGGAGGTGCGACGGTATTGCTCAATGTGGGGACCGATAGACTTGCCATCAAGGTTCTCGGTCGATGGTTGTCGAATTGCTTCGAGGAATATCCAGTACTCACGGCTGAAGGATCCGCCGAGCTCTCAAGACTAATGTGCTAGGCGGGAGGACGCCTAGCGACGCGTGGCCAGCATTACGTACTTCTTGCGGAAATTCGCGGCGGATTTCGAGTTGGGGCGCCGCCACTCCACTCCCGCTAAGAATTCACTACATGTTTCCCCATACTGAAGGCGATCTGTTGGAAACAGGTAGTTTCGCAACGACTGAGGAGCTCCAGAAGAGGTGCGAGGCGGAGAAATACGAAACTCCTTTTTCCCGGGCGCCGAAAGTAGTCTAGATCTATTCATTCTTCGTTTTAGCTGGTAGCCAAGACCCGCCACTCCACTCCCGCTAAGAATTCACCCATGTTTCCCCACACTGACGGCGATCTGTTGGAAACCGCCAATCTGCTAGCACCAGACGCCCTGGAAGCGCAGTCGGACAAGAAACATGTCGAACAGAAGAAGACGCCGGAGACTGCAGCAGCGGCCCCGGCCAAGATTCTGTTCCTCGACGGAGTGCGAGGCCTCGCCGCTCTGCTGGTCGTCACGCAACACTCGCACGAGTACATGCAGGACCTCAACCTCGGCGCCTGCGCAGTGGACGCCTTCTTCGTCCTGTCCTCGTTCCTGCTGACGATGCTGTTCATGAGGAAGAGCGAGAAGCTGCTGGCTCAAGGCGCGAGCTACCGCAAGTGGGGGTTCACACTGGCCGACTACTTCTCCAAGCGGTTCTTCCGCATCTACCCGTTGTTCGCTCTGGTGGCGGCCGTGGTGTGGCTTCTACCGACGAGGCCAAGCGTCAATACTACCGCATTGAAGAACCTCAAAGCTTCGACTTGTTCAAGTTTGCACCTTCAAACATCGCACTTGGGGGCTGCAGTCAGTTCATTCAAAGCGGGAATGGAACTCCAGCCGAGGGGTGCGGCGTGGAGGGTTTCTCGAAGCAAATGCTAAACTGACCTACCAGGCTACGTTGCTATCCTTGTTGCGCTCACAGCCAACAGTGTGTGTAGGCTGCTCTATGTCGGCAAGCGCTTCTTCTCTCGTTGCAAAGCGAGATTTTCCTCAACTGCAAATCATCCAGTGCTGACGTTCGACGTCCACAGCAGATACTACGTCTTGTGGACGCTACCGCTGGAGCACATCACGTACTACTTCTTCATCCCAGTGTTTGTATTGACGGTGTTAAGGCTCAAGAAGTTGTGGTGGGCGCCCTTCATCCCCGCGTACTGTTGGGTAGTGTACGAAGGCTGGTTCACGTTTCGATGGTCCCAAATGGGACTGTCGGAGCACTTCCCTACGTTTCTATCAGGCTCGATGGCTGCTGCCATCTTCGTGAAGCTCGACACGTGGATCAAGGCGAGCGGCTTCACGTTCAATGTCTACCAAGTCGGAGCCATTCGAGTCATCGAGTTCAGTGCAGTGTCAATTTTACTGAGCCTGAGCTTCCAGGGCCTCTTCTTCCACTGGATCTTCTTCCACTGGATCCACGGCAGCATCGCCCCAACGACGCCGGGCCTCCCATTCATCAGCGTGTTGCTGACTGTAGTGCTTGTAGTTGAGATGCTGCTCCCGTCAGGTCTGTCGTCTTTGCTTGAGTGGAGCGGGCTTCGATACTGTGGCAAGGTGAGCTTTAGTATCTACCTCCTCCACGGGTTCGTCATGTACGCGGATGCCGTTGGTACGCAGCCGAACTACTACGACCGCTTCTTCGCGAGCTATGGGCTCACTATCCTGCTAGCGACCGTGTCGTATCACTTGGTCGAGTATCCGTCTCAACTGCTGGCGCAACACGTTTCTCAATATCTAGCCAGGCGAGAGGCGAACGGATCGAGCGGTGCCATCCCCTCGATCGGTTGCAAGCTTCGGGTGGGTGATACGGTACTGCCAACGAGGAGGGAGTGATCAACTAGAGGTGGTCATCATGGACTCTCGCTGTAATAACCAGGCTCTAGACATCTGCGTCGCGTGATCCACTAACCGCTCGCGGTACATGTACACTTGCTGTGCTTGAAGATCTCTTGGATCCGACCAGGATCATAATGCAAATCAGTCACCGGCTATGGGTCTCACCTCCTATACTGTATCGCCGCCCATTCCTCTTGTCTCGGTGTCTGGGTCAAGCGCTTCTGAGTCATGGACGCCGTCACCCGCTCATTTGTCGTCTTAGTGTTGGTGCTATTGAGCGCCTCGACCAACCCAGCAATCGCTGCGAAGGAATGCTCGCCAAGCGTGAGTCGTGTCGTCAAGAACGCTCTGGACGACAAAATGCTCTTCAAGTCTTGCTCTGCAGCCAACGCGAACTCGGGAGCCAACATCACCTCGCTCTCGGACGTACTCAACCTCTCCGAACGCGACTTCCTGACCTTCTGCCGGACGCCCAACTGCATCAAACCGGTGGAGACATTGCTGCATTCGATCCCGAGCCCCTGCCGGAACCTGACAGAAGAAGTTTCAACGGCAGCCAGCAAGTGCACTGCAGTCACGAAAGCAGCAGACAAGCAAGACGAAGAGTACATGTACAAATAGTTCCTAGATTAACCAACATTAAAACCTTTAGTCCTTAGTCCAGGAAGTACCTGTACACGTAGTCTTCGTCGAGCTGGTCGGCAGCTCGAACAACCTCAGCACGCTTGTAGTACAGCGTGGAGACTGCACTCGATAGATTGCGCTCCGAGTCGTGGTAATCGATGAGGCAGTCGGCAGGAATGGAGTGCAGCAGAGACTCCATGGGCTTGATGCACGACAGAAGATGAGGAAGTCGCGGTCGGAAACGCCGAGTACATCGAAGAGCGAGTGGACGTCGAGTCGAACCCCCGCGCTGGTCATCGCACACGTGCTGAAGACTTTATCATCGTCGAGGGTCGTCCTGATGGAGTTGCTCACGGCTTTCGGACACTCTGGGGTGAAATTTGCCACGCTGGAGACGCGGATGAACAGCAGGAGCAACGTAGAAATTGCAATGGAGACAGAGTTGAGCATGCCGACAGCCTTGCAAAATGAGGAATGGGGTCGACTACTGCTAGACACGAACACGCAGGTGGGGCAAGTCACCGAGGCCAGCTCCAAACCCCAACGTTCGCAGGGTAGAGGCAGCGTGACCTGCCTCATGCGTCTGTAAGCATTATGGATACTGGATATTGAACGCTCTGATAAGTTTGGAGAAATGGGTGGGTGAACGCCACGCCGGGCAAGTACATGCGAATGTCTTCTGAGCAACATCGGCACGCCACAGTAAGGCTTAATTCTCAAGTCCAGAGGAAAACAATGAAAACCTGGGAATCATTATCCGTCGCGTCAGCTTCTAACAACGGACTTCTCCGCTCGCTGCGCACGTTTTGATAACGGACGAAAAGAAGAAAAAAACTGTTCACTGTTCGATCATTACAATCGCCGCGTTCAAGCAATAGGCGGGGTTCTCTTCACAAAAGATGGTTTCCTGCAGTAGACGAGAAGAGAAGGCACCTCTCCGGTCCCTTCAACTATCCGATCCTTGGATTGGATCGAGTGAACAGCTTCCGTCGACCCCTGCAGTTCTTGCTTGGCCAAGTATCGAGTGGTGCGCTGAGCCAGCAATTGAGAGGGATACTCCACCAAATGATACGACACTGTAGCTAGCATGAGCGTGAGGCCGAGCCGTAAGAACATGCGGTCATAGTAACTAGGCTGCGTCTTGACCCCGTGGTTGTAGATAACGAACCCGTGCAGCAAGTAGATGGAGAAACTCACCTTGCCACAGTATCGGAGCGCACTCCACTCAAGAAGAGACGACAAACCCGACGGCAGCAACATCTCCACCACCAACACCACAGTCAACAGTACGCTGATGAACGGAAATCCCGGCGTCGTGGGGGCGACGTTGCCGTGGACCCAGTGGAAGAAGAGGCCCCGGAAGCTCAGACTCAGCAGAATCGACAGCGCAGAAAACTCGACGGCTCGGACCGCTCGGATCTGGCGCCCAGTGAACTCGAACCGCGTCTCCTTCATCCAAGTCTCAAACTTCACGAAGAGAACGGCCGCCATCGAGCCTGCCACGAACGTCGGCGCGTGAGGAGACAGCGGCATGTGGTCCCACCGGTACGTGTACCAGCCCTCGTAGACTACCCACCCGTACGCTGGGATGAAGGGCACCCACCACAACCGACGCAGCCTCAGCACGCCCAGCACCAACACTGGGATGAAGAAGTAGTACGAGATCTCCAGCGGCAGCGTCCACAGCACGAAGTACCGACTGTGGAAGTCGAACGTCAGCACCTTGAAGAGGTCGTAGCTCTCGGGCGAGTCGATGAGGTAGAACCGGTGTTTCGCCTCGTCCGGCAGCATCCAGAGCACAGTCGCCACCAGAGCGAACAGCGGGTAGACGCGGAAGAACCGCTTGGAGAAGTAGTCGGCCAGTGTGAACCCCCACTTGCGGTAGCTCGCGCCTTGAGCCAGCAGCTTCTCGCTCTTCCTCATGAACAGCATCGTCAGCAGGAACGAGGACAGGACGAAGAAGGCGTCCACTGCGCAGGCGCCGAGGTTAAGGTCTTGCATGTACTCGTGCGAGTGCTGCGTGACGACCATCAGAGCGGCGAGGCCTCGTACTCCGTCGAGGAACAGAATCTTGCTCGGCGCCGCTGTTGCAGTCTTTGGTACCTTCTTCAAGGCTGGAGATTGGCCATCTTTCGTGTCGGTTTGAGCTTCCAGGTCGTGTTGCGCTGAGCTGAGCAGCGTAGCGGTCTCGGACTCGTCCGCTGGTGCTTGAGTCATTACCGATGTAAGCTTCGTACGCGAGTGTGCAGTAGGCGCGATGTCGCGGACTGGAGAATCTCTAAACGATTCATTCTACGCTTGATTCCCGCTCTACACCGCCAATCACTACAGTATGTCACGAACAGCCAGAGGCTCGGGTGCTGTGGTGATACTCGGGTCTCCATCTGATACGAGTCGGACCAGCCGAAGATGGTGTGTGTGGTGTGTGTGGTTGCCGGGTCACTTGGATAAGACTGCGAAAATAATGCGCCAGACAGGGTTAAAAGCTAACAGAACGGGTTCCTTCTCAGTCGCAACGATTGTTTACCACTTCAATCCGTGGCAGTGAGACTGGCGCATGCAATACACTCGTGAACAATGGAGGGAATATCTTAATTAGGAAGATTCAAAACACTACGTTAATCCAGGAAGTATCGGTAGACAAACTCTTCGTCGGTCTTGTCCGCTGCCCCCGCCACTTTGGCGCACTCGTGATGTAGTGTCGAAACTTCTTCCGACAGGTTGCGCGCAGATCCGTGGTACGTGATGAGGCAGTTGGTCGGGATGGCAAGCAGCAGCGTCTCCACGGGGTCAGTGCAGCCCGAAGAGCGGCAGAAGAGGAGGAAGTCGCGCTCCGGGAGGTTGAGCGCGTCCAAGAGCGAGTCGACGTCGAATCGGACGCCTGTAGCGTCCACTGCGCAGGAGCTGAAGAGTTTGCCGTTGTCCAGCGTGGTCCTGGTCGCTCGACTGACCCCGGCAGAGCACTGCGGGGCTGCTGCCGCCACCGGAATGGCGCATGCAAGCAGCAGCACGAGCGGGACGAACGAACACTTGAACATTGGCTGGGTAGCGTGGACGTTGGATAATGAGGAGTGATAACGACTGCGGCTACGGGTGCCGCGTCTCGTCGGCGATCAATGCCCCAACACCACCTAGTAGTCATCGCCCGCCCGCCTTAAGGTGCCAATTTCTCGGATCTTACCCCACGGTAATCATGCTGACATGGGGTCGAGCACCGCGCCCGTGGTCGGAAATCATGAGCTCCAGCTGTTACTACCATCTTGTGGAGCCCCCACGACAAGAGCCTCATGCGCTGAAGGCACAGGTGCCGGGAGAGTGCATACAGTACAGTACCCCCATCAGCCCGTCTCAAGGGGCTCCGTTTGATCCTCGTATCGCCAGAATGTCAAGATTGTACGCGTCTTTAGCTGTTCGGGGCATTGTGTCTACCAGACACTGTCTGGTGGCCTGGTCGCGGATAGGGAACGAAGGAATCCTCCGCGTTTACCAGGCGGGCAAAAGCACACTACTGCGGGCCTTTAGCACACCTACCGTCTTCCCTCGTACTAGACGCCTAAGGCGTTCTATTTGAATAAAAGGCCTAGGCGTTATATTCAAGTGAAACTACGAAACTCTGAAGGATGCAAAAGGTAGGCGTTGTATTCAAGTAAATAAAAAAATCCCTGAAGGTTGGTAGTGGCCTCTAAGGCGCCCAGCTGCTCAACCCATTTCCGAACTATCGACGGCGAGGGTGTCTTGAGTTTTGCGGCAAGGGCGGCAAACCCAAAGCCGTCGACACCCTTCTTGTACTCTCCAGCAACACTGCACTTGAATCCGATACTGTAGCTATTACGCTTTTTCTTGGCTGACATTCTTGGCGTGGGCTTTTGTGTCGCGAGAGGGCGATTGTATAATGATACGACAAAAGAAGAGCTCGACTTCCGCTCGTATGGCTGGCGGTCGGCACAGAGGTGCTACCTCGTCCAAATGGCAGCAGAATTGTTGGCAACTACTAACGTTAATAAGAGTTGTGTTACGCTTGGGTAGGCGTTCTATTTTGCTGTAGCTTCAATTCGAGGGTGCGATCAGATTCGGGATTGTTGACCAACCTCGAATACAACGCCTAGGCGTCTAGTACGAGGGAAGACGGTAGCACACCACGCAATGGGCCTTCATCACTCTGTGATTGGCCAGGTAGCTTGAAGTTGCTACTTTGCTGCCGCACAAAGTGTACCATTTATTAGGTACAACTATCATTCCCGCCAAAATTGTCAAGAATTCAAAACCCTGTAACTGCACCGCGTCAAGAATGGAGGACGACGAGCCGTCCGCCTCTCCGCGGCGCCCCCAGCGCTCTCACTTGACGCCGCTGCTGTCAGAGCAGCTGCAGCTGTCCACGCCTCCCTGGATCTCCACCTCCACGCAGCAGAACACGTCGCAGAACACCGGCAAGCCGGCGAGAGCCGCTGCCACCAGACGACTACCGAATCGTCAAAGTCGTCAAAAAGCCCGCGGCAAACGAGCCCCACGAGCGATTTTTGACACCAAACAAGAACCTGATGGCGAAGAAGATGATGAAACTCTTATTAGCGACCAATCACAATTGAGCAGAGGTTTTCGACAGCCGGAGTCGAATTGTCAAGATCGGAAGAGAGCGGCTGTCGACGCACTCGAACGGTCCCCAAGGTCGACGCTGAGCCATGACAAAGTGGACAAGAAGAAGTCCAAGCGGGGACTCAAACAGCTTCACAATTCATCAGTGTCAAAAATGCAGCTGGAAGGTGAACCATTTGAAGGTGTTCAAATTGAAGCTGCAGGCGGACCAAATAGGGAGGTGCAGCTCAAGCGAGCCGTGTCGAGTCAAACGATGTTGACGTCGAGTTTCTCGCCAGCCCCGGTGGTGCCTCCAAGGCTGCTTCGACACCAAGCGTCGGAGCAGTCCATCAGTGTCATGGCTGCCAGCGCCCCGCCGCCGGAACCGATCTTACCGACGGTGTATTCGAGTCGACATCCCGATCTCAATGTGATCACGCCTGAGACGGTGGTGAGGGTCTTGAGAGGGGAGTACGAAGGTCAGTTGGCGGGGTTTCAGCTGCTGGATTGTCGGTTTCCCTTTGAGTTTGAAGGAGGGAGTCTGCACGGCGCCACGTCGTTGTGTGATCCGGACGCGATGGAGGCCAAGTTCTTCGTATCGACGGAGCTGGAGACGTACACGCGTACGGCGCTGATATTTTTCTGTGAGTTCTCGGCTAACCGCGCTCCCAAAATGCTGCGTCACGTCAGGAACGTGGATCGAAGAGTACACGCTGATAGCTACCCGGAGCTCTACTACCCGGAGTTGTATCTTATCGATGGCGGCTACAAGAACTGCTTCGAGACGCTTCCGATGGAGCTTTGCGCTTCTTCAGCGGAGTATATTCGTATGGAAGATGAACGGTTCGCTGATGCGTGCCGCCGTGAATTTGCAGCCTGGCGTCGGCGCTGGAAGCCGCACAAGACAGTGGCCAACTGCGCAGCGAATTTGGAGAAGGGTCAGAGGCTACACCAAGGTCAGGATCGATCCCAGCTTATGCATGGAGTGCGGTCGCTGTTTGATGCCCTGTAGAGCAGAGGACTCGGACGCGATAAAGGCACGGCACTCTCGAGGGGAAAAGTACATTAACAGCCCGCCTTCACAATGTGTTCACATCGCTAGAGCCGCGATTGCTGATAGAATATCTGCCTGAACAATTTGCCGAACGATTCGTTGTCGGGCGTCGAAGTAGAGCAGCAAGCGCGGTGAAAATGTGATAGTCCGTCCAATGAGTCTTTCGATTAGCGCTTCGTCGCTGAGAATGTGCGGGAACATGGCCATGATCGACTCCCGAATGATCCGACCGATGAAATTGGCAAGAACCTCCACGACGCAGACCCCTCCGGTACTTCGCACTTGTTGGATCCTGGCAGCATCTCCTCCGGCTGTGTTGATGTCGACGAGAACACGCACAGATTTGACTACGAATCGGCGGTGCGTGAACGGAGATCGTCCTCGTTTCACCACAAACTGCTGAACCCCGTGGCTACCCGAATGATCGAGCCGTCCGTTGGGATGGCAAGATTCGTCCTCACTTATCGCCAGGCCATGCGTTTCACTACGCAGGCTGGCTAAGAACTTCCAGCTCAGCTCGATCACTTGAACCTCGTAGTGCTGGCCTTGAAGCAATAGACGCGTGAAATACAGGTCTCGACGCTCCAACAAGCAACGGATCTGCTGTCGAAGCTCGTTGATGTCCAACGTGAGGTTCTCCACCCGCGACGTGTAAGCTTCGTACTCCGTTCGACGCTGCCGCTGCTTGGCGCTCATGCGATACGACCTCTTCCGCTCGTTGTCCGGCACAAAGGTGAATAGCTGCGGTTCGTCGGCTGTCTCTGACTCGGGGGGTTTCTGACCTGGTCCCTCTCGTACTGGCGCCACCGCGGATTCGTCCTGCCTTTCAGGGGAGCACAAGACTCTTGACAAGTTCATGGATCGACGCAGGCTCGGCCTAGGAAATGAGCGGGAGTGAAGAAGCAACGATCGTATTTCGGAAAGCGGTCGCAGCCCCTACTTAGTCGCTGGTTCAAGCTCCTTTCGCACTCTTTTTGCATGAATGCCGTTGTCCCAGTGGTGAGATATCCACAGGAAACTCAGCAACGCAAAGCGAAGGTGCACCTGCGACGACAAATAGTGAAATGAAAAGCGTACACATGAAGACCATGACGAAATTTATCCAAGCAAGGTGCTGCATCGTCCCCCAGTGCAAAGATACGTGTACAACGCTGACTCGTGAGCGTGAATCGCACCTGTAACGCTGGGAGGGGAAGACTACGGCATTGTCGAAGTTAGTGCCTTGAGCTTCTCCCCTGAAGCCACCGCCACGCTATAGAAATGCTGCCATCCTACCCAGCTCCAGCCAAGGAACTCGCCCCACGCTGGCAAGTTCCGGCACTTGCATTGTATATTCGCAAGCGCCTCTCATAGCCCCTCACTCGACTAGCGAACCTCATTACAGCTTTTGCTTCCACAGTCGCGCACCGAGGCTCATCGACAGCGTTCTTGACGATGAATATCTCGGAGCTGCTGTGCTCATCAGTCGAAGTGGACGACGCCACCAAAGAACTGCAAGACCCAAGGCCGTCTCGACCTCAACCGTGTCGTAAACCTCGATCCAAAGCCACAGCCGTCGCGGGTTTCGTCCCCGACAATGAGCGGAAGCGGCCGTGCCGACTGAGTGCCACCCGCAAGAGGCGACGTCAAGAACGCGAGGAGCTCGAGTCGCGCGAGTTCAACCTCACGCTGGACATCAACGAGCTGCGTCGGCAGGTGACGCACTTGCTGGAGTGCCGCGACCTGTGCCTTACCCAGTTGTTCGTGCACCGCCAGCGCATCGAGAGCGACGTCGTGTGTATTGTGACAAGTCTTTTGAACGAGTTCAACTGCGACGGGCTCAGCGTGAGCTCGAAGGCTCTGAGCTGCTTCTTCCCTCGCCAGCACTTGGCCGGTCTCGAGTCTGGCCACAAGGTTCAAGACCTCGTCCTGGGGGGAGGGGCCCACGTGTTCAGCCATCGGGCGTGGACTACGACGTCGATCAAAGTGGTGCGCTTCGTCGAAGAGGAGGACGAGGACGAAGACGGAGACGCCGCAGATGCAGCGGAGACCCGACGACTGTGCGGCGGCACCAGCGGCTGCGTGGTCGAGGCCAACGGCGTGTTCACGGGACGCATCAAGCGCGAGATGCTCGCGGCCTTCTTCCCGCACGCGCTGTCGAGCGAGGCGCTGGTGGCGCAGCTCCTCGGCTTCCGCGTCACGTGCCCGATCCAGTTGGTCCTGTACTTCGACACCAACCGCTGCGTCACGCACCAGGTCGCGCAGATCAACATCCTAGCCGCCATGGACGCCCTGCACAAGGCCCGGCCCAGCGTGTTCGCACAGCTCATGGGGCAGTAAGAACGAATACATACATGCATTGTCCCGTGCCGGGGTATACCGACCCCGTGCCAGGCATCGGGGCGGCGGACTCGCGTGTCGGCTGGAGTGCCGAAATGGCTACATCCTGCGAGGGGTACCGATTGTGAGGTACTCGAGTTGCTGCCGGAAATGATGGCGCGACGCACGCGTGAGGTGGGACTCTTGGAGGTCCGTGGACGTCTCCATCCCCGCTCGAGGACGGGTGTCGTGCGTACGAAACAACGGAATATGGTGTGAATGCGGAGGGGTTGTCGTGCCCAAGGACGAAGGGTACACCTGCAACTCCGAGAAGCGCAAGGAGAGGTATTGACCTTAGGATCGAGGGCGGCCGTGCCGACCCTCGGCTTGTAGATTCAGTCGTAAATCTTCCCTGTCTTGTGAACAACAACAACAACCACAAAGAAAGCTTTTGTAACAACTACAAGGTTATCTTTTGTTGAAGCTTTCACTCGTCTAAACACCCAGTCAACTTCGACCCCGTGTAGGCCCCTTCTTTCCAAACAGTCCCAGCGTACTCGACCCTGACGGTGGAGATATACGACAGCATGTACCTACATTGTCGTTGCAGTGTCCAGCCCATATACGATGCTACGAGCGGCTTGAAGGAGGCAGTTAGCACGCGGTTGCGTGAGAACCACTGACCCAGAAATCTTTTCAGCTGCGTTTGACGCCGACTTTCGCTAAGTGGACTGTCCGACGGGTCTCATCGGTCGGCCTTGAAAGCACGAGGAGAGCACGAAACAGGAAGTAGGGACCAGAGCACTTCCGACAGCAATAGATGGGTCGTTGCGTCGCCGAGTAAGACGACGACAGACACCCTCACACCACGAAACCTGCCGTTCGTTGGCGCTGCCAGATCGACACGCCTTCCGTGGGTGGGTAAACGGAGGAGGAGACCGAGTCCGGTCCCACAGCTCCTTGAACAACTCTCGCCGGCGCTTTCTGGCCCGACCACGGCGTCGTCGAAGCAGCACGGCCGGCCGCGTGCCTATTTGCGCGGAGACCCACTCGCCATTCCAGATTTCGCCCGCAACCGACAGAGTCCCAAACTGATGAACATCGCCGACCTGCTGTGTGCGCCCGTCGAGGTGGCGGCCTCTCCGTTGCGTCCAGCTCAGCCGCCACGCATCGTAGCGACCTGTGAACCCCCACGACCCAAACCCAAGAAGCGCCAGAGCTACAAACCCGTGCCCGACGACCAGCGCACGCGTCCGTACCGCATGAGCAAGGCCCAGAAGAAGAGCCGCAGCGACTACGAGGAGCACGAGTCCAAGGTGTTCAACCTGACGCTGGACATCAACGACCTCAAGCAGCAGGTGCAGTACCTGCTCGAGTGTCGCGACATCCAGGTCACGTGTCTGCTGCAGACCCGCCAACGACTCGAGACGTTGGTGCTGGGGACGGTCGACAGGATTCTGTTCGGCGGCGGCGAGAAACCGCGCTCGGGGGACGAAGGCTGCAGCTTCTCGCGCATGTTCATGGAGCAGTCGGACGGAGCCGCGCCCCCCAACGGCGTCTACGAGTTCAGTCTGCAGCTCGACAAGCCCAACTTCAACCACCGCTCGTGCACCATTGCCACCACTCAAGTCATGGTGTTCGTAGAGGAGGATCCTGAAGGAGACAATCAAGAAGCTGCAGAGGTCCGGAAGATCTGCGGCGAGCCTGGGGGCTGTCTCGTTGAGGTGGTCGGGGAGTTCACGGGGCGATTCACGCGGCAGATCATCGTCTCCATGTTCCCGCACGTGCTGAGCGACGAGATGATGGTGGCGAGGATAATCGGGCTCAGTATCACGTGTCCGGCTCGGCTGCTGCTGTATTTCAACGCGCACAGAACCATCGTGCGGCAAATTGCACAGGCCGATGTGTTCGCTGCACTTGCTGCGTTGCAGCAGGCCAAGCCTGTTGAATTCGCTGCGATCATGGGCGCTGCAGCCGCATAGCGGAGAGGGAGATGTATGGACGCTCGACCAAATATTACTATTACATGTGCACATGGTGTCTTTGATGAAGCCTCTTTGTCATACTTGCACTCGTGTGTCCGTTTTTCATTTCATGTCGTGAACAATTGCTTAATGTACCAGGGAGAGTCATCCACCGCTACCCATTATTGTTCGTGTCCGGCGTCGTTGACGACGCTTTCCATGGCCTAATGAACTTGTCGAGGATCTTGTGCGCGCCCGAACACCAGCAAGACGAAGGCGTCGTGGTGCCATCGCCCTCTAAAGGCGAAGACCAGCAAGCCCCCGATTCCCAGCAGACGAACAGGTTCACCTTTGTGCCGGACAAGGAGCGGAAGAGACCGTATCGGATGAGTGCCAGCCAGAGACAACGTCGGAGTGAGCACGAAACTTACAAGTCCCGCGTGGAGAACCTCACGCTGGACATCAACGAGCTCCGACAGCAGATTCGGTGCTTGACCGAGCGTAAAAATCTCGGTCAGCACGACAACGAAGCATCGACCTGGAGCATGTCTGAGTGGATCCGGTACCGGGATAATCTTCGTCGAGAGCTACCTGTGCGGTATCCCAACTAGTAGTAGAATCATAGATGAGTGTGCCAACACATAACCAAACAGAGGGTAGCGCACAAGAAAATAAAGCTCGATAACCAAAATACAAGCTGCCGCGACAGCGTACCGAAAACCAGGTTGAAAAGGATCGCATGAAGTATGTGCGGGTTCCACCGCCCGGCGCCTTAACTTAGTCCCACTCGCCCCAGTCCTCTCCGCGCTTGCTGGCGTCCTCATGGGCTGCCGGAGTCGCCTCCGTAGCCTTAGCATCCGACGTTGTAGCAGTAGCAGTCGTCTCAGGGACTGCGAGGTCGTCGTCGTCGCCCCAATCGAGCGAGTCCTCTTCGGCCGCTTCATCGCCCTCCTCTAGTTTCAAGTCAGCCAGACCGCTGGTCGGCTCCTTCACGCTCGACGAGCCACCGGAAGACGTCGACTCCTTCCGCTCGTTCAGCTCAATCCAGCTCTCGCCGTCACTGGACGACGCGGGGCCATTGGCAGCAGTGGAAGCTGGCGCCTTCTCCTCATCCTCTTCCTCCTTGGACTCGTCGTCCGGGAAGATGGGCTTGCCCTCGTCGTCCTTGGCCTTCGGCGAGTCCACGTCCCAGCCGATCTCCTCCTCACTGTCGTTCAAAGCTGCAGCAACCCACGACAAGTCAGTCAAAACTCTTTCCACCTCCACAAAATGATCAACGAAGCTTTACCATGCTCGAGCAGGTCGGCGCCGCGCTGCTCCTGCGCCGCCAACAGCGAGGCCTTGTAGACGTAGTGGGCCCAGAACACGTCCGCCTCCACGACCGAGGGCACGAGCTCCGTGAACTTGGCCCCCACCGTCGGGTAGTTCTCCAGCACCTCCTGCTGGATCTCAGCCAGCTCCTCGGCGGGCGTCGTGGCCTTCCACTTCTCGAACGTCTCGACGTCCAGCGGCGGGTCCACGTACGTCTCCGAGTCCTCCTGCAGCGCCAGCAGCCGGAACCTCCGCGCGCTCAGCTCGCTCTCGCTCAGCTCCTCGTCCTCCTCGTACGCGGCGTCGTCGCCCGCCAGCGTGCCCAGGAACTCGTCCGCCGAGTTGAGCAGCTTGGAGCCCATGGCCTCCAGCGAGCCCAGGCCGCCGCCCACGTTCAGCGCCGTGAGCTTGCTGCCCACAGAGGTGAGCGAGCCCTGCACGCTGCTGCCCACGGAGGTCAAGGAGCCCTGCACGCTGCTGCCCACCGAGTTGAGCGAGCCCAGCGTGCTGCTCACGTCGAAGGAGAAGAGCGAGTTCTTGAGCGACGTGAGCGGGTCTTCACCGTCCTCTTCTTGCTCTGTGTCGGTCTGCGTGGGGTCCTTGGGCTCCTGGTCCTTGTCCTTGTCCTTGTCCTTGTCTTGGTCTTCGTCCTTCTCTTCCTGGTCCGAGTCGCCGTCGCTGCGGTCGATGCTGAGGCGGCCCTCGCGCACGCTCTTGGACAGCTCGGCCACGTCCTCCTGCACGATGGCCTTGAAGTCCTGCAGGTCCGAGCTCAGCGTGTTCATGGCCTCCGCCGACTTGTCCTTGATGGCGTTCACCACCGAGTAGAAGCTGCTGAACGACATGGCGGCCGGAAGGTCTGTCGGTTCCTCACTTGGCTCTCCAGTGGGATGCTTCTTCAGCCAGAGTCGCACTTTATACGGAAAAATGCATACACGAATGACACGTAGGTTTACGTAATTGGAGTGTACACAACACCAAATATACACAATTGTGGTGTGTCCGACGTCGGACACCCCTTCAAACTCGGTTAACATGTAGGTACGCAGTTCTTTGGTGATGGGATCCGTCCGATCCAGCCACTCAGTTCAAGATCTGCCCGCCAGTCCGCAAGTCTTCCCTCCTCTGTGTGATACAATGGTGCTGACCATCCGCAACCCCGCGCCGGAGTTCACGGCCGACGCCGTCGTGGACGGCGAGTTCAAGAAGATCTCGCTGTCGGACTACAAGGGCCAGTACGTGGTGCTCTTCTTCTACCCGCTGGACTTCACGTTCGTGTGCCCCACGGAGATCTGCGCCTTCAGCGACCGCGTCGAGGACTTCAAGAAGCTCAACACGCAGGTCATCGGCGCCTCGATCGACTCCAAGTTCTCGCACCTGGCCTGGATCAACACGCCCCGCAAGAAGGGCGGCCTGGGCGAGATGAACATCCCGCTCATCGCCGACGTGACCAAGGAGCTGAGCACCAAGTACGAGGTGCTCGTGCAGGACGGCGACGACAAGGGCGTGGCCTTCCGCGGCCTCTTCATCATCGACAAGGAGGGCATCCTGCGCCAGATCACCATCAACGACCTGCCCATCGGCCGCAACGTGGACGAGGTGCTGCGCCTCATCGAGGCCTTCCAGTTCCACGAGGAGCACGGCGACGTGTGCCCCGCCAACTGGAAGAAGGGCGCCAAGTCCATGGTCGCCGACCCCAAGGACTCGCTCAAGTACTTCGAGACGGTCGACGAGCCCTCCAAGAAGCGCAAGCTGTCCAAGTAAACAGGCTCAAGCTGCTTGGAGCGAGGCATTAGCCCTCTCCTCCCCCCCCCTCGTAGCCCTCTTCTAGCTGCAGACCGAGGAAAGTAATATAAGCACATACAGCCCGCTGCATGGGCACCACCAAAGCGTCAGTAGCGACACCTTGTAGCCTGCAATTTGTGGTCTGAAAAAGCGCGCGAAAGCACCAGAACCTACGTCACAGCATGGATGTATTTACGGAGGGGGAAATTGTTGTTTTGGACCAAAACTTTTGGTACAGGATTTCTGTGCCCGGGTCAGATCCAACGTTTTCCATGGCTACGCAGCACAAGGGTTGACACCGCCGCACACGTATTGCCCTGGGTCATCCCAACGAGAATGTGGAGGTTCATCGCATGTGTGGTTCTTTTAGGGTCGTCATTTTGGGGTGGCGGAACTTTGCAACTGTGAACTATGGTTCAAGTACGAATGCCCGCGAGTACACGCCCGTGCTGCACTGAAGCAAGGCATCTCACTATCGAAGACGATTCGACTCCGTACTATTGGTAAGCTGTCTTATGCGTTTCTCCTAGCATTATATTTGCGCCAATTATCGTAATTCAGCACCGTCAAACCAATGTGGTACATTCGGCAAATTGTCCGTTAATTTACCAAATATCATGAAATCGTTTGCTGAATAGCCAGAATTGAGTTGCAATTTCCCCATTTATCGCCCCACCAAACGGCATGTTGCTTCCCGCGCTTTTCGCGACCATCCAGCGGAAACCGCCGCCAAGGCGCAGCAGACTTTAGCGCCCATGGCGGAGCAGAAGCAGCGGCAGCAGTATGGCGGGGGCAACTCGACGCGCAACCCGTACAGCCGCGGGGGCGGGGCGGCCTGGGCGCGCAACTCGCAGGGCGCGCGCGCCAACGCGCAGCGCATGCGCGCGGGCCGCGGCATGACGCAGGCCAAGCAGCACGCGCTCAAGCAGGGCGACGAGCTGGACCGCAAGTTCGGCTTCTGCCTGCTGCCGGAGCTGCTGGAGCAGGAGGAGGAGGCGCGCAAGGGGCAGCCCCAGGCGGACGCCCCCGAGGACCGCGCCAAGCTGGGCTGGCTGCTGAACCTGCGCGCGTGCACGCTGCCCGACCCCGCGGAGGGCAAGCACGAGGTGAGCGGCCTGGAGCTGTACTTCCTGGAGCAGGACGGCAAGGCCTTCAAGACGCGCGTCATCTACCAGCCCTACTTGTACGTGCGGCCCGAGCCCAACCGCTCGCAGGACGTCATCGCCTACTGCCTGCGCAAGTTCGAGGGCCTCGTGGCCAAGGCCGAGCGCGTGTTCCGCGAGGACCTGGACATGCCCGGCCACCTCAACGGCAAGCGCGCGCTGTACGTCAAGCTGAGCTTCGCCACGGTCTCGGACCTCATGGCCGTCAAGAAGGAGCTCGCGCCGCTCGTGGCCCGGAACCAGGAGCGGCTGCAGGCGCGCCAGGCCTACGAGATGCAGGGCCAGGCGCGAGAGCAGGTCACCGAGGACGACCTGATCTTTGGGGGAGGCGTCGACGCTGATGGCGTCAAGGGAGCGGGCACCGACGAGAGCGAGAGCGCGCTGCTGGCGCTCAGGGAGTACGACGTCCCGTACCCCATGCGCGTGGCCATTGACCTGGACATCCGGGTCGGAGCCTGGTACCACGTCGACTACGACCCAACCGCGCCCTACGCGCCGTCGGACGTGAGGCGGCAGAAGGACATGGTGGACAAGGCGGAGCCCGTGGTGTGCGCGTTCGATATCGAGTGTACCAAGGCCCCGCTCAAGTTCCCGGACGCGCAGGTGGACCAGATCTACATGATCTCGTACATGATCGACAGACAGGGTTACCTCATCGTGAACCGCGAGTTCGTGTCCGAGGAGATCCAGGACTTCGAGTACACGCCGAAAGAGGACTACCCCGGCCCGTTCATTGTGTTCAACGAGGAGAACGAGGAGCAGTTGCTGAAGCGGTTCTTCGAGCACGTGATCGAGGAGAAGCCGCACATTTTCGTGACGTATAACGGAGACTTCTTCGATTGGCCGTTCATCGACGCGCGCGCTCAAGTTCACGGCATCAATATGGCGCATGAAATCGGCGTCTCGCTGGACGAGCGCAGCGGCGAATACCGTGGCCGCTGCAGTGTACACATGGACGCCTTCTGCTGGGTGAAACGTGACTCGTATTTGCCTCAAGGAAGTCAAGGTCTGAAGGCCGTGACCAAGTATAAGCTGGGATATGACCCGGTGGAGGTGGACGCTGAAGATATGGTTGCGCTCGCTCGTGATGAACCGCTGAAAATGGCCTCGTACTCGGTCTCCGATGCTGTGGCCACATTCTACCTGTACGACAAGTACGTGCACTTGTTCGTGTTCTCGCTGTGTACGATTATTCCTCTGGGCTCCGAGGATGTTCTTCGAAAAGGTTCTGGTACACTGTGTGAGGCGCTGCTTATGGTCGAAGCCTTCGGTGGTAACATTATTTGTCCGAACAAGCAAAGCTCCGCCCGTGAAGAAAAGTTTTATAAGGGTCACCTTGTGGAGAGCGAGACTTATGTCGGCGGTCACGTGGAGTGTCTGGAGTCTGGTGTCTTCCGCGCGGATTTCTTGTACGACTTCCAATTGGTTCCCAGCGCCTTTCAGCAGCTTATCGACAATGTTGATCGTGATCTTCGGTTCTCGTTGGAGGTTGAGATGAACGTCCCACTCGACCGCGTTGCTAACTATGATGAGGTGAAGAAGGATATCGTTGATCGTCTCGTTGGACTGCGCGAACGACCGAACCGAAAGGAACAGCCGCTGATTTATCACTTGGATGTGGCTGCCATGTACCCGAATATCATTCTTACCAATCGGCTGCAGCCCTGTGCTATTGTCAACGAAGCGGACTGTGCAGCTTGCGCGTACAACACCGAGTGTGGTCGAGCAGCCATCAAAGATAAGGACGCATCCTGCCAACGTGAAATGGACTGGGTGTGGCGCGGTGATTTCTACCCTGCCACGCGTCCAGAATACTATTCCATCAAGACCCAGATCGAATACGAAAACTTTCCTCTGGAAAAGAAGGGAGTGCCGGCCAACACGGACGCAGGAAAAAGAACCAATGGTGCAGCATCCACTGTCCCATTCGCTCAACTACCGACCGATAAGCAAGAACTACTGCTGAAACAGCGATTCAAGTCGTACTGTTCCAGTGTGTACAAGAAGACCAAGGTGACGGAGGAGCAGAAGCGCTCTGCCACTGTCTGCATGCGCGAAAACCCGTTCTATGTCAACACAGTGCGAGCCTTCCGTGATCGTCGGTATGACTACAAGGGACTTACGAAAGCTTGGAAGAAGAAGGTGTCGCAAGCTGCGGAGGCGAAGGACTTGTTGGCAAAGATTGATGCGCAAAACAAGTGCCTCGTGTACGACTCGTTGCAGCTGGCCCATAAGTGTATTTTGAACTCGTTCTACGGTTATGTCATGCGCAAGGGTGCACGATGGCACTCCATGGAGATGGCTGGTATCGTGACACACACGGGATCCAACATCATTACGGGTGCTCGTGAGTTAGTGGAGCAGATTGGACGGCCGCTGGAGCTGGATACAGATGGTATTTGGGCCATTCTCCCCAAATCCTTCCCGGAAACCTTTTCGTTCAAGCTGAAGGATGGCGGATCGAGGAGTATTTCATACCCGTGTGTGATGCTGAATGCAGACGTGCACGCGAAGTTCACCAACCCTCAGTATCACGAGCTAGACCCGGAGTCAGGGAAGTACAACACGCACAAGGAGTGTTCTATTCTGTTCGAGGTGGATGGACCCTACAAGGCCATGGTTCTCCCTGCTTCCACTGAAGAAGGCAAGCTGCTCAAAAAGCGCTATGCAGTCTTCAACTTCGACCACTCGCTAGCTGAGCTGAAGGGCTTTGAGCTCAAGCGGCGTGGTGAGCTACAACTGATTAAGGCGTTCCAGTCGCAAGTATTCGAGTGCTTCCTCGACGGTGACAGTTTGGAGGAGTGTTACGCATCGGTGGCGAAGTGTGCAAACCGGTGGCTTGACGTGATTGATACTCGCGGCAAGTCGATGGATGACGAAGAGCTTATGGCACTGATTACGGAGAACAAAAGTATGTCCGGCAAGCTCGATGAGTACGAAGGCCAGAAGTCAACCTCTATCACTACCGCTAGGCGATTGGGCGAGTTCCTCGGTGAAGAAATGATCAAGGATAAGGGTCTGACTTGTAAAATGATCATCGCTGCGCGTCCCTACGGTGAAAAGGTGACAGAGCGTGCTATCCCCACGGCGATCTTCGCAACTGAGGATGCTGTTAAGAAGCACTTTCTAAAGAAGTGGCTGAAGGACCCGCACCTTCAGGACTTCGACATCAGGTCCATTCTTGACTGGGATTACTACCGGACGCGTTTCGCCTCCACGGTACAGAAAATTATTTCGCTGCCGGCCGCCTTCCAGAATGTGAGAAACCCAGTGCCTCGAATTGAGTTGCCGGACTGGATGAGAAAGCAAGTTCGTGAGAAGAACGCTAAGCACCAACAGGGTAACATGAAGCAGTTCTTCAAGGCAGCAGACAAGAGTGCTAGTAACGGAGATTACGTTGCCCAGCTGATCGATATGGAGGATTTAATGAAGGGAAAACAACCATCGCGTGCTGGAAAGCCTCAATCACGAAAGCGAGGGAACAAAGCAAGCGACGACACTGACAACAGCAGTCCAATCGAAGAAATTGACGATGATGATGTGGAAGATGTTCCTGTAGCGAAGGTCAAGCTTGGAGAAGTGCCATTCACAGACTGGCTGAAGAACAGAAAGAAAAAATGGAAATCGATGCTGGGAAAGCGGCGGCGAGAACGAGAAGAGCGCATGCGCAACTTCAGTGGTGCTGGTGGATTTGGCATGGCAAACAGTGCACATGGCAGTGCCAAGCGCTTCCAGAGTGGTGCCACCAGTGCTCTTGCAGCAAAAGGCAACGGTGTTGGTATGGAGAACTTCGTTTTCGATGCAGGCAGTGCGCTGCAGAGGGAGTACTGGCAGATTGTGGAGATTCAACAAGAACAAGGCGGAATATTCACCTGCTGGGTCCTTACTGGGCAGTCACGGATGCTTCAGCGTATTACCTTGAAGATGCCACGAGTTTTCTACATCACATGCGACGAAGGAGACCAGGAGAACCTGCTATCCTTGTTGCCAGGTTCTCGTCGTGTGTCTCGAATTGTGCCTCACTACTCGTCGAAACCGCAGTCGGTGTTGGAGGTGATGCTTAGCGAGCGTCAGTACCAGCAGTACCACAAGGAAATCAGTCAGATTCTTGGCGATCCTCATGTCAAGGGCGTGTATGAGCTGCAGGTGTCTGCGTTGACCCGGGCCGTTTGCGCACTTGGCTGCGTGGCAAAGGTTGTGAACCCGCACCTCTCGAGCACCAACCAAGAGTACGAGCTGAGTGATCTACAGTTCCAGTCTACAGCCCAGGCACCGTATCTTATGGATCCGCAGCGCTCACTGGCGAATGGGGCAGGTTCGGCACCACCGAACTCACTGATGCGACGAGTGCTGCTTTACTTTGCGCAACAGAAGAAGCGTGCTATCCTGGGCTTGGTTGTGCTGAAGGAGGAAGATGATGGCGTCAGTGCTGAAAGTTTGGGAACTGCTATCAACGAGGGCGATGCAAACGTTTGGTATGTCGACCCGTTCTCCAACGTGAAGTCTCGAGGCTCGGATTTGAGGCAGTTCTTCGACCAACTGCTTCTCGAGGCTCAAGAGGAAGGTGGCACTGCTCCTATTCAGAGCTGCTCGTTCAAGACGCATGTGGTGAAGACGGCAGCAGAAGCTTTCTCTGGTGTGAACGCTACCCTAGCACGGCTGGCGTCGAACAAGCAGCTAGCCCCCAAGCCGACCATCGTGGTGGCGCAGACGTGCATCCCGTCCAGCAAGCGACTTCGCGAGAGGATGCAGGGCCTGCACAGTTTCCCTATTGCGATGCTACCGTGGAATGAGGAGGACACGTTGTTCCCAGCTCTTACGTGGCGCAAGCTCATGGGAGAAAAGATGCTGACGCGTTGCTTTGAGATGACGCAGTACTATTCCGATGTACTGGACTGTGCGCGGTATGCTCACTTGCCTGTGGGCAACTTCACGGGTGACCACTCCATCGCTATTCTGGACACCCTGTACTCCCGTATTTTGACCAAGCACAAACATCTGTGGTGGCACTCGCCGACATCGCTTCCAGATCTTGGTGGCAAAGAGCAAGAGCAACAGTTCCAACAGCTCTTCAGTCAATCGCTCCTAGGATCCGCTCAACAGTCTTCAAAGAAGAAGGGTGATGCGGTATCGCAGCATCGGGTGGACACATCCGTGGTCGTATGCGAGAAGGGATCCTTTGTCGATGTGTGCGTCGAGCTCGAGTTGGATGGCCTCGCAGTCAATGCAATCCTGGTGGCTTCGCAAATCCACAGTATCGAAGGCCTTGGAGTCGCTCACCAGATGGAGATTGATTTCGATGGTAATGGTGAGGGTGAATCGAGCTCCAAGGGAGACAACGCAGCAGCACCAGCGGTTGCAGAAGGCGATGCCGAGGAAAGCTGCCACGAGGCCTTCAGACTATTGCGTGTGATGGTGACTACGCTTTTCAAGGACTTCCTGGCTAGCCGCAACAAGTTCGCTGATCACGTGCTGCAGCAGTTCTACCGGTGGCTCTGCTCCCCTAACTCACTAAGTTTCGATCCAGCACTGCACGCCATGGTGAAGCGTCTTATGGAGAAGCTGTTCTTGCAGCTTCTCGCGGAGTTCAGACGTCTTGGATCCCAGATCGTGTACGCCGACTTCAGCAAAATCATTGTGTGCACGAAGAAGAAGTCGGTGCGTGACGCCCAGACGTACTTGAATTTCATCCTGCAAACGGTGCTGTCCAATGAGCTCTTCCAGGTGCTCAACTTCACGCCGAAGAAGTACTTCTCGAACCTGTTCTTCTTGGATGCGGAGAACTACGGCTGTATTCTGTTGAAGAACGTGGTGCCCGAGGAAGAGCAAGAGGAGAGTGATCCTGATGCGGATGCCAGTGACGAGAAACCTCTTGAAATTGTGTCGCACTGGAACATCGCAAACTACTTGCCCCGCGGAGTTGACGAGTACTTCCTGATCCTCGTAGGCCAATTCATTCGGCGGCGTGCTGAGTTCCAGCGTCGTCGGCTTCTCAAGGGCGGTGACGCCAAGGTGGATGCTGTGGAGGATGCAGATGACCAGCCTCTGGACGAAGATGAGAAGCAGTTGAGTCCGCTGGCGAAATACTCGCAACGACTTGTGTCGTCGTACTTCTCGGACAAGATGCTGCGGCTCGTTCCAGAGATTCTGACGTACAACATGGACCGGGACAGCTTCCCAGTGTTCGCCGGCTCGCATCTTGCCATGGAGTCTCCCGCGCTGGAGCTGGTGAAGTTCGTGAGCGCCGTATTCTTGCTCGAACCGAGTGTGGAAACGCAAGTGGGCAAGATGAGGCGCACTTTGCTCAAGCTGCTGCGTATGAGTGAGTTCGCCGACGAGGCGCAGTTCCGTAACCCGTCGCTGTCCTTCACCGTGCAGGACGTCATTTGCCTGTGCTGCAATCTCTGTCGGTCCGTGGACTTGTGTCGAGACCCGCAGTTGTTCAAGGGCAGCGCGTCGCGGTCGGACGAAAAGGACGGAGGGCAGGAAACTGGAGACAACGCCGAGGCCACCTCTGCCTGGCACTGCCCTCGATGCTTCGCGCTCTATGACAAGACGGCGTTCGAGATGCGGCTCGTGGAGATGGTGCAGGCGCAATCCGTGGCGTACCAGCTTCAGGACTTGTACTGCCGCAAGTGCCACCTGCCGGCCGAGCACAAAATGCGCGAGTACTGCCCGTGCTCGGGCACGTACGCGTTGATGCCTGGCGTTCGCGAGTCCCTCCTCGAGACGCTGCGCCTGTTGAACCGCATCGCCCAGCAGCACAACTTCGAGTGGCTATTGGAGACTGTCCAGCGCCTAGAGCGCGAGGCTGCGCAGCCGCTGCTGATGTAATGGCGGATGGCCATGAAAACATGCAGGCAAAATATTATAAATCGTTGGCTATGATACGTTTTTTTCTTCTTTTGCGTGGTAGAGCCCGCCTGTGATGATGCAGGAAGGTACAATAATACTCTTGCGATGTTGCGTCGTGATATTGTCCTAACAATACATGCATGGCTGTCTGTATTTTAGCAAATTGCGCCGTTTAGGTGCATTTCTTCACTAGCCAAGCGATTCGATGCCTTCCCTCCGATGGAGGAGGAGGGCACCAAGATCCGGAACTTTCTGAGTGTTACTGAAGGCAAAACAGGTCAGGTCAGCCCCGTACTGGAAAGAGGTTCACCAACATTGGCCACTGCCACGAACTTTCGGACTCGCGTGCACCCATTGCGCAGATCGAGTGACATTCCAAGCAAACGTCCGTCTGCCAGAAAGAGCAGGCAGGAATACTGGTGGATCCGCTCGGGCCTTGGGCTATTGGCGTGCACTTGTTTGCTGTGGAATATCTGGTTGATTCTGCTAACCTTGGCTCCTAACAAAACAATTAACCGCGTCATGCACACTGAGACTTTTGAGGAAGGCACGTTTTGGCTTCTTGTGGACACACCGCCGAATTTGTTGTGGCCCGCAGTGCTCGGGTTTGGTGCAGTTGTACTCGGCTATCTCGCAACTATTATACGTGTTTTAACGCGGGGATCCCTCGATGCAATGAAAGCAAGTTTAATAAGTTTTGTGGTCGTCCTCTATACAGGCGACTGGGTCATCTGAAGAGGTCTTCCTGCACGGACAGCAAAAAACGAACCACGACCGACAGCTTACAGTGCACCTGGTCAACTTTGTCGTCGTTCATTTGACTCGATTCAAGGTCCAGTCTCAGTCCTCATTCTCCAATCCTCCACCATGGTGTCAAGCTCCCAGTCCTCCCCCTTCTCGCTCAAGCACCTTCTGGTGACTGCCCTCGTCGCGTTCGCCGTCACCAGCACCGAGGCGGCGGGGGCCAAGAACGCCACTGCGGGGGCCGACAACCACGCCACCTTCGGCAAGATCACGTCGGGCAACAACAAGTGCATCACCGGTGACCCGACCTCGGGCGTGACCCGCAAGGACGTGGACTGGGTCTGGGAGAACACCATGTCCAAGCACGTGCCCGACTTCAAGAACCTTCTTCCAGATATACAGTCTATGCCACGCACAGAACACGAATGCCACGCACAGAACACACCAATTTAGACCGCAGCAAAAGGTCCAACGGACAAGGTTGAGGGTCTCAACTTGAGACGTTGGTTTGACCCGATAGAAACGCGGCGAATCCGTTGGAATCCGTCCGATCCCATGACTCCCAGCAAATCGCGCAATGTAAATTGTTCGTTGCGTCTAGCCAGCTCATTATGCTCAGCCGATCAGTGTATTCAACACAATTGCTAGGTTGCATTGTACTCAATGGGTAGAGTGTATACTAGTAATAAACACCCCCACTTTATTTGCCGGTGGACCGCTGTAAAAGGCGCTTCTAGCACTATAAACGAGTCGAGGATTGTTTAGATAGTTTGAGGAACGTTATATAACCTCGCTGATCGCATTTCTACCTGTCATTTTAACTCATACTATTGTAGGTGCGTCTTGAAAAAAATACAGCAAGACAAAATAACCGCTTGAATTGGTTTGAAGGTCGTGAAATAACTTCGAACCGTTTGGATTGGTCCTATCTTCAGTGAACAATGTTTTATTCTTGTCTTGTCCGAGGCGTTGGGATGCTGCCCAGCAATACTCGATATAGTCAAGTCGGGGACTGCCTGCGTCATTCGCACTCACCATTCCCCACGACAATACCTGATCCACTAGCTTCTCTATCATGAGGTCGCCCCGTGCAGCTTTCCTCGACAATGACGAGGGAGGTGACATCCAGTGCTTCTCGAGTGACAGCGCAGCCACCAAGTCACCTGGTCCAGTTCTGGTAAAGCCACCCGAGCGAGTCAACTTGAACGCGTCCCAGAAGCGCGTACATAGTGTACTCCCCTAACATGTTAGCTAATTTTACTAGACACTACCTAACAGTTAGCTGTAAACTATACATGTTAGTACTGTATAGCTGCACTGTATAGTTTGAAAATATATTTATTAAGCGATTCTGCTACGAAGTCTAATCAACAGTCTAGTTTCTGCGGGTCCTCCTCTAGGGATCCTGATATAATTAGGCCAAACACCATTTGCTTCCTCCCTTTCAAATTCCGCTATCAGCTGCGCTGGCAAGTGGTGAGGCGGCTCCCATGTGAGCTCCTCCCAACCTACCCCTTTTACTAGGTAGATTGGGTGGTAATTCACGGTTCGGCGGGCGTAAATCCGTTCTGCATGATAAATCCCCGGTCCTTCAGCCGGGATTTCGGGGTCAGAGTCGTCTTCGCTTGATGTTGCATCTGATAGGTCTACATAGTCACTAACTAGGCCAATAGGAACTTGCAACGGGCCAGCCATCGATGGTGAGTCGGGCGATACATCATTGTCGAAATCGGTATTCAACTGAGAGGGAGTTGACGGTGGGGTGGGTCGAGGGGAAGTCGGCGGTGGGGTGGGGTGAGGGGGGGTTGACGACGGTGGGGTGGGTTGAGGTGACGACGATGGGGTGGGTGGAAGTGGCGTCGTAAGAGGCGTTTGACTGCGCTCCCACCTTCCGTTGCGCGCGTGTCGTGGCCGTAGCTCACAAGCGTTTATATAAAGAGCTTTTCTCCTCCACCAACATTTACTCACGTTGACCTACCTATCTTTGTGCTCTAACGCTACTACTTAGTAACATGTTAGCTCAAAAACCTAGACACTAGCTAACAGTTAGCTAACATGTATAGCAACTAACATGTTAGCGTTAGGGAGTACACTACGCGTACACCCCTGCGAAAGCTTGGGCCAACCTAGCGCTCCGAAACCACGGCCAGTATCGCGAGGGAAACACGTGAAACTCCGATGTGGCATTGCAGTCTTGGCGTGCATTTGCTTGCTGTGGACAGTCTGGCTCATCCTGCTCGCTGTGGCTCCCAACAACACTGTCAACGGCATCATGCACAGAGCAACTTCGACGAAGGCTTTACGTTCTGGCTTCTCGTCGACACCCTGACATATCTGCTGTGGCCTACAGTGCTCGGGGTTTCCCTTGTGGCGCTGGGCTATGTGACTACAGCCGTCCAAGTTCTGTTACGGCACAGCGACCACAAGGAGATCGATTCGGTGGTCCTAACACTGGCCTCGGTCTGGAGAAAGCTATGGCAGACGCTACGGCTGACCCACGACGCAGCAGGATCTCGTCTTCTGTCGCCAAACTGGCGGTGTCTCTCTCGCAAGTCGAGAGTCCGAAGCGGAAACTCGTGGTACGTGCGGTTGATGGTCAGTTACGAGGAAGGTAAAGCTAAAGTTCTCTTGTACTATGAATGTAGAACATGGGCATGAAGATCTGCGACTTGGTTGTCGAGGCAAAACTGTTTTCCCAGATTCTCGAGGCGGGGCCGCCGTTGCTGCTGGTCGGTGTCTTCACGACAATCATCGTCGCGAATGCTCTGGCGTGCATTTGTATGGTGTATTCCCCTTCCGAGAGGACGGGACTGGGTGAAATACTTCTTGATCTGTTGTAAGTGGCTGCACAATTTATCTTTTTATACTGTTCTCATCCACTGCTTCTCCACATTCCAGTTTGACCACGACAAATTGGCTATCAACGTCGAAGTGTTCCCTCCCGGGTGGTTTGAGACGTCCGCCAGTGTGGTCGCGAACCGGTTCAATCCGTCATCATCCACAAAAGTCTGAGGCTCCTGCGAGTTGAAAGCGCGATGGATTTTTTCACTCGCGTTGGGGTGAATTTCATCTTCTGCTTCCGCCTGTACTGTCTGGCTAGGCGAATCCAACGCTCGGAAAACCTTCGGTCGAGTCTGTACCCGAAGAAACACCGAGTTACTACTGCATCGGTGGTTATATTAACGGCGGCACTGATCGTCTTCGTCGAAGAAAGTGTCCGCACATCGAACCTGGCGTGTGGGCCTCATCCCGAATGCGTTGTGAAGGCTCACAGGTGGACACTGGTAGAGGACGGATCACTGACCCAGTGTCCGTGCCTGACGTTCATCGATGCGGATATCGCGCCCAAGACCTATGCGGAGTGGATGCATCCGCGAGATATGACCGACAGAGTGGCGCAACTAGCGGCAACGGGAGATCTAGAGACCATTCAACTGATCAATCGTTATCTTCCGAATTTCCCTCAAGAACTAAGGCGGTGTACCAAGATGACGCATTTGTGAGCCCCCCCCCCCCTCCTCGTCTAGTTCACCACGTAATACTAACTTGTTTAAATTTTTGGCCTATGTTGACTTCCAGGTCTTTAATCTACACGCACACCCCGGCGTTGCCAACATGGACGAGTGAGTTTACCCAGCTCCAATATCTGTAAGTTTTTGCTTCTCTATGGTCTGGATTCGAACGAGAATTTAATCAAAACTTCTAACGCTTTCGTCGGTGCTAGGCACGCGGAGGGCACAGCTTTTTCGTCGCTCGTAACGTTGCCAGACGGTATGCTCGACCGAATGAGCTCGCTCGCTTTTCTCCACCTGGGGATCCACCCGCCTCTCCAGACGCTGCCGTCCTTTGACGGCCTCTCGAGTCTCGAAGTCGCTCGCTTTGGCTTTACTATTCTCCCTCGCCGAGCTGCTGTCGTTCGACAATTTGCAAAGTGTCGAGCGTGTGGTGATCATCAGCCTCGTCTCAATCGACAGCCTCCCCGACCTCACAAACTTGAAGAAGCTACGAGTGTTCCAAGTCGGCGATCGAGCGTCTTGGTGCTGCAACGGGTTTCTAGGCGAGTGCGACCTGCACAGTCCGCACTGTATGGTTCATTCGCTCTGGGGGACGCCTGCGGCCTCGTGTCTCGCTGCAAACCGAACCGACGATCTCCCGACGCAAGGAACTCTTCAAGTGCTCGAACGATTTTCAATAATATTTGCGGAGAGCTCATACTGCCAGGCACGACGGATGGCCCACCGACCGAGACAGGCATGGACCAATGCAACGGCACAATGTACCGCCAGTGCACTGTGCCAGGCTACCACGAGGCAATGTGCTACAATTCTCGGTTCATGGCGATTTCGTGCGGGCAAGCCCTTTTCCTATCAAGATGCGACGACTGCAGATCGAGCGTGGGGTCGGCGATCCTTGTGATCCTGTGCATGAAGCCTGGCTCGGTTGTAAGCCAGTTAGTGTCCTACAAAGTTAGGCCGGGGAGATAATTAAGAAATTTTGTGGCGAGAGCTGCGGGAGATCGGAAACGCAGTAGAATCACGTCTTCAACTGCAAAATTGATCGTGTCTCTTGCGGAAAGTGAAAGTCCGGGGCGCAAGCGGTTGGTGAGTTGTAAACCACGCTGCACTGTATGCATGCACATGTGTTCGCTGACAAAAGATTGTTTTTACTATAGAATGTGTGCCTGAAGGTCGGAGACCTAATGGTGGAATCCATTATGTTGCTTACCATTCTTGAAGCGGGGCCACCGCAGCAATCTTTACGACAATCGTCGTTGCGAACGCGTTATTGTGTGTGATAATGATGCACAGCTCTTCGAGAAATGCCGGACTGACCGAGACACTTGTCGACATTTTGTGAGTATTTCCTTTTTGGTTTTTGCTATGGAGTGTGTAAGATTGACCAGGCCATCGATTGTTATGCTACTACAGCTTTGACTTTCTCATCGCTGTCGGGTATCCGATGCTTGTGCTCAGCCACTGTCTCTCGACGTTCAAGTTCGACTACGAGAGACTGGCAATCAACCTCCAAGTCTTCCCGATCGGGGCGTTCGAGCAATCTGCCAGCATCATAGCCAACCCCGTTCAAATGGACATTATCCACCAGAGCCTGAGGCTGCTGCGTATTGCATCAGTGACGGATATCTTTACTCGCGTTGGCGTCAACCTCGTTTTCTGCTTTCGACTTTACGGCGTGGCATATCGACTCCAGCATCCAAACAATTATTTCCCCGCCGTGTATCCCAAGCGATATCGCACTGCTACTGGCATTCTGGGCACTTTCGTGCTAGTTCTTATCCTATGCGTTGAGGAGAGCATCCGGACTTCAGCTGCAGCTTGCAGCCCTTCCCGGAATGCGTGGTGAAGGCTCATCGGTGGACGGTGCTGGAAAATGGATCGGTAACTCAATGTCCGTGCTTAACGTTCATCGACGGTGATATCGCTCCAAAAACTTACAACGAATGGATCAACCCGAAAAATGCCACTGAGAAACTCGCCCAATTAGCTGCATCAGGTGACTTGCAAACGATCCAGTTGACTAATCGTCGCCTCCCGACTTTGCCTGAGGAGCTACGGCGATGCACCAAGATGACTCACTTGTAAGTTGCCAACTTCGAAAGAAAAAAAACGTACCGCCAACTCATCACGAGCGTTTGTGTGTTTCTAGATCGTTAACTTACACACAGACAACATCGATACCAGAGTGGACCAAAAACTTTACACAACTGCAGTATTTGTACGTATGGTCTTTTGTACTATTCTCAAATACTGTTCCTCACTGATGTTGTTTTGGATGTTTTCAATTGTACTACAGGCACGTTGAAGGCACACCCTTTTCTTCGCTGGTAGCATTACCAGACGGCCTCTTTGGCAAAATGAGCTCGCTCACGTACATCCACCTGGGAACGCACCCTGCTATCCCGCAGCTCCCATCGTTTACAGGTCTCACAAGCCTCAAGTCGCTCACACTTGCGTTTACGTTTTCCCTGGTGGAGTTGCTGTCATTCGGGAGTTTGCACCACCTCGAGCACCTTGTCCTCATCAGCCTCGTGACTATCGACAGCCTCCCCGATCTTACTCCACTCTCGGAACTCACGTCATTTGTGGTGGCGGATCGTGCTAATTGCTGCTGCAATGGCTTCCTCGGTGATTGTAACCTTCAGAGCCCGCACTGTAAGATGCATCCACTCTGGGGGACGCCTGCAGCCTCGTGCATTCTTGTGAATGGAACAGACGACCAACCAACGCCAGGAACTCTGGAAAATACTCACAGTATTTGCGGCGGTCTCATACTTCCCGGCACTGCAGAAGGCCCTCCTACTCCAGTTGGCATGGAGCTATGCAATGGCACTTTGTATCGACAGTGCGCGGTGCCAGGCTTTCGGGAGGCCATGTGCTACAGCGCACGATTCATGGGCATTTCGTGCTCGGTCAACCCGTTTCCGATCGAGATGCAACGCCGTCAGATTCAACTTGGCATTGGGGCCCCCTGTGATCCTGTGTATGAAGCGTGGCTTGGCTGCAAGCATCGATGATACGACACATGCTTCTTCATGTCAGTACCTACGCTTGGCAAACTTAAGCTTAATTTCGTAAGACGATGTATAAACTTTCTCATAGCCTTGCCTGACATATCCTACTAACTTTGTTTTTTTTGTGTTATTTGCATCCAAGCCACGCTTCATACTCCGGATTGCACTTGTCTCCAACGCGTTGTTGTATCTGCCGTCGTCGCATCTCGATCGCATCTGCGCTTGCGTCACAGGAGATGGCTGTATACCTCGCGTTGTAGCACATCGCCTCCGCATCTCCAGAAGTGCTACAGCTTCGATACAAAACTCCTTCACACACTGCGACAGATTCTCGCGTCGGCATCCCTGGACCTGCATTCCCACTTTGACCAGTGCCTGGACCACCATGACCACTATTCGCACCCGGTCCTGGAGCCCCCGTTTCCGTACCTGGTGACGAACCTCGGTTTCTGAATTTGGCGGCGGACCCATTCGACTAAGGGGCTCTGAACCTGGTGGTGGTGGACCACCCAGACCACCTGGTGACGGAGGTCCCGGACCCGGACCACCGCGTTTCGTTTCTGAAGTAGAAATACTCAATTTTCTGGATGTCGAATCCGATGTCTGAGCTTCTAGCGGCTGACAAACGGTGACGTTAAATTTCGCAAGGGTTGAGAGCGTTGCATTCGTCGCCATGAGGTCGGATCGGTACGACACGGCCGATGCATTACAAATCGAATCACTCAAATCGCAGTCGCCGAGAAAGCCGTTGCAGCACCAGGTCCCGCGATCTCGTGCGATAAAGGACTTGAGCTTCTGCAGCGGCTTCAAATCGGGGAGCACGGTAATGGTTGGTAGCGTTGACATCTCAAGGCGCTCGAGGTGGTACACGCCGTCGAAACTCGGAAGCTCGGTCAGCGTAACAAGCGGAGCTAATACCAACGCCTTGAGGTGTTTGAGTCCGTCAAAAGAGGGGAGTTCCTGCAGGTTTAGGTGCATACCCAGGTGGAGAAAGGTGAGCGAGGTCATGTCCTTGAACAGGTCGTCGGGAAGCTCAATCAATGAGCTGTTGGACATGCCCTCGATGTATCTATCCGCCAAGAAAATAATAAAAAAGAGAAGCCATTAATTCAAGTAGACACCAGAGCAACTCGTCAAATCTAACCAATAAATAACGTACAAATATTCGAGATTGACGAATTCGTTGGCCCAACTAGGCAATGTTTCCGTGTACGTGTACATCAGCGACCTGAAACACACCGCTAAATAGTTAGAGATACAAACCATACACGTTGTATAGGCCGATCCTTACACGTATTGCATCTCGCGACACCATCGAAGCTCTTCCGGTAGCACGGGTAGGTATCGACTCGTCAACTTAATCGTCCTGAGGTCTCCAGTGGAGGCTAACTGCACCACTTTAGTGGTAACATCCACCGGTGACATCCATCCATCGTACGTCTTTGGCGCGATGTCTCCGTCAATGAGAGCTCGACACGGAGACTGAATCAGCGACCCTTCTACCAGAATTGTCCATCTGTGGGCCTTCACAGCACACTCCGGATGCGCTTGACACGCAATCGACGACGTCCGAACACTTTCTTCCACGAACGCAACGAGGCCGACGACTACCAAAAGGAAGAAGGCGATAGACACACGATTTCGCTTTGGATACAGTCGAGCCGGTCTTTTCTCCGGGTTCCGGATGAGCTCCACAGCGTGAAAAAGTCGATAGGCAAACACGAAACTGACGCCAACTCGAGTGATGAGCACGAACGTCGAGGAAATCTGGAGGGATTTCAGCGTCTTGTAGATGATGTCCGTCTGCACCGGGTTCACCATCACAGTCGCTTCTCGCTCGAATGCTCCCAGTGGGAAAACTTCCATGTTGATAGTCAGCTTGGCACGGTCGAGGCTGAAGCTGGAGAAACAGTAGATCACCGTGAACATCGGGTACGCGATTGCAAACAGGAAGTCAGATCTAAGGCCACAGCAAAACAATGAAAAACGACAAGGTTAGCGTGCGAGGTATTCAAGATGTGTTCTCATTCGTACGTGATGTCGACGATGACCTCAGTCAATCCCGTGTAGCTGTCAGGAAGCAGCATCATCACCGCGCATGACAACGCGTTCATCGCGACAATTGCTGTGATTGTGACAAGCAGTCCAAGCGGAGATCCGTCCTCAAGGACTACCGATAGGATCAAGGGTTCCACCGCTAGATCAGCAATTTTCATCCAGACCCGCTGAGAAATCATAGAAAATAATTATCATGAAATGATAGTCAGTCAACGATACTTCCCTGAATTTCCCTACCAAAGCTGTCCCTTACCACATGTTGATGGTTTAGCTTCAAGAACAGAGAAACTCTCGCAACGTGGTGGCTGAACCAATTCTTCACCCGGCCGCTAGCAGCGCGAGATTTCGACAACCCCGACTCGAACATCGTTCGCGATGGACCCAAACTAACCCGACTTTGGCGCCTTATAGCCCTCACGAGAACGGCACAGTACAAAAGCCACACAAGCGAGTACCCACCCACTGCTAAGCGGTTCATCTCTGCAGGTGCGTCCACCATCAGCCAGAACGACCCATTGCCGAAGTCTTGTGTCTTCATGACCCAGTTCACCGTCTCGTTCGGCTTGACTATCAGGAGAATGAGCCAACTGGTCCACCCCACGCACACGGTGGCCATCGCACCGACCAGAACCAGTAAAGCTTTTACCCTTAGTCCAGAAAGTGTGAATTTCAGCGGCACTTTAATATCGGCGAACGCCGCCTTGGTAGGATGGATTTTTCGGTTGGGGATGCAAGTGGCACATTTCGACCTTACGCTCCTCGGTCTTAGCGTTGTTGTTGGCGCTCTCAAGCACTCGGATGGAGGAGTCTGAGGCGCAACAGCCATGTTGCTTATCACTGTTTTCGGGTGGGAGAGTGCGTGTTGCGAGACCTTTATTATTTGCGAGTGATTGGAAACAAGGAGGGAATTCCTCGTATCGTAAGAATAGGTTTCATCCTCAACACCTAGTACTGCGTTCTTGTTTTAGCTACAGTGGAAAATAATCGGTCGTCTAACGTCCTCATGCGCATTAACTACTATCTCCGTATATACTGTAGTATTATATAGTATTTGCGTCGAGCACGCATTGAAGGGATCGACTCACTGCGAATAAGGAACGCCCTCGCGTTTGGATTACTAGGGCGGCTTTGCCAAAACCAGATTCCGGGTTCTTGTGTTTTGCAAGCCAGAGAGATGAGCTTTCTTTTTGACAATAGGTGTCGTTTTGTTTTCCTTGGGATCGAATTGCATTTACTTCAAGAAATAATCTGTATAAACTGCAGCACCCAAGCGCTATGAAAGTTGCAGCAAAGCCTTGAGTTTTCCCGTGATCTCAAACCAGTTATTGTGTCAATCTGGGGCATGCCTAGTATTTAGTAGTTCAATGTTGTCGGGAGCGCCGTGAGCGAGTCGAACAATCAAGCTCGTTTTTCACGAAGATCTAGCACAGATTCAGGCAGAAGTAGCACACGTTATCCCCGTATATCTATTTCATGAAATGGGTACATCCTCAGTTCAAGCGAAAGTAGTATTTCCAACCACGACGAGAAAGACAAATCTGAGCATTACCTAAAGTAAATATTTACCAAGGCCTCTCCTTGTGTGAACTGTGAGGCCTGTGCTCATCGAGGCTGCCTATGGTGCCCTCGGGGATTCACCCACCGCTGCATTCACCCCAATAGTTATGTGCCGATAATGGTTGTGGTGTCAATTCTTTTTAACTACTCTCGTGTTTGGCTTCCACGCTGTCGCAGCAACAGCATTAATGTAAAACGCTTCGCCCTTTTGTCTACAATACTTAAGTAATTGGCATCGTAGCAGGTGTCGTGAAAGCATCGCTCTATTCAAGTTTTTACCCCAGGCGTCGTGTGGACCGATCAGCTTCATTGTTCTAGCCACGCCTTGTACATGTTCCGCAACTTGACCATGCTCGAGTCAGAGAGCAGGAGATAGTGCTTTAAACCATCAAACGTGTGTCCGTCTGAGTCCCACTTCCCGAACTTCTTGAGTCTGTAGGTTTCGTCGCCCAGCATCTTGCGCAGTTTCTCCGGTGAAAAGTCGATGCGTCTCTCTTCCTCGTCGGCGGCTTCGACAAACCTCAACAGCCGCTTGCTGACTGCAGTCGCCTCCGTCGACGGTTTAGTAGCGTCACAACTGACGAGAAGGGTGGTCACAGCCACGAGCAAGACGTAAGTCAGACGCATGGTTAAAACTTGGAAGGAACTTGGGCGGTAGGGTGCGAGTTTTAAAGTGAAAGCCCTCAGCGCGAACACGACTCACCGGCTCGCAGATGAGGTCGGTCTTCCTGTTGCCGTTGTTAATTTCTCAGCTATTGCGAAGATTGGTTGGTCATCGTTGGCTCGGAGCGATATGCAATGTGCACGAGTGCTTTTGCAGACGACACTTCAATACAGCTGAATGAGAAGAATGATACTAAGAATGCGTTTATTGTTTTGAATTCACCGCATAATCTTTTACTACGCCGCGTCAGCGGTAATGGGTGGTGCTTTAGAGCTGGAGGGCGCTGTCGCGGAACAAGTACACTACAACCATACCCTCGTGTGACAGGCGCTTTCTATAACTGCTAGATGAGCCCACCTCGCTACTGGGCACGGCGTCGTAGGATTATTGTAATGATCTTCCATTTTAAAAATGTACAAAACAGACAATCCAGTCTGGTTGTTTACCCAGCCCAGCAGCGGAAATAACACTGCCACGGTTTTATTTATTTTTTTCGTATTACATGTAAGCACGAAACACAAATTCTTAAGTGCACATCGACTCGTATAACCCGCGTTGCGTGACCGTTGCTCGGGTCGAATCACTTTTACTTTTTTTTGAGGAAGCGACTCGCATTTTCCAAAAAAAAAACTCTTCTTAATTATCTCCCCGGCCTAACTTTGTAGGACACTAACTGGCTTACAACCGAGCCAGGCTTCATGCACAGGATCACAAGGATCGCCGACCCCACGCTCGATCTGCAGTCGTCGCATCTTGATAGGAAAAGGGCTTGCCCGCACGAAATCGCCATGAACCGAGAATTGTAGCACATCGCCTCGTGGTAGCCTGGCACAGTGCACTGGCGGTACATTGTGCCGTTGCATTGGTCCATGCCTGTCTCGGTCGGTGGGCCATCCGTCGTGCCTGGCAGTATGAGCTCTCCGCAAATATTATTGAAAATCGTTCGAGCACTTGAAGAGTTCCTTGCGTAGGGAGATCGTCGGTTCGGATTGCAGCGAGACACGAGGCCGCAGGCGTCCCCCAGAGCGGATGAACCATACAGTGCGGACTGTGCAGGTCGCACTCGCCTAGAAACCCGTTGCAGCACCAAGACGCTCGATCGCCGACTTGGAACACTCGTAGCTTCTTCAAGTTTGTGAGGTCGGGGAGGCTGTCGATTGAGACGAGGCTGATGATCACCACACGCTCGACACTTTGCAAATTGTCGAACGACGGAGGGAGAATAGTAAAGCCAAAGCGAGCGACTTGAGACTCGAGAGGCCGTCAAAGGACGGCAGCGTCTGGAGAGGCGGGTGGATCCCCAGGTGGAGAAAAGCGAGCGAGTTCATTCGGTCGAGCATACCGTCTGGCAACGTTACGAGCGACGAAAAAGCTGTGCCCTCCGCGTGCCTAGCACCGACGAAAGCGTTAGAAGTTTTGATTAAATTCTCGTTCGAATCCAGACCATAGAGAAGCAAAAACTTACAGATATTGGAGCTGGGTAAACTCACTCGTCCATGTTGGCAACGCCGGGGTGTGCGTGTAGATTAAAGACCTGGAAGTCAACATAGGCCAAAAATTAAAACAAGTTAGTATTACGTGGTGAACTAGACGAGGAGGGGGGGGGGCTCACAAATGCGTCATCTTGGTACACCGCCTTAGTTCTTGAGGGAAATTCGGAAGATAACGATTGATCAGTTGAATGGTCTCTAGATCTCCCGTTGCCGCTAGTTGCGCCACTCTGTCGGTCATATCTCGCGGATGCATCCACTCCGCATAGGTCTTGGGCGCGATATCCGCATCGATGAACGTCAGGCACGGACACTGGGTCAGTGATCCGTCCTCTACCAGTGTCCACCTGTGAGCCTTCACAACGCATTCGGGATGAGGCCCACACGCCAGGTTCGATGTGCGGACACTTTCTTCGACGAAGACGATCAGTGCCGCCGTTAATATAACCACCGATGCAGTAGTAACTCGGTGTTTCTTCGGGTACAGACTCGACCGAAGGTTTTCCGAGCGTTGGATTCGCCTAGCCAGACAGTACAGGCGGAAGCAGAAGATGAAATTCACCCCAACGCGAGTGAAAAAATCCATCGCGCTTTCAACTCGCAGGAGCCTCAGACTTTTGTGGATGATGACGGATTGAACCGGTTCGCGACCACACTGGCGGACGTCTCAAACCACCCGGGAGGGAACACTTCGACGTTGATAGCCAATTTGTCGTGGTCAAACTGGAATGTGGAGAAGCAGTGGATGAGAACAGTATAAAAAGATAAATTGTGCAGCCACTTACAACAGATCAAGAAGTATTTCACCCAGTCCCGTCCTCTCGGAAGGGGAATACACCATACAAATGCACGCCAGAGCATTCGCGACGATGATTGTCGTGAAGACACCGACCAGCAGCAACGGCGGCCCCGCCTCGAGAATCTGGGAAAACAGTTTTGCCTCGACAACCAAGTCGCAGATCTTCATGCCCATGTTCTACATTCATAGTACAAGAGAACTTTAGCTTTACCTTCCTCGTAACTGACCATCAACCGCACGTACCACGAGTTTCCGCTTCGGACTCTCGACTTGCGAGAGAGACACCGCCAGTTTGGCGACAGAAGACGAGATCCTGCTGCGTCGTGGGTCAGCCGCAGCGTCTGCCATAGCTTTCTCCAGACCGAGGCCAGTGTTAGGACCACCGAATCGATCTCCTTGTGGTCGCTGTGCCGTAACAGAACTTGGACGGCTGTAGTCACATAGCCCAGCGCCACAAGGGAAACCCCGAGCACTGTAGGCCACAGCAGATATGTCAGGGTGTCGACGAGAAGCCAGAACGTAAAGCCTTCGTCGAAGTTGCTCTGTGCATGATGCCGTTGACAGTGTTGTTGGGAGCCACAGCGAGCAGGATGAGCCAGACTGTCCACAGCAAGCAAATGCACGCCAAGACTGCAATGCCACATCGGAGTTTCACGTGTTTCCCTCGCGATACTGGCCGTGGTTTCGGAGCGCTAGGTTGGCCCAAGCTTTCGCAGGGGTGTACGCGTAGTGTACTCCCTAACGCTAACATGTTAGTTGCTATACATGTTAGCTAACTGTTAGCTAGTGTCTAGGTTTTTGAGCTAACATGTTACTAAGTAGTAGCGTTAGAGCACAAAGATAGGTAGGTCAACGTGAGTAAATGTTGGTGGAGGAGAAAAGCTCTTTATATAAACGCTTGTGAGCTACGGCCACGACACGCGCGCAACGGAAGGTGGGAGCGCAGTCAAACGCCTCTTACGACGCCACTTCCACCCACCCCATCGTCGTCACCTCAACCCACCCCACCGTCGTCAACCCCCCCTCACCCCACCCCACCGCCGACTTCCCCTCGACCCACCCCACCGTCAACTCCCTCTCAGTTGAATACCGATTTCGACAATGATGTATCGCCCGACTCACCATCGATGGCTGGCCCGTTGCAAGTTCCTATTGGCCTAGTTAGTGACTATGTAGACCTATCAGATGCAACATCAAGCGAAGACGACTCTGACCCCGAAATCCCGGCTGAAGGACCGGGGATTTATCATGCAGAACGGATTTACGCCCGCCGAACCGTGAATTACCACCCAATCTACCTAGTAAAAGGGGTAGGTTGGGAGGAGCTCACATGGGAGCCGCCTCACCACTTGCCAGCGCAGCTGATAGCGGAATTTGAAAGGGAGGAAGCAAATGGTGTTTGGCCTAATTATATCAGGATCCCTAGAGGAGGACCCGCAGAAACTAGACTGTTGATTAGACTTCGTAGCAGAATCGCTTAATAAATATATTTTCAAACTATACAGTGCAGCTATACAGTACTAACATGTATAGTTTACAGCTAACTGTTAGGTAGTGTCTAGTAAAATTAGCTAACATGTTAGGGGAGTACACTATGTACGCGCTTCTGGGACGCGTTCAAGTTGACTCGCTCGGGTGGCTTTACCAGAACTGGACCAGGTGACTTGGTGGCTGCGCTGTCACTCGAGAAGCACTGGATGTCACCTCCCTCGTCATTGTCGAGGAAAGCTGCACGGGGCGACCTCATGATAGAGAAGCTAGTGGATCAGGTATTGTCGTGGGGAATGGTGAGTGCGAATGACGCAGGCAGTCCCCGACTTGACTATATCGAGTATTGCTGGGCAGCATCCCAACGCCTCGGACAAGACAAGAATAAAACATTGTTCACTGAAGATAGGACCAATCCAAACGGTTCGAAGTTATTTCACGACCTTCAAACCAATTCAAGCGGTTATTTTGTCTTGCTGTATTTTTTTCAAGACGCACCTACAATAGTATGAGTTAAAATGACAGGTAGAAATGCGATCAGCGAGGTTATATAACGTTCCTCAAACTATCTAAACAATCCTCGACTCGTTTATAGTGCTAGAAGCGCCTTTTACAGCGGTCCACCGGCAAATAAAGTGGGGGTGTTTATTACTAGTATACACTCTACCCATTGAGTACAATGCAACCTAGCAATTGTGTTGAATACACTGATCGGCTGAGCATAATGAGCTGGCTAGACGCAACGAACAATTTACATTGCGCGATTTGCTGGGAGTCATGGGATCGGACGGATTCCAACGGATTCGCCGCGTTTCTATCGGGTCAAACCAACGTCTCAAGTTGAGACCCTCAACCTTGTCCGTTGGACCTTTTGCTGCGGTCTAAATTGGTGTGTTCTGTGCGTGGCATTCGGCTTGAGGACGGTGCTAAGATAAGAAAGATCAGACAAAAGTCAAGACTTATATCTTGAAGAACGCCCGAGAAGTAACGCAAACAACAATTTTATTCTTCTGGACCCCGATCGCAACTCTATAGCTGATCTACCGGTTAAAAGTTGTAGCGAGACTTGATGTGCTCCCAGATGCTGCGCACCAGCCAGCCGTCGCCGTCCGTGATCTTCTCGCTCTCGTCCATGACGCAGGCGGGGTAGCTGGCGGGCTTGTTCTCGGCCACGTACATCTCCGGCAAGCCGTAGCCGTGGCCCATTTCGTGCAGAATCACGTCCATCTCGGGTTCGTCGATCTTGTTGAGCATGTCGATGACCCAGACGCGCTGGCCCCAGTCACCACCCGTGCCGACAGCGTCCGCATCGAGGGTCGGTGAGCCGTCGTCAGTGCCAGGCCTCTCGGACGGCCACAGCGACATGTCGAAGGACTTGCCCTGGCAGCCGCTCGTGTCGGCGTTGGCGACCTGCCCCTGGTGCTTGTAGCACTCATCGGGGCACTTGGGGCTGCCCTCGCCGTCCAGGAGACCCTCGTAGATCGTGCCGAGCGAGTCATCGTCCCAGTCCAGGATAGACTTGTCGTGCACGGCGAAGCCCACGACCGAGACGGTGATCTTGTCGTACGGCCAGCAGTCGTAGCCGGCCACCCAGCGGTTCCAGACGTTGATCTGCCGCTCGAGCATGGTGCGGAACTTGGCGGCCGTGGCCTTGGTGAGCTTCCGGTTCTTGGGGTCCCAGCGCACGCAGTAGTCGAGGTGGCCCTTGCCGGCGATGATCTGATCGAAGATGAAGTTCTTGAAGTCGGGCACGTACTTGGACATGGTGTTCTCCCAGACCCAGTCCACGTCCTTGCGGGTCACGCCCGAGGTCGGGTCACCGGTGATGCACTTGTTGTTGCCCGACGTGATCTTGCCGAAGGTGGCGTGGTTGTCGGCCCCCGCAGTGGCGTTCTTGGCCCCCGCCGCCTCGGTGCTGGTGGCAGCGAACGCGACGAGAGCCGTCACCAGAAGGTGCTTGAGCGAGAAGGGGGAGGACTGGGAGCTTGACACCATGGCGGAGGATTGGAGAATGAGGACTGAGACTGGACCTTGAATCGAGTCAAATGAACGACGACAAAGTTGACCAGGTGCACTGTAAGCTGTCGGTCGTGGTTCGTTTTTTGCTGTCCGTTTGTATGTAGGTAGACCTCTTCAGATGGTCCAGTCGCCTGTTTTGAGGACGACCACAAAACTTCGTAACCACTGTAGAATTCGACATCCATGTATACATGCATGTACAGTGTACGGCACGAGGCAGAAACCATGCGATTTCGTCGTCACTTGGGCCACGAGCGCAGACTGTTGCTGCACACGTTTTTAAAATAACCACCTGGTGGTGTCGAAGCTGTGGAGAACACACTATCATTGACAAATTTACTAGAACTTTAATTATTAATAAGACCAGAACTAGCGGGACTAAACGTAAATCATTGTCAGCTCGTCCCTGCGTTCTGTCGGTTCATGCTGTCATCATTGGAGCACCTGCTTAGAACAAGGAGGACAGCAATAAAAGGTATTTGTCTATAATACTTGTATTTACGAATAAACAACGCAGCAATGGGTTGCGCCAGTATAAAAGTATAACACGGTTTATTTACGGCAGATGTTGACTTCGAATTCCGTTTGTTACCTTGCAGTACGACTTCAACAAAAAATTGTGCTCGTTAGTTTTTCCTCTTTTCGTTGACCTCTGATTCTACAGCTGGGGCCGCACTTGTGGACGAGAGCAGATTGCAGATCTCGCCCAAGCTCGAAATACTAATCACGGCAGTGCCGTGACGGCACATACATGTAGTTTCGTTGAATGAAGCTCGATCTAGAGAACCATCTGCGCGAGCGTCAGCACCAACCTTGACCAGCAAATCTAGGCTTACACGGCTGACGTACGGCTGTATCGCAGGTCAGAGGACGGTAGAATCGCACAGACAGAACAAGGAAATCCACAGATCTGAAGGGAAACCGCACAGAAATACCGATATACTTTCCACCGCCCACTATTGAAGGTGTGCTGGGGGTTGCACCCCCAGACCCCCGCATAAAGAAAACTAACTCCGAGTGTGCAGCAACGGGTCCGTTCGCTGGAACGCTCGTCGCTGGGCCCGCCTCCGCAAATACCGCGCGGCCCTGCTTCGCGGGCACCCCGCGCGGGTTTGCTGCGGCTACGCTCCTCGCACCCCTGACTACCGCCTTCTATTAAGATCAGTACTTGTCACATATTTTCACAATCTGTGGATTTCACTTTTTCGTCTGTGCGAATACCCTTCCTTCCGCAGGTCATACAGGCTTGCGCTGCGGTCGCTTGTTCGGCAGCCGACAGAAAGCAACAATCGTATCGACGGCGGTCGCAACACTACCATACGGACAAGTACAATTGATGCGAGCGAATTCAGGACGATAACACCACGCTCCGTTGGCCGATGCCTATAGCGTACTGCAAGGTATCAGGCGTGCAGCCCTTTGTGTCATTCTACATTGTGTATTCTGCGCGTAGAACGACAAGGTGACCATCACGAACGCTCCTCGTGCAGCGTTCTATGATGTTGAGCTGGCTCCGTTGCCCTATGACTACGTCGGAGAGACGCCACCTTCCAAATACTCATCGAGGCGCCTTCGTCAAGTTCACGCGTCGTTCCAGCCGTGTCGAGTTCATGAACGAACTGCACAATTTCCAAAGCCAACCATTCAGTGTTAGTGCTGGCACCGATGCTATTTAGTGCAGCGTGTTCAAGTATCCGGGTACGCTGGTGGGATGAAGGTTGTTTAAGCCAGTGGATGAAAAGCTTGTCTACGTTTTGGTGATATTTCGCGAAGAAGTGATTCTAATAGGGTTCTTGTAGTACCTCTTTGAGCAAGGGCATTGACTCGGCGAAGACTACCAACCCTCTTCGATAGACTGTACCTCGAAGAACTGCTGCTAGTTCATTGTCTTTATTCACAAAGGGTTGCAGTTCGTGCCTCCACTCCACCCCCGCATCACCCCCGAAGCACGGGCCGTGAGTCCTCTTTCACATCGATTTGTCATCGCCACCGGCAAATCCCAGTGCTTCGCAGCGTATGCACTAACGTACCTGCACTTTCGCTTGCTGTACGGGGCCTCCGAGCGAAAAAGCCCGAGGTACGTCGAAATGAGAGCCCCATTATTATTTGATGCAAGACGATCGCCACCACCTTGACTCAGTCATGTCAGTGATATCGATTCTTCGAGTGTTGTGATTGGCTGAAAACATTTTGAGTACAGTGTCTCAAACACATTTCTCTGAGGACAAGGCCGTGCTCTGCCCGGAACAGCTCTGGATTTTACGTCGCTCTTGGGCATATAAGTTAGTGTACTGCGCCATCTTGTTTCTACGTGCCAATGGCAGAAAGGAGTAGAGATATGGTATTGGCTGAGGGTAACCACTATTAGTTGAATTAACGGATTTATACGAATAGTGACCGTTCTTGAATTCACTAGAGGTTTGGGCTGGTAGTGCATTTTTGAAGTACTTCAGTTCTGACATTTTTAAGTGCAATTTGAAATAATAGGACGAAGGAACAACATAGTCTCTCCCTTTAGCCACAAGCGAAACGACCAAGTATTCACAGAACTAGAGGTGTTGATTATCGGACGTACTGCTGCGGTACTAGGGCTTCAGGGATCGGAAAACTAGGGCTACGCACAGGCTGGGATAGCAAATTTACGGGGGCAGCCAGAACTTTCACCACAGCAGTAGTATTACGACGACTATCAAGGCGTGCGAGCGCAACCTCAAAGCTTAACTACTCGTCGCCTCTCTTGCCTAGTAAACCGAGAAAATAAACACACTATACATTCAACATGAACCGAAGCTCAGTCTGGCAGCTTGAAGCTGTGCAGTATGTACCATGAATAGCAGTAACGCTAGTGTGAGTTCATGCAATGAAATGAAATTTGCGGTTATGGCGGCTGACTACGCCCGTCGCCGCGCACTGCTGCAGCGCCGCATACGGGGACTCCCGCGGTAGCAGCCCAATAGTGTGAGTTCACGTAGATCCGCCACGGCAGATCGAGCAGCGCAAGCCATCTAGCAAATTGACGCATGATATTTCACAGTACAAAAATAAGAGCAAGCGCCAAAATTCAAGAACGTCTTTATGCAACGCTCTTCTGCGGCAAGCATAGCGCTACTACTAGTAGTAAATAAAGTTTTCTACTGTGCAGGTTTTGGAATACAGTAAAAAAAGACCGAACTGCGAACACCGCGGGCCAAAGCCCGCAAACCAGTAGTCTGCTCAATGTCAAAGTTTGATATATTTGAGGGCTATACTACAGACATAGAGTAAGTGTCTCCCCCGGTCACACATTCGGTCTTGTAGCTACTGCATTTGTACTTCGTAGTTAAAACTCGTGTTGTCCTCACTGGTTTGCGGGCTTTGGCCCGCGGTATTCGCAGTTCGGTAGACTTTTTTTTACTGTATTCCAAAACCTGCATGGTAGAAAATTTTATTTACTACTAGTAGTTCTATGTAGTAGCGCTACGCGTGCCGTAGAAGAGCGTAGCATGAAGAAGTTCTTGAATTTTAGCACATGCTCCTATTTTTGTACTGGGAAGTGCCATGCATCCATTTGCTGGGTCGCTTATGCTGCTCGATCTGCCGTGGTGGATCTGCATGAACGCACACTACTGCTATTCTTGCTGCATACTGCATAGCTTCAAGCTACGAAGCTGAACTTCGGTTCATGTTGAATGTATAATGTGTTTATTTTGCTGGGGCTATTCGGGCTGTATGTCCAAATGTGACGCCTGGAACTTGATTTTGTAGAATCGCTATACTGATTTTCATGCCGTTTAGCTCTCCTCGCTTCGAAGTCGACACGCAACAAACAGTCTGCACTCACTACCATTAATCAATTGCGATAATTTTGGTTTACTCAAAGACGATTTATCGTTGCTGCTGCTCTGGCTTCCGACATGTATAGTGGTTTTCATCTATTTTGCCGCCCGATTTGACGTGTTATCTCGGAGTCCGATTTATATAAAATGGAGCTCCTATTGCCGCTTGCAAATACTTTGCCCTCTAAAATAGAGCACGCCTGTCTCTTAATATGAGTGGACACGAGATAGGCGAGGGCTGATTTAGCTTTATGCTTTGGTGGGGGCCGCTTTTGGTTTGGCCCGTCTAGAATGGCATTTCTGCGTTTCCAAGTCGTAGAAAAGCGTTTTGGTCGAGAAAACAGAGCCCCAAGCTCGGATCTTAGACCGTACTGGTGAGATATATAAATCAGACCTAGGTCTTAATTAAGGGCTGTCTGGATTAAAATCGAGATTATTAACGAGATAATAAGCATGCGTTGGCCAAAATATCTGCAAACGGCAATTCATGATCGGTTAGTCCAATTTAGCTATATCTGACCTGAGTTAGTAGCATAAGGCTCAGAGGGGAGGCTTTCCAAGTTGGCCATACCTCCCCAGCTCTCGTGACGCATTAGAACTGCAAGACATTGGGGACCATAGTACACTGTATATAGCCACTTCATAGCACTACGGCCAGCTAAATCACCTGTGTGATCATCTACGGCCGCTACAACTTCGTGCCACGCCGATCTGAAAGGGCCCCAGACATGTTTCGCAGTGGTCCCTTTTGCCTCGCAGCCCCCAGACGCAAATCGGGCCAGATACAGTTTGCTTCCCTCAGCCCCTCCTGCTAAATCGGAGGCCTCCAGCAAATGGGGCCCGATATATCGGATCTTGGACCACCCGATTTGCCGAAACGGATGAAAGACACAATACATGTAGATATCGTAGGCATTACAGCCACATGAAACCATTGGCGGGAACCCGGGTTCCCGCAAATGATACCGACCTAATCGCGAATTATTTATTTTGTGACGGGGTCACACAGCACAATGCGCAGAGGAAGTGCGTGCGGATATTACTATCCAGGTGAACAGCAGTTCACCAGTTCCCGGCCTCAAAGGGAACGGTTTGCTACAAAGGAGTAGGTTATAATACTGTATTTTGGTAGAGGTTACCTTGGTCGTAATACAAACTACA